AAATTAGCTAATTATTTGAGTTTTGGCTAGTAATTTACTCTAAACCACAAATCAAACTAAATGTAATTTTTATATGAAACATAACTATAATATTTATATATATATATTTTTTTTTATCAATTAGCAAATACAATTTTGTCATGTGGTTGACTCGTTTGTTGTGAATAGAGGACAAGGACATGTGAAGAATTGTGACGGGAAAGAGAAGAATTACATATTAAGTTCGTTTAATTTTTAGGTGACTATGTGTGTTTGCCCTAATATTTACTGTATTGTTAACAATAACTTGCTTGGTCACTGTCAAATGTTCTTCGTTGTTGGAAAATGTTATTGGCATTGCTATTTATTAACATAGTTTTGAACAAGTTTCCTAAGTCAAATAGCTTTTAAAACCAAAAAAAAAAGTCAAATAGCTTTAGATACAAAACATGAAATAAACAGATATGAAAAAAGATTTAAGATACTAACGACAATATTATAGAATTAAGAATCTACTTCTAAGTCTAAAACTAAAAGTTGTAATACATAAGCAGAATAGAAGAAAAAGTTGGAAAAGAAACTGAAAGACAACTTCTTAGTTTTAAAACATCCCCAGTTTACAGCCACTTATGTTCTTTCGTTTTCTCTTTGCAGAAGACACAAAAATGAACGAAAATACTAAAAGTTCTTAAAAATTTAAATTTAAGATAAGTCCAACCAAAATACTAAAAAGAAAGACTCTTCCTCACACCAGACTCCAAGGCTATATCTAGGTTGTTTTTTCCATTATTTTTCAGAACATAGATTGTTGCATTGCCTCTGCTCCTGTCTGTGGTGCATCTTCAGTATGTGGTTCTGCTTCAGTCTGTGGTGCTACATCATCTGGCTGCACCTCTTCCATCACTTCTGGCTCAACCATCCCATATCCACTTAGCTCCTCAAGGTTCATCATGGCTACCAATACTGCTGGATTGTTAGTTGCAATCTTAGCTCTCAAGACACTCACGATTTCCAAGGCTTTCTCTTGCTAAATCATTTAGAAAAACATAATAATGCAGATTTGAGAATTTAATCCAAAAACGAATAAAATGAAAGACAACAAAACTGTAAACTGTTTAAACTGTAAAATGAAAGACTAAACGTACATAGAGATCAAGCTTCTTCTTGAGTTCTTCATAGCCCGATTCTTGTGGCCCAGTGGCACCAGCGACTGCCAATGTTGTGTTCTAGGGTTCATAAACAGGAAAAACAAAAGTTAGAAATTATTAAGTACAACCAATTAACAGACACTACATCCTCAGGCTGCACCTCTTCCATCACTTCTGGCTCAACCATCCCATATCCAGTTAGCTCCTCCAGGTTCGTTATGGCTACCAATACTGCTGGATTGTTAGTTGCAATCTTGGCTCTTAAGACATTCACGATTTCCAAGGCTTTCTCTTTCTAAATCATTTAGAAAAACACAATAATGCAAATTTGAGAATTTAATCCAAAACGAATCAAATGAAGGACAACAAAACTGTAATTTGTTCAATTTCGACTAGACTTACATAGAGATCATACTTCTTCTTGAGTTCTTCATAGCCCGTATCTTGTGGCCCACTGACACCAGTGACTGCCAATGTTGTGTTCTAGGGTTTATGAACGGGGAAAACAAAAGTTAGAAATAATTACAACCAATTCAAAACAGACACTAAAATTTAAGTCAAGAGAAGTCTTAGATTTGGATAGATTGACCATGTATTTACTTAAAAGAAGATAGATCGAATAAGAGTGACTAAACAAGCATAACTATACGTAGTTGAGAAAATTATAAACCAGTTAAATCGAGACCACCGACTTCTTAGTTAACTTATAATTATCCAAAAAAAAAAAAATCAAACAAGAGACCAAAGAAAGGATAAGACAAAAACGAAGGACAAAAGTATTAATTAAAAACTCTAGACAACACCTGAAACAGACAATAGTCAAAAGCAGAAAGTGATACTAATTTAACAATGATTGGCAAGACAAGTATAAACATTAAACAGTTTAATTTAAACTTATTGAACCCTAAACTGGAGGAGGAGAAGTGAACAATTATGCATAGTACTAAGCTCCGATATTGCGAATCTATCTTAATTAAAGATCAAAAAGAGAATGGGAGTAAAACTTATACCTTTCTAGGTCTACCTGGTCTTCCTCGTCCTCGCTTTGGCTTTGTAATAATCCTATTCAAAACACCACCGATCTTAGGTGGTCTTCCTCGTCCATGCTTAATCCTCCGCGCAACCGCCACAACTTGTACACCTGTTGGAGCAACAACGGTGTCGCTAGTCTCAGCCATGCTAGCACTGTTGGCGACCTGAGGATTCACAAAGGCAGTAGCCGAGACGGGTGTGGGCTTCCTCTGTCTTCCTCTTTGTTTCATGACACCAGCACGAGAGATTGGAGCAGATCCACCTTTCCTTGGACGACCAGGTCCTCTCCTTGCCGACACTGTAACTTGAACCTCCTCAGTTGGATTGGTCACGGTCGGATTGGTCACAGCCATTTCGTTTTGCTCCAAGCTTGGCAATCCGTTAGCATGGGCGGTCGGTTGTTGAGCTCCATGCTTAGGCTTTGGGGGTCGACCACGACCTCGCTTCTGAGGGATCTCAGAAGCAGAAGCAGAAAAAGAAGCAGAAGCATCCGCCAGATCAAGCAGACCTTGTTCGTTGACGGTGTCGTCAATTGGGAGAATCTCAGATTTGGGGGTTTGCAAACTTGCAGGGGAAGCAACAACAGCAACGCTCTCCGGAGGAAAAGGAACTGCGAGTTTATAGGACTTCCTCACCCTCACAAGGAGACCAATGGTCGTAAATATCTTGAGATAGTGACCCAGCAAAAGCTTGTGAGCAACAGGTAACCAACAAGTGGTGTTGTTTTCCTCAATGTACCTCGAAATTGCCTTCTTGCTCGAACCTTCTGGTTCGTCCAACGCTGCAATCGCCGCAGAAATCATCTACAAAGACAAATAGAGAAAACCAAAATTTAGCCACCAAAAATAAATAGCTAATGGAATTGTGTTAAAGAAAATGACTTTAGATGAGAGCTTACTTCCGAGTACGAAAAGTCTCTCGAGGGCTCATCAAGCGGATGAATGGTCGGTTGATAAGGGTTCTGCGACTCCAGCTGGGGATCGGGTTGTGGCTGAGGTTGGAAGACATTGTTATTGTCTGAAATCTCGATATCTGATGGTCCATCGAAATAGGGGCTACTCGGAGCAGAGTCAAAAGGGTCGGAGGTGGGAGATGAAGCATGAGGACTGAACTGAGGATCACTGGAAAGATACAAAGATGGATCCATGATTTTTTTGTGAGAAGAAAACTGTAAAAAAGAGAGGAATGTGAAATTATATTGCAAAAATGTAGATGGGAATAGAGAAAGGTTTGGTGAAAGCAATGTGGTCAAGGATTAAGCATATCTAAATGATGGTAAGTAAATTGTGATACTTTGTAAATCTCACCGTTGATTGGAATTTTGAAAATTTTGACGAGGATTACTGATGTGTTATTTTGGTTTTTGTCTTTCTGTACATTATTTTCCTTTTGTACTTACCATATGTGCTAGATTTGGGTCAATGGACAGATATTTTCTTTTCTAAAAGATATCTTTCCTTTCAGTGCAACAAAGTTATTTTAAAAAGATACAAAAATGAATACCATGTATAATTATGTTGAATCACATCAAAGAAATCTAGCAAACATTACTATTGCATTAAGTAGCCCATGTAACAAACTATACATTACATTGTTAATTACAAGAAAAAAAAAACTCCATTGAAAAATGTATGATAAGTTAATAGGTCAAGCTTAAAAATGTAGTTAGTAACTTTATTTAAAATCGTTTTTAGCATTCGTATATTTGAAAAAATTAGATATAAAATTTATAACTGGAGTCTCTCATATTTGTTTGAAAGACTCTCATATGAGAATCGTCTTTCACACCGAACGATCCAAAATTGCAAATGAGTCACTACATAAATCAAAGTGTACTTACAGATGACAATCTGAACAAGTCTAATACTCCAAAGTAATATTTTTGTCTCTTGAAGAAGAAACGGAGATTTAACAAAAGATCAGAAGTCCTTCTTGAATAGATGCAACAAAACGGGAATAAGAGGAATGGTGTTGAAAAAATCGTATTGATTTTATCTTGGTTCTCTCCATGTATACCTTAATCTAGAATTTAGTGAACCCCTTTTTGTATTAGCTAGGACTTGTGATTCTTTGTTTGCTTTGATGTTGTCTTTTCATTTAGAAAATATATTCTGTACTTGTAACCTTCTTCGGGGTTCTTTCCTCTTTTCTAATAAACACATGTACTTTTACCATTTTTTTACGTATGTTTTCTAATAGTTTTCTTAATGATTTCATTAGTTTTAGACGTTTTAATGGCTATTCTAGGGTTTTCGTGGAGCCCAATTCTTTATAGGTTTTTACAGAAAAATGATGCAAAGTTGAGCTTCGAGACAAATTATGTATGTTGGAACTTTATCCCCAGGTAAAAGACTTCTCACTAGTGAATCAAGATAAATGCGGAGATAAGATAGACATAAGATTCATCTTTCATTTTCAATTGGTTTGAAGACAATCCAACGGTCCAATAAAAAGTTACAGACGAATACCGTGAAGACCAGTCAAGTTGTCGAAGTCACCTCCGAACCAGCTAGCCTCAGTATACTGCATCATCGGACCATTGCCCATTCGGTACCACAAGAGTGTTAAATATATGGTCATTACATGTTACTTAATTGATAATTTAGTAACTGATTTGAAGGATATTGAACCACGAAAGTGTTGAATTTATGAACCGGATATAGGTTTGACATGCTTAGAGTTATAACCTACAAAAATTGAGTTATATATATATGTGAATGTTAATCCAAAGCATATATATTTATTTAATCATCTACTAGCATTGAGTGATTAGGTTGTTTAGACATACCTAATTAGCGTTGCAACTTGCAAGAGTGGGTTAATTACACTATTAAGTTTCGAGTTCGGAAATCGTATAAATCGTCATTTTCTTGTTTAGTTTACTCAGCCGTTTTATCCATGAATCCCCATAGATAAATTTGGGGGCCAATACTTTTAGTTTGATAATTTATATCGTTGTTAAATTGCTTATTTCGTTTTAGTTTATTAGAAAAACCACCTCCTCTCATATTTTGTCTTAGCTTGATCGAGAATTTAACGAATCTAAAGTGTATCATTCGTCATTGTGTTTGATACCTTGATCATATTGTGCACTTGCAATAATAGTTTCAGGGAAAACTCTAAGAACACATCAGTACTACACAATCAACATATATATTTACTTTAAAAAACTTTGATTTGCTTTTGACAAAAAAAAAGAAGTATTGATTTGCAGTTTAATGGTGTAAACATAAGATCATCGTTGTCTTTGATCACGACCGGAGACGTGCATTAGAAGCGAGTTACAGAAGAGACATTGGCTGGCATCTCAAACAAAATACCTTTTCTTTCATTATTAGGACAGTGGGCTCCATCCACCACCACCATCTCCATTTTGTTTTTTTTTTCTTCTTTCATTATTAACAAAAAACTTTAAAGTTGTTAATAAAATATCAATTGAATATCATTAAAGTGAGATATTGAAAACGAATGAGTGAAGAAAAGGCCATGTGAAGTTATTAAAAAAAAAGAAAAAAGAAAAAGCGATGTAAGAAAGTCAAACATGCCCTTTATCAGACCACACAAGCTTCACGTGCGAGACCGCACGTGCCAAACCCTCTCTCACCTTCTCCTCTTCTTTTTCACTCTCGTCTTCTTCTTCTTCTTCCTTCCGCTTCCTCCGGACAAAGAGAGAAAGGGAAAAAAAAACAAATAAAAAATGGCGACTCGAAATCGAAAGAGAGAAGCACGCCATACCTGAGAGATTCGTGCGTCGAAGACTTAGGAGCATTTACTAATTATAATTATTATTGTCAATCGATAATAATAATAATTATTTTTTGTTGGGTAGAAAATTAATTTAGGAAAGACGAAGAGATAAGAAAAAAGAAAGTGGTGGTGGAGAGGTGTTTAATGGGTGTTAGTCATAGCACCAGCGTTAATAATCATCATAATCATTCTAATCCTCATTCTCGGAGTAGTTCGAATCATACCAGCTCTCGACAGTGTGCCCCAAGTGATCGATTGTCTGTGAGCAGTTTGCGTTCTCAGCTCACAACTATCTACAGAAACAACGAAGAAGAAGAAGAGGAAGAAGAAGAAGAGGAAGAAGAAAGAGGAGGAAAAGAAAAAGCAGCAAAAGAAGAAGAAGAAGAAGCGAGAAGATTCGCTCTTGTTAGAGATTTTGATCTGTCTGGTTTGAAGTGCATTAGGGTTCCAAGGAGGAATTATATCCAAATGGATCCTCATAAAAAGGTTCGATTTTTCTTCTTCTTTCCATTTTCGTTTGATGAGCAATTCTGAAAAAAATGAAACCTTTTTGGTATTCTCGCTTGGATCTGTTTGATTTCTTCAGATTCAGAATTGTATTTTGGACCTCACAGGTTTTGTGTGACTATGTCTCTGTCAATTTCTCCTACTACATTGGAAGGAAATTTAGCAAATCAACCTTTTATTAATTGTGTTAAAGATATTGGATTGAATGTGGCCACAATTTGGGTTTATTATCCATTTTCCCTGGTGCTTGATTGCTTTAGAAAATGGTGGGAAAATGCAACCTTTCTCTGTTAACTTGCAACTTTGCTACATTATGGATTGTGTGATGTGTAGAAATTTGGAGATTTAGGAAATATTATCCTCAATTTCCAATCTGAGGTTGTGAATAGGCAGTTTATGGTGTGATCATGTTTGCACAAACGCAGGTTGCACTGGAGACTGAGTTCTTTACAGAGTACGGTGAAGCAAGTCGATACCAAATCCAAGAAGTTATAGGGAAAGGAAGTTACGGCGTTGTGGCATCTGCAATCGACACACATTCTGGAGAAAAAGTTGCGATAAAGAAGATCAACGATGTCTTTGAGCACGTCTCTGATGCAACTCGGATTCTGAGAGAGATCAAGCTCCTCAGGTTGCTCCGGCATCCTGATATAGTGGAGATAAAGCACGTGATGCTTCCTCCTTCGCGCAGAGAGTTCAGAGATATTTATGTTGTCTTTGAGCTGATGGAGTCGGATCTTCACCAAGTTATCAAAGCCAACGATGATCTTACACCTGAGCATTACCAGTTTTTCCTCTACCAGCTTCTCCGTGGCCTGAAATTTATTCACACAGGCAAGTGTCTTGGCTTGTGTTACCTTAGTATACAGTGTGCTTGTTACTGCTTTTCTACTAAACCTTGAAGAAAACGTTTTTTGCTTTGTTGCAGCCAATGTGTTTCACCGTGATTTGAAGCCCAAAAACATTCTAGCTAACTCTGATTGCAAGCTGAAGATTTGCGACTTTGGACTTGCTCGTGTGTCCTTTAATGATGCACCTTCGGCTATATTCTGGACTGTATGTTAAAGACTGACATCATAAGTTTTTTTCTTTTCATTTTCGTTAACTAAATGATACAAATTGGTTTTCGCTTATTTGCAGGACTATGTCGCTACAAGATGGTACCGTGCACCAGAGCTTTGTGGCTCTTTCTTCTCCAAAGTAAAATCCATTTGTCTATTTTCTTTGTGCTCACTTATCTATGACATGACAATCTGAGAATCTAATAGTATTATTTTGTCGTTTCTCTGCTGTAGTATACTCCTGCCATTGATATATGGAGCATAGGATGCATATTTGCAGAAATGCTCACCGGGAAGCCATTGTTTCCTGGGAAGAATGTGGTGCACCAATTGGATATCATGACTGATTTGCTTGGTACTCCTCCACCCGAAGCTATTTCAAGGGTTAGTTGGTATTAGTCAGTTTAAGCTCATCTTTTTTATTTTCCAATTGCTACAATTTGCCAAGTATTGGAGTTTCGTTGATGTGATGTCTTATGAGTTAAAGAGTTTATAAGCTATGATTATTTTCTTACTGGTGCTTTCCAGCCATGGTTTTGTGGCAATTAGTTTAGGCTTAGCTTGGGTTAGAGTTATAGTAATTGGTAGGAAAGCTCACGGCGTAGGTATGTGGCCCACAGAAATAGGAGACCAGGAGTGTTATAACATTACTAGACCAGGGTTGGATCAGTTTTCGATTTCCTGAAATGGTTGATCAATGTTTTGTCTTGCTACAGATTCGTAATGACAAGGCAAGGAGATATCTCGGCAACATGAGGAGAAAACCGCCAGTTCCATTCACTCACAAATTCCCTCATGTGGACCTGTTGGCCCTACGCTTGCTGCACCGTCTTCTTGCGTTTGATCCCAAAGACCGTCCCACAGCTGAAGAGGTAAAGCTCCTCTATACCAGGGTTTTATCAGCCTCTGCCTTGAAAAGTTTCAGAGCAAAATCAAAGAAACATTTATGTATACATGTGTGTGTGTGTTTGATATACAGGCACTGGCAGATCCTTACTTCCAAGGTCTGGCAAACGTGGATCGAGAACCATCTACTCAACCGATTCCAAAACTCGAGTTTGAGTTTGAAAGAAGGAAAATAACAAAAGAAGACGTGAGAGAATTGATCTACAGAGAGGTACACACTAATGTCTAGCTCTGGTGATTCATTATTTGTTTGGATTGGTTAAGCGCGCTGAACAATGGAAAGATTTATGTGTAACTCGTGCAAAACTTGAATGTGAAACATTGCAGATATTAGAGTATCATCCTCAGATGCTGCAAGAGTATCTTCGAGGTGGAGAACAGACTAGCTTCATGTACCCAAGGTAATAATACTATAGCATTTACAGTCTGTATTTCAAAATCTTACCACGGATTATGAGAAGTAAGATAAGGATTCTTTTGTTAATCGAAATGAAAATGCAGTGGTGTTGATCGGTTTAAGAGACAATTTGCACATCTTGAAGAACATTACGGTAAGGGTGAGAGAAGCTCTCCTCTTCAGCGCCAACACGCCTCCTTGCCTAGGTATACAATCTTTCATTCTTTCTTTCTTTTCTTTCTTGATAATTGACTTTCTATTGAAGCTGCTGCAGTAAAAGAATACTATAGAAGCCTAATATATGGGCCAGTTTGCTAATTATAGCATAACACACACATATAGTAAAGAACACAATTAAACCAAACCACATCCCATAAGGAGCAAAACCTAACTTCTGTGTTGTGTTCAGTAAATTTGATTCCAAAGTTGTCAGATTTCCCATATTCTTGTAAAGTTTGTATCGTCACATGTGTTGTGATGGTGCCTTTCTGTTGCAGAGAGAGAGTCCCTGCTCCTAAGGAAGAGAATGGATCAAACAATCACGAAGTCGAGAACCACAGATCTGCAGCTTCTTTAGCCATGACCCTCGAAAGCCCTCCCAAGTCGCAACAGGTGGGCTCAGATTACAGGAACGGGACGACGGGTTACAGTGCTCGTAGCTTGCTGAAAAGTGCCAGCATCAGTGCATCTAAATGCATTGGCGTAAAACAAAGAGACAAATCCGAGGTAAAAAAATTCAAGAAAGCCATAGAGGTTATACATAATACAACGTTTTGTATGCATACGCTTCATTCTTTTTTTTTTGGCAGCACGGGGAATCGAACAATGATACGGTTGATGTTTTGTCTCAAAAAGTCGAAGCTCTTCACATTTGATTCAGATATTGAGGAGTGAAACTTGTTGCTAACAATAGACGGCTGATTCTACCATTCTTATACAAATCTCTCTCAGAGAAGAAGAAGAAGAAGAAGAAGAAATGGTTATGTCTCTCTGGTTCTGTGCTTTTATACATTTACAAACTAATCTTGATAGATACTGAGAGACATGACTTGTGAACAGAACAAATATTTAAAACCTTCATTGTCCCCAGCGATTTGAATGGAATTATGGTTGTTCGTTCGTCAAGTAATTTTAGCTGCTACTTATTTATGAAGAACTTCTGAATTGTCCAAAACTAAAAACATATCTTGGAAGTTTGACCCAAAAGATATTTATCAAAGATATCTATCAATAGCTTAATGTATGTCTAGCTTAAGATTAATAAGTTATGACTTTATCCTCGTAGGAATTTAATACAAATCTTTCATAACATCTTTGTCAATCTTTATTTTGCTGATTCTGGTCAATTTTTCAATTAATATACTATCAGTAACTCTATGGTAAATTGGTAATCATCACTTGTCCTTCGAAAAAGGTTACATCTTGCAATAACAGGTACACTTTTGTTTGGCATTCTCGGAAAAGAGTTTGTAATATGTACTGCAGCTTTCACTACAACCATTCTTTTTGTTAAAGGGCTTGTGGTGTAACCATTCGCGTGCCTGACGTTACCCTTTCTAACATTGAGGAGAGCTCCACATAATGTCTTCCTTTTCCTTTTTACTATTCAAAAAGAGCACTTATTGGAAAATGGATCTGATAAGTACAATTTCTATTTCATAATGTATAGGATTAGCTTCGAGATAAGCCGTATTATTTTCAGTATATTTCAATTCTTTCATGTTTTTGTTTTGTCTTGTGAAGAAATGCTTTGACAAGACAAGAAGATGACAATAAAAACCCTTGGAACTGAGAAAGTAACTAGAGTTGTTTTTCTTTTCAGGTAACTAGGGAATGGAGTCGTCATGGAAGTAAGAGAACGTTTTGATACACCGAAAAAGTTTGAATAAAAATGAGAAAAACAGCAGCTCACTATAGGCATAATAAATTTATTTCAAAACTTATTACAATAGTGATATAAGCAAAATTTTATATCTTGCATCTTTTATGTCAACTAACAAAAACGTTGTCTGCATTACGAAACAAATTAAACCATGCCAGTATTTTTAATTAATGAATAGTTTGGTCAATTATCCAGATTACATGTGAAAGCAAATTATTTTAGTATTTTTGCTTGTTTGTTAAAGACCAAAGCGTTTTAGGTTTTTTTTTATAAAAGTAGTGGAGCATGATATAAACAAAATAATCCTAACTCTTATGTATTGGAATTATAAAAAAAAAAAAGAACAAGTGAACCTGTCGATCAGTCTCACCTCTGTACTCTTTCAAGTTTCAATGCGAAGAATAATCATCCCGTGATTCCACTAATTACCAGTACATACGTTTATCAACAATATCACTACAGCAGTAGATATGCAAACGAAAAAAAATTAAAAATACTATTTGTGATATTAAATTGGTTACAAGATGCCCATTTTGTGGAACATTTTTGTGATATATTTTATTACACATCATCTCTTTCACTCTCTCACTCACACTCTCTGTCTCTCTGTCTCTCTCCATATTCTTCCGGCGATGTTCCAACACGCGCCTTCTTCCATTTCCCTCATCGTCTTCTCCACCATCCTCTTCCACGTCTCATCAAGCCCGACCCAAAACCCAGACCCGATCACCGTCCAGCCATTCCGGGTCAAATCATCCCCACCCGCCACCATACCCGCATTCCCGGAGCAATCCGATTTCTCCGGCTGCCCACTCGATTTACCGGAAGTCCTCTTCCACGGAATCAAATCAGCCTGCTCCGGTAAAAAGCTCCACAGAGGAAGATGCTGCCCCGTGCTAGGCGCGTGGCTCTACTCCGCTTACTCATCCACGGCTCTGAGCCGCTCGATCTCCGCCGCCGCGAGAAACACATCCTCCTCCTCCGCCGCGACGACTCCGGAAGAAGATATGCCTCTGCTCCCCGATGACTCCGAGACTTGCGTCGACGGATTGGGGAAGTCGCTGAGGAGGAGAGGGATTGAGCTAGCGAGGCCTAACGAGACGTGCGACGTCGTTTACTGCTACTGTGGAATCAGATTGCATCCGTTGAGCTGCTCGGAGGCTTTTAGAGTGAACGAAGAAGGGAAGCTCGTTGGAGACGAGAGAGTTGATCGTCTAGAGACTGATTGTTTGAGTGGAAGCCATAACAATGGCGATAGATTCTCTCCTCTCAGTGGCTGCAACAAATGCTTGAACAGCCTCTATAAGGTAAAATTTAATGTAACTTCTCTCTGTAATATTTACAAATTTTGATGCAAATCTAGTAACTTTAGATAGAAATCTATTGATACATTACAAATCTAGTAACATTAGTGTTCTTGGTGTTTTAGTATCGGAGTTCTGTTTGGATTTAGAATTAAAGATGGTGTTTTTTTCTGTGAAAGAGTATAAGCTATGGTCCAAAGTTGATAGCTTTTCTTGAATCTTTAATGATGTTTGAGTTTAAAACACAATAGGGTTTTACTATCTGAGAGAGTGAGGAAGATTTGGAATTATGTGTTCTAGGATTCGTTCTGATCTTCTCCATCATCCATGGCGGATGGTAATTTTGGAAAAGTCTTGTTCTTTAGCCTTTGTTCTTTTTCTTTCCGACAAGTCTACACAGTACACACATACGCGGTTACAGAATCCGTGATCCATACGCGCCATTTTTGTCTATGACTTTTCATTCTTCTTCCATTTCCATACTTTCTAAAAATCCTAAATCATTAGTATAGCAACAAACAGTAATCGACACAAACAAGCATTTCTTGTTTTGATTTTTTTTTGTTTGTTTGGGCAGCTAAATCCGAAGAGATCTTCAGGGACCAGAAATCCATCGAAGGAAGACCGGAACAGAACAACAAAGATGCACAGCAAAGACTGTGTCCTAATGGGTCTCACTTGGCTTCTCGCTAAGAACCGTGCGGCTTACTTCCCAACTGTCACTTCCGTCCTCCGAGCCGTCATGCTTAACCAAGACGGCGAGCCACGGTCATGTAACCTCGGCGGAGACGGCATGCCTTTAGCCGTTGACTCTTCCGAATTCTCCAACGCCTCGTCAACCTTACTTCAGTTTCCGCACCACATGGTCCTCTTCTTACTTTACAGTGTAATCACATTGGTCGTCTTAATAAGGTCGTGGTGACGTGGGTTGGATTTGATTATGACGTGGCAGTACGTGATTGGCTGAGATAATTTACGTGAAATTCAGATAGAGAGAAGGAGAGAGGTCTTCTGTGCTGTCTTTGTAAATTGGTTTTGTTTTTGTTGTTGTCGTTGTTGTTGTAACCATTTTGTATTGTTTTATCAATTAAAATTTTAAACTATGATACGTCACAATTTCAACTATATTTTCGGTCGGATCAAATTACATGTATATGAGGGCAATCAATCAAAAAAAGTTATGTATCATTTTTGGAGGAGAAGAATAATAGAGAAGGGGCATGTGAGTGATGGGGACGAGGTGGTGTGGCTGGTTTTGAGAAAGACAGAGAGACTTTGCGACAGCTTTGTTCTTATGTTTCCTTATCTTCTTCTCTCTACACACGGATACTATATATTATCAAATCATACATCATCTTCACATATGAAAATGATAATGCGACCAAGAAATGTGCAGCCCCACGACTGATATTTATATTTTCTCCTACAGTTTTATAATGTTTCATCCAATAATCGAATTGTTCCCTTCATTAAAATCTTTGATTTTCCTTAAAAAGTTCATTTTTCGTAAAACGCCAATGCAAGTGCTATAGACGGGTTGGGCTAAAATAACTGGCCCATGGGCCGTTTGGTTTTCCTTTTTTGTCGGAAAATATCTATTATGACGTGGCTTTTAAATTTTCACTTTTCGTTGCAACTTTTTAAGAGCTCTTCACTTGTATTATTACTAGTAAAGTACCCGCAGTGACGTTGTTGTTTTGTGTAGAAAATTTAAACCCTAAATCCGAACCCGACAAAAAACCCTAATCAAAAAATTTAAAAACCCAAACTTTTTTAATAGGTCTAAACATGAAAATCCGAAATCAAAAAAATCCCGAAAACCCTGACTGAACAAAAAAAATCTGGAAACTTTTTCACCCGGAACCCGACCCCAATACCTAATCAAAATTTTAAAATACTCAATTTTTTTAATATATCTAAACCCGAAAACCAGAAATCTAAAAAATCCGGAAAACCCTAAACTGAAAAAAAAAATTGAACCTAACCCGAACAGAAATTTTCAAAGAAACCCGAACAATTTCTATATCTCTATATATATCTCTATAAAATTATGTCTCAGATTTTCACCCAAACCCGAACTTGTCTATAAAAACCCGAAAATCCAAAAAGCATATTCTATTGATTTGGAATTATCGTTAGATTATGTTAAGTTTTTTTTTTGCAGATTTTTAAGAGATGGAAAACGGAAGTTTTCTAAACCATCGGTTTATTTTAAGTTATTATTCTTGTATCCAAACAATTTTTTCCATTTATTCTTCTATCCAAATAGATTTTTCTCTTATTCTTATATCCAAACAACTTTTGTTTCCATTTATTCTTCTATCCAAATAGATGTTTCTCTAATTCTTGTATCCAAACATTAGAATGTACTTCTCAATTAATAATATAATAAAGATTATATTAATATAAATATAAATTTAATAATTTTCCTTGATGTTATACTGTACAATCTATTCATATTAATTGTGTTTTACAACATTTTCTGCCAATAAAATCTGAATCCATTATCGTTTTATCTTGTCTATCAACTCAAATGACATTTTATTCACCAAAAAAAACTCTAATGACATTTTTTTGTTATTAATCCATTTTTCTGCCAGAGAAGATAATGTTTGTGAGTTGCGACAATCATCATTAAACTATTTTATTAATTAAAAGAATTTACAGCCAAATGTCAAAACTCAAAAAGACTCAAAACCGTCCCTCTCCTGTTTTTGATTTCCTTGTCTGTGTGGTCTCCTTCTTCTCTTCACGATTCCCGTAAAACCCAAAAAACACTCAAAACGATCTCATCTCTGCGAAGTCCTTGAAAATGGAGCTCGCCGAAACCTACGCGTGCGTCCCGTCGACGGAGAGGGGTCGCGGAATCCTGATCTCCGGTGACCCCAAGTCCGACACCATCCTCTACACTAATGGTCGATCCGTCGTCATCCTCGACCTCAACAATCCTTTAAACGTCTCCATCTACGGCGAGCACGCTTACCCAGCCACGGTGGCGCGATACTCCCCGAACGGCGAGTGGATCGCGTCGGGTGATGTCTCGGGGATGGTCAGAATCTGGGGGGCTCACAACGATCATGTGCTGAAGAAGGAGTTCAAAGTTTTGGCTGGCCGGATCGATGATCTCCAGTGGTCGGCCGATGGGATGCGGATCGTTGCTTCCGGTGATGGCAAAGGCAAATCTCTCGTTCGTGCTTTCATGTGAGTACTAGTCATTTTGGTTCTTCATTGATTTTGATTTTGATTCTCTCATCTCAAAAAGCTCAATCAAGTTAAGTCCTCTGTAGTATTAACTTGTTCTGCTTCGTGCTGAATTTGAAATCTTTGATTTTGGCTAAGCGAACGAAGAAGATGAAATGTGTTGAATTACATTTTTGCGTTGACTTGGACCGACTAGTCTAAGATATTGTTGAATCGGATCGATCAAAATGAACATTTATGTCTTCTTCTTCTTCACAATTATGATTTTTGTAGACCCATTTACTGGATTAGACTCATTGCTTGACTTGATTTTGTTAGAGTGGAAATGCCTAAGGAAATGTTGACCTCTTTCAGGTGGGATTCAGGATCAAATGTGGGAGAGTTTGATGGACACTCGAGGCGTGTTCTTAGCTGCGCTATCAAGCCAACCAGACCGTTCCGCATTGTAACTTGTGGTGAGGATTTTCTGGTGAATTTCTACGAAGGTCCTCCTTTCAAGTTCAAGCTCTCAAGCAGGTCAGATATTCAAAACATATATGCTCCCTCCCTTTCTTTAAAGAAACAAGATCGGTTCTATATTCAGAGTTTGTTGTTTTGTTGTATGTGACAGAGAGCATTCCAACTTTGTCAACTGTGTGAGGTTTGCGCCAGATGGAAATAAGTTCATCACTGTAAGTTCAGATAAAAAGGGAATCATATATGATGGCAAGACTTACTTTTAGCTTCTTCATTTTTACCACAGCTATAATAGCTATTTCTCTCCTATTTCTCTAAGACTGCGACTACAGATACATCATCTACGTTACTTTCAAATACTTTCATTTTTGTTACAATACAAAAAACCCAATAATATTAACAAAAGAGTGTTTTGTCGGAAAATATGTTTTATTTATGTAAATTAAACTGGGAAAAATGACAGCTAAGACAGCATGGGACCCACAGATGGGAAAGAAATCGAAAGTTGTCAGCTTCAAACATGTGTTTTGATTCCATGGATTCGTTGTCCTTCATTTGGGGCCCGCCATTCACAAGGGCTATGTTTGCCTTATTTTCACTAAAATTAAGAGAAATTAATTGTTTCTGATATAAATAATGCCGACAAAAATAAACGATTTTAAGTAAAATTTTAAAGATTAAAAATAAATGATTTAAGTAAAATTTTAAAGATTTTAAAGTTTAAATAAACTTAAGTCCTGGTCTGCCATAGCGTTTTCGTACTAGACTTCCCATGTGGCTATGTCTTGTCTATAAATCATGGAGTATTCTGGTAAGTCAAAAGAAAACTAGGGATTAATGTATTATTCAAGTAAGTTTGAATAAACACGATTACCAATTTCAAATGACCTGCATATGTAACTAGGAAACATTCCTTCCGATCGAGGATTAGGATATGACATAATGGCTGGAATAAGTAACTTAATATGATCCTAATTTGTTGACAAAAAGGGTATAATCTTAATTAATTATTTAATTACGTCTATTATATTAAACTAGGTGGTTGGCCCGCACCTGATGCGGGCATAACATCTTTAAAATAAGAAATTTATTCAAATATTTAATTATATAAGTAATATAATTTAAGATGATTGACTTTTAAACTTATATACATATACAAAATTAATGTGATAAAATCATTCAAGTTTCATTACGTTTTAGATGAGTTATTTATAAACTATATCAGTCAATTTCATATATTTTGTATTTTTCAATATTTTATTATGTTTTTTATTTTATTTTAGTACACAAAACCATATCAATTATTTTAAATTTATTATTTGTTTTCTTTAACGACTTTGTATTCTTATTCTTCATAATTTTTATCTTTCCATTTTTCTAAATTTTTGTTGTTGTTATATTCTTCTATTGTTTTTTTTTTCTTATTTCATTTGTTTGTCATAAAAATAAATATATTAGATGAAGAAAGAGAGAAAAAAACCCTAACTCATTCTTTCATAGATCTAGAAAAGATTCTACATTGCGCCTCCATGAACTATTTTGAAAAATTAAAACTAAAAATTTGTATCATTTGAAGAACTATCAAATTTGCTACAGGATCTTTAGACACTTGTGTGATTGTGTATGAAGTGGACAAACCTCCTTCCACACGGATGACCATCAAAGGAGCTCACTTAGGTGGAGTTTATGGTCTTGGTTTTGCTGATGATTCCCATGTTGTGAGCTCTGGTGAAGATGCTTGTATCCGAGTTTGGAGCTTAACTCCGCAATAAGACTTGAAGGTGAACTATAAAGATCTCTTTGTAAAAGCTTCTTACTGCTTTTTGGGGATCGTATAGAGGCTTTGGATCTTCCTTTTGGCCGTGGCTGTGTGTTGGTGTGTGCGTGTCTGTTTTGTTTGCATATCTTTGTCACTTTCTGTTTTTTCTGGTTTTGGTTTTTTGGTTTTCTAATTATTTTCAGATTACTGATAAAGAATGGGACTTGAGATTGTGTCTTCTCTTCTCTGCTCAATGTGTTTTGAATGAATTTGGGCCTATATACAGAATATGATATTGATCGCTTTATTTTTTCTTACTACAAGTTTACAATTAACTCAACGAGTATAGAGTTTTGTTTTTCATTTCCTACATGGAAAACACAAAACAGTATAGAGTTTTGTTTGTTTCGTCGAAGTTAGAATACAGTTTGTCAGATCAATAGTTAAATAACCTCTATCAATAAATGATCTCCATAATAGTGTAATTAGCCTCTAGATTCACATTGATCATCTCAAAACTCGATCACATCTTGTCTCTCTTTGTGGTCCTCATGTTTCTTTTTCTCCTCCTCCTCCTCTCTGTTTCCCGCTCCGGCGAATCTTCGCCGGCCGTCCCATTAGGCACCGGCGATCTTAACAGAAAAAGTTTTCCGGAGGGATTCTTGTTTGGAACCGCCACGTCAGCATACCAGGTCGAAGGCGAGACGCATCAAGACGGTCGTGGGCCAAGCATCTGGGATGCCTTCGTCAAGATTCCTGGTTAATCCCATCATCAATTTAATTACAAACTAAATTAACTGATTAAGTAATAATTTTGATTTTTTGTTTTATTTATTTTTGCCATTGTGCAAAACAGGGAAGATTATCAACAATGCCACGGCTGAGTTAACAGTGGACCAATATCACCGTTACAAGGTAATGTACCACTTAATCATAAGACTTACAGATTTTTTTGTCGAATCAAGAATTTATTTAATTTACACTGTGTTCAATGTTCATGGTAACCCCATATTAGGAAGATGTAGATTTGATGCAGTCACTGAACTTTGATGCCTACAGATTTTCCATCTCATGGTCCAGAATATTTCCTGGTATTTATTACTCTAGAACATAGAAAAATGATCACACTGCTTATACTAAAACTTGAAATTGTATTTAAATATTTATAATTTTAAGCTTATGAACACAGAGGGAACCGGTAAAATCAACTGGAAAGGAGTTGCTTATTACAACAGATTGATCGATTACTTAATCCAAAAAGGTATAAATAAATTCATAATACATCCATAGACATTTAGCTTGATTTAATTATTAGATTGATGAATATAATTTTAATTGCTTAGGGATTACACCGTATGCGAATCTGTACCACTACGATCTTCCTTTGGCCTTGGAGCAAAAGTATCAAGGCTTGCTTAGTAAACAAGTTGTGTAAGCACCAACCTCTAAATCATCTTCTTTTCTGCAAAAGCTTCAAATTCTTCAATGATAAAATGTGGCAATGCTATAGGGAAGATTTTGCGGATTACGCAGAGTTTTGTTACAAGACATTTGGAGATAGAGTGAAGAACTGGATGACATTCAACGAGCCACGTGTAGTAGCTGCTTTAGGTTATGACAACGGTATTTTCGCGCCGGCTAGATGCTCTAAAGCCTTTGGAAACTGCACCGAAGGAAACTCTGCGACCGAACCATACATTGTTGCACATCACCTTATCTTGGCACACGCATCAGCCGTCCAAAGATACCGCCAAAGTTATAAGGTATTATTATAACTTCATAGGCTCCTTTAATGTTGTTTGTATATGATAATGACGCTATACACAAACTCTCAGGAGAAACAAAAGGGAAGGATTGGGATCCTTCTTGATTTCGTTTGGTTCGAGCCTCTTACGAGTAGTGAAGCAGACAATGACGCTGCTCAAAGAGCTAGAGACTTCCATTTTGGATGGTACGTAAAGGTTTTAAGCTTTTGTATGTCTAACACTCAATATTGTATACCATTAGAATTTTGTGAGCTTATGAAAATTTAATGCGGTAATTTTCAAAGGTTTATTCACCCAATAGTGTATGGAGAGTATCCCAAGACGATGCAGAACATCGTGAAAGAGAGGCTTCCAAAGTTCACGGAGGAAGAAGTGAAAATGGTGAAAGGTTCCATAGATTTCGTGGGAATAAACCAATACACGACTTACTTCATGTCAGATCCTCATCTCACCACAAAACCTAAGGATTTAGGTTATCAACAAGATTGGAACGTCGCTTTTAACTGTAAGTTCTTGACTTCTTGTTCATACATGTCCATTCGTAAATATGTTAAACTGAGAGAAATCATCAAGTGGGGTACTGAGAAAATTTAGTCTCTACACATGCAGTTGCAAAAGATGGGAAACCAATTGGTCCAAGGGTGAGATAATGAATTTTCATTTTGATTTTTTTGTTAGTTAATTATGAGTTAATCTAATTTTATTATGTAAAAAAGGCATATTCGGGATGGTTGTACAACGTGCCATGGGGAATGTACAAGACCTTGATGTACATTAAGGAACATTACGGCAACCCAACGATGATTCTCTCCGAAAACGGTATTCAACAACAATATCTTTCTTTGTTATGTTATATCTCCAACATCTATGTAAATGTGGAGTGTTATAAATTGAATATAATATTTTGTAGGTATGGATGATGCGGGCAACATTACTCTAGCTCAAGGACTAAATGACACGATGAGAATCAACTACTATAGAGACTACTTAGTTCAGCTTAAAAAGGCAGTGGACGATGGAGCCAATTTGACTGGATACTTTGCGTGGTCATTGCTCGATAATTTCGAATGGTTATCAGGATATACTTCAAGGTGGGTTAATTCAGTAAGCTAGTGAATATGACATATATATATATATATATTTCTTTAAAAAATGTTAGTATATGTCTCAATGCTTTCTTATTTTTGTGTAGGTTTGGAATTGTGTACGTTGATTACAAGAACTTGAAGAGGTATCCGAAGATGTCTGCTTTATGGTTTAAACAACTTTTAGAACGGAATGAATAATGAGCTCAACATGCATATGTGATGTGTCCATGAACCATGAATTGATACAGTATGTGACGTGTTTCTACTATATAGGGAAATTTGTCAAAATACTCCAAAAGAAGAGAAGAGTTGTCCTTATACTCTTTTTTTTTTTTTGCCAAATCTTGTCCACTTGCACTTAATTAAAATTTTAACCCATTTTTAACCTTGAAATCACATTTTAGTCAAATTTAATAATAAATAAATAATTAAACTATTAAATAAATAATTGCCTTCAAAAACATTTTATAGTTGAAGCCTCTTTTTACCCGTCTCCAGCTACTAGCCTACTACAAGGAGTATGAATCGTAGTCTATGACTTTTCATTGTTGGTGACGATAGATAATTTATCAGTTTTACATATTTTAATTTCTATTTGAAAGTATTGTTATTTTTCATATATTTGGTCTTAATCTTGAATTGTTTGTTTGATTTTGTCAGGGTTAGTAAAACATCATTGATCAACAAGTATGCATTGACTTCAAAAACATTTTTTTTCTGTTGAAACCTCTTTATACCAATCTCCAGCTACTACAATGAATCATAATCTAAGTTTTCATTGTTGGTGACGGTAGGTTATTTATCAGTTTTACATACTTCAATTTCTCTTTGACATTGTAGTTATTTTTCATATATTTGGTTTTAATCTTGAATTGTTTGATTGATTTTTCCAAGGTTGGTAAAACATCATTGATCAACAAGTATGCATTGGAGTTGCGGTTATGTTGTTTGCTTCTCTTATTTTATCGTTTTTTAGTTTTTTAAGAGAATTGTGTACAATCTTTGGACAAGTAGCAGATAGACTAAACAAATAGCATGGTGTGCGCAATCTTACAGCTCCTATGCTAGATGGCCACTCTACAATCTGCAAGATGTTTTTCAAAATAATGGTTGATTTTTTTCTTAAAGGCTTAGCATAAAACTTTTCATAAATCAAAGTGTTTATGTGCTGTTAACTGTCATTTGACTAAATGTATCAAATATGAAAATAACATAGCTTTATTTCATGTAGATTTCAAGCTTTGACGATTGTACTAGCGTTTTTCATCCACATGATCAAGTCTCTTGCTGTGCTCTTGTCTTTGATCTCACCGAGAGAGCCTCCTTTGACAACTTGAGGAAGCACTTTGACGATTTTAACTCACAGGTATATAAACTATAAAGTCTTACATTTTGTAAATTTTAACATCAATTGTCAAAAGTGATTTATTTATTTATTTCAGGTTCATCCACACCCTTATAAGTTCAAGTTTGTGGTGATAGTCAATAAGAGGGACAAGCTAATACCCTGGCCACGTGACCGAGCGGTATGTGGTCATAGGTTTTTTGTTCTTTTTCTTTTGAAATAATACTTAGATTGACGTAATTTATTTTGGTTTCATACATATTTTTTTTTTCTTTGAAGGTTTCCAAAGAAGAAGCTATTGATTGGTGTTATTCACACAAAGAAGCTTTCTACTTTGAGACATCTGCTGCAGATGGATCGAATGTGGTGGACGCATTTGAGCAAATTGCAAGGTGTGGAATCTTGTACAGCCCATTTGCCAGAGGGCCAGTGTACAATATACAAGATATTTTTCAAGGGAACGGTTAGTCTTTTTTGCTTTTACCTATGTTTATGAGAGTAAGGCTGTAACTGGTGACCAAAGAATGAACGGGAATAAAACAATTCCATTTCATTACCTAAAAATTACACCATTCACAAGAAATGTGAATTCCATATTATTCCTTATCATTTCATATTAATTAGGGAATAATAATGTTAAAATATTCCTTATAAAATATAAGGATGAATGAGTTCCATATATTTTATTCCTCTTCATTCCATTCCTTCTCATTCCTTTGGTTCCTTTACATGTCACTAGTTAGAGCCTAAGAAGGCCATATTTTTTTGTTTTGGTTTCTTGATTCCTTTTCCATTCTCTCTCTCCTTATGACTTTATGATCTCCACCGTTGATGAAAAACCTTAGACCTCAAGAAAACCTTCTGCTGATCATAGAGAATTTCCCAAGTAGTTTCTCAAACCAGAACCAGCTAATAGCTTTCAAGTACCTTTTCCTTTGAGAAACTCTAGCCATGGTGCTTTCTTCGTATTTAAACCACCAATTTTTGCTCATTTTCCTCTTTGCCGAACTTGAATTCCCATTGTTGCTAACAAACAAGTCCATATGTGATGGCATCTTCATCTCCAAGCTTCTTATTCGCTTCATATCTCTGTAAAAGTACAAAAGATCTCTGCAGAGCCTTAATATCTAGTCAAGAATCTAGCAGAGATCTTTCCTAGCTTCTTTGTAATTCCCTGTTGCTTTCTTACTCTTTCATCATTCTCGCATGCCAATCTGAACTCATTACCCACTGTAAACCCATCTTAAGAATGTTTTGATTCAACTCCAAACCATACATCTCTCTGAAAGAAAACGTTTTCCCTGTCTTCATAACTTTATCATCAACTCCACCATTCCAGCCCCATTGGTTAGAGTCAGAACACTAGTAAGGAAATTACTCCTCTTTTTGTCAAAGGCCTTGAACTTCTTTGAATGTTTCAAGCTGATGTGATTCTTGGTGCGACACAGATTTCTTCTCTGGACTTGCTTCTTCTTCTTCTTGAATCATTTCTGTATCTATCATATCTTTCAAGTGTCTCTCACAATAACCTGTTGCAATCGATCGATTAACAATGTTGGCAACAACGTTTGTAGTTGAAACACTCAGATATGCATTTGAGTATATCCATATGTAACCCATCTAAGTTATTCACCAAATATGCCTAGGAAAGATTCACTCGAGTTCTTATTTGTGCAAACGTGTTGTGATAGTCCACTATTCCGTCTGTCACCTGCAACTTGTTTCATTCAGCAATTGGATCATCAAACCTCTCTTTCAATAACAGCTTATAAGTCAACCAATCCTTCATACTAAGAGCTACCAGTTCAGATTGTGCTAGCGATTGATGCCAAGTAGCTGCGACATCATCTAATCGTAATGACACGAACGCAACTTTGATTTCCTTAGGCGTGTGATCAATTCCGAAAAAAATGTTCAACCTTAAAGAGCCATTCCTTCAACTTATCTCCATTAAAACTAGGGAAATCTAATTTCGCCAGTTGAGTAACTCCATCATAGTGAATAGGCATAGCGGATCTTGAATACGGACCTTCTTTGTTGCCTGAGTCTGGAACCACATCATAAACTTGAGCTTTAAGTTAGGTTTAATTAGTTGATCGGTTGTCTGCTACTAGAGAGAAGAATCCGTTGATAACTGCTGGATCAGAAGTAAGTATTTGTTCTGCAGAGATCCGGAATCTTCCGAGAACAGAACACTGAGTCTTGAGCGTGATGGTGACCGTCGTGTCAGTGATCGGGTGAGCGCAGAGGATCTGAAATGTCTGATTCCAGACACGGTCGTGCTCTGAGCTAGTTTTAGCAACTTTCTTCTTGTTTATCTTGATGGTCACGTAAGCTGGTTTTGGTGAGACCACGTAAGATCTCAAGAGATGAGCGAAATATTTTAATTTTTTTGGTGGTAGTCTTGAAGAAAATGAATCTCAAATGTGTTTGAAGCTAGTTGATTAGTAGATTATACATAAAGGTGTGTGTTCATATATATAGTTTGAAATGTTATTGGTAAAACTTGTGGGTATCTCCATGGACAATCTTAAAGAAAACATTCAACCATATATATGAAAAAACATTGTAGGTGAAGTGTCTTTGAATACAAACCAAGCATTCGACTTGGGTTTAAAATCTCGAATTTTGTAAAAGCAATGTATTAAATTGTAGCGAAACAAAATTTTGGGACTAAAGTAGAGAAAGAATGGAAAAACTATGGTTGTCTTTGTAAATAGTTACGTGGAACAAGCCACGTGTAACAATAAAGCTTTGCCAGAAAATCCACTTTGGGACCCAATTTTATACGCTCGGTGGCTGATTACAATAGTATAATCCCTTTAATTTATGCCAAAACAAACACTAATCTGTCTGAAACTAACTAAACCTTTTTAATTGAAAGTTTGAAATAGTCTACTGTTGAATATTTTTGAGTTTTTTTTTATTGGTGAAGGAAATGTCTGCACGATGCTGACTATGTTTGTTAACACACAGATTGTTTTATATTTCTCAAATTCTTTTTTTCCTTGTTATGGTCTAATAAAGGTAAACAAATGCATTATGATAATTGATTAGTGATAAACCATATCATACATGTGTAATAATTTTTGGAAGAATAGTTGTTACTTTTCTCTTTTGATGGAAATTATCCTCAATTTGTAGTATTTGATATTCTCTATGTATAGCATAGCATATATGTTTTTATTTGGTTAATATGTAGTCGAAACTGTCACTAGTCTGATCGCTTCAAACATTTATGCGGTGGTGTTCTTTGCGATCATAGCGATTTTTTCACCATATGTAGCTTTGGCTTGAGATAGTGTTTCCACCACCATTGATTCCGAGAACGTTCCACATGATACCTTTGATACTCCAAATTCTCCTTTGTTTCCTTATGATTGTTTTTATTGAATATTTAACAAATTGTTTTGGTTGGTTTTACACTCTTTTTGTTGTGTTTTTGCAGATTTGATTGGATTATTCTCTCTCTCCCGAGAAGACACGCTTGAGGCATCTGAACTTTATACAATTCGAGATCACATTCACAACCTTTGGAAGTATAAATCGGATTACCAGGAGATCTCCATCTCTTTGCCAGGGCTCTATTTTACTAGCCATGAGACTTTGGGTGTGGCTACAAATGATATGGCAACCAGTGGCATGTGAGATGAATGTGAGATGAAGTTGTGTCTAATTATCGCGTATATGTAAGTCGTTGCATACTCTTTTTTTGTTCAGATTTGGTGCATACTTTCAAGTATGTATTAATTGCTTGTTTTTACTTATGTGTATTTTTTAAAAAGACGTACAGACGCAACATTGCTGCAATTTTTGGAAGACGTACGAGGGATGAGAGAGTGATTAGAAGGTTTGTCTACGATCTCTTAGACATGTGTCTCATCCACCAGTTAGTTGGATAAATGACAGTTGTGAGAAAACATTGGGAGTCTGCTTTTGGAACTCTCTCCATCTCGTCTCTGATTGGTCATAGAGTTATGCCACTTTTTTAATGTTTGTTTAAGAGTTGTTGAGATACTGATTTTGGAACCGTCTCTCCATCTCTTCTCTGATTGGTCACGGAGATTTATGCCACTCTTGTAATGTTTGTTTGTTTGAGAATTTTTGGTTAAAATGGGTTAATTACTTATGGTTGATGGATTTTAACCATTATGCTTCTCGATCTGCAGTGAGTTTTTTTCTATAACAAATGCCAATCCCACAAAGAATCTCCTAAAAATAATGCCAGAGAAAACCAATGGCCTCAAAACCAAAATTTTACTTATATGATTGACAAAAAAAGAAGTAGCAGATTTTGCATTTTTTCATGCTATTTTCCAATACATTGACATCACGTTTGCAAACAACTGTTTTAGAAAAACTATCGTAATTTCAAAACCATTATTTTCGTTGACAAAAAAAAAAAACCTTATTTTTCTGTGATCAATGATGGCTGTGAAATTATGTAAACACATTATCAGGATATAATAGGCCATTGGTTTCTCTAGTCCTACTCTCTCAACTCTTGACCGTGCTTGTTTTAAAGCACTTTCGTTTCACATGAAGAAGAATTATTCTTCTCAGACTTCAACATAATATGGAAAACTCTAAGAAAGTAGCCTAAATTAGTTATTATACATATAAAGAGGCACGAGTAAGATACCAAGAGAAATAAAATAAAATAAAAAAACTGATGTCAATAAGTTCATCCACATGCCAGTCGAAGGACATGCATGGATGACAAAGGAAGCAAAAGAAACTACAATGCCAGTATCGTAAAATAACCATACAACCTCGGAACATGATTTTGAAATGCATGACCGCTTGGCAAACGATAACGTGATATGCCTCTACGAACATCAGCAGTGGGAGAGGGAGTTGCTCTATACCATTCTTCTTCTCCATTAACAATCCATAACATGCAGAAGTACCCCACGTCTGTAATATCATCACAACACACGACAATTTTCTTCTCCTTGTCAATAATGTAGAAGCTCATGTGACCCGAGCTATTGGACCACTGTAAATATTAGTTTGGATATGTATAATTCAGGTCAAGAGATATACTCTAATTACTTTGTATATTAAGGCATTGTGAAAATTAGTTGGTCCAAGGGTGAGTAATGAATTTGATTATGAATTAATCTAGTTAATTTTATACAGGCATATTCGGAATGGTTATAGGCATATAGCACGTAGCCACGTACCATGGGGAATGTCTCGATGTACAACAGTACATGCATTAAAAAATGTTACGGGAACCCAGTCTATGAATCTCTCCCAAAATGGTATTAAAAAATAAAATCCTCAAAACTTCTTGGTTATTTTTCCAATATCTATACAATCTTGATAGATATGGATGATCTGGGCAACATTATTCTAGCTCAAGGATTAAACGACACGACGAGAATCAAGTATACTATAGTGACTACTTAGCTCAGCTTAAAAAGGCGGTGGACAATGGAGACATTTTAATTTTTAAGTGGATACTTTTTTTTTTTTTGATAACTGTGGGTGATCCAAAGGCTTTCTAGACCCAAGACTAATCCCACGAGGCCCACGGCAATCCACGTTTTTTTTACCATTTAAGGCAGCCCGGGTGGCCGGGGAATCGAACTCGTGATGACGGACATCTCAACTGAGGCTCCATTACCACCAGACCACGAGGACCCAGTTATTTAAGTGGATACTTTGTCTGGTTATATTGCTCGATAATTTCTAATGGTTATTGGAATATACTTCAAGGTGCGTTAAGTAGCTAGTAAATGTGATATTTCTTAAAACAATGTTACTATAAGACTTAATGCTTTCTTACTTCGTGTAGGTTTGGAATTGTGTACGTTGATTACAATAACTTAAAGAGATATCTGAAAATATCTGCATTATATGGTTTAAACAAGTTCTCAAACGCGACCAATAATGAGCCCAAAATGTGTCCATGGACCATGAATTGATTTAGATTTGAAGGAATGGAATTGATTACTGAAGAAAGAAAGTATATCGATTAAGGATTGAGGGTGAATATGTGTGTAACTTAATTTTTCTCGTTTTGACTTTTCAAGGTTAATAAAAATTTTAGCAGCAAAAACATTCTGTCTTATATAGTAATTGTACCTTGTAAGTTGTACCTTTCAAGTTTCAATAATGTGTATGGATACACATCATCATCATACTCGAGATTGCATCTGATGGGAACAGAATAAACAAAACAGAAATTGAAAATGTAAATTAACAAATGTGTGCGTTTGTATTTGCCGATTTAATTTACAGATATAGCGCCGAGTATAAATCAGTACAAATGTTTTTCTTAATTTCTTTGTTGTTGTGCTTTCGAGAGTTAAAGGAAGAATTAAGGAAAAATACGTTTTCACGTGAAGATGTGTGGGAGCAAGTCTAAGAAAGTGGGGCATGGTCCTGTCTTTGGGTCCACAAGGGACTGAACTTAATGGATTGTGATTTGACTAGCTTGCCCTTGTCGGCTTCTCTGCGTTCACGTTATTTTCTTTGGCACTTTACGATTCGCGTGATGACTTTTGTCTCAAAATGTGGACCGCACACGATAATTCTCTTCCAGGCACTTTTGTCTTTTTCCTTTTCTACTTTTCGACGTATTATCATAATACTAGTAGCATCTGAAAACAATTCAAGATACAGTAACTTCTGAAGTGTATTTGAAATCATTTCAAGAAATTCAAAATCAAAAATCCTCGGTCACGATTTGCGAATATGATTCCTTACACAAAAACAAAGTATCTGCAAAACGTACTATAAAGTATTGTTAAAAGCATATTAAATCATCTCTAAATTTTATATCTTATATGATTATATATATTATATTAAAAGAGACTGTCACTAATTCATTAAAATGGATAATGATGAAAAATATGTCTAAATTTGTGTTACTTTCTTACCCAATACATCCTCGGAAATTTCAGTCCGTGAACTTAAAAAGCTGCTCAGTCAGATACACATAAGATTACAATGCATGAATCAACATTGATGGATTTTCTATATTTTTCAAGAAAACATAAACAATTTTTTATTTTGAAAATTTTAAATTTGGTGAAATCCTCTACCAAGGTGATCTGTCTTTTATTTATAAAGTAACAGATCCAGCTTTCACTAAGATTTATTTATATATTTGAAACAATCATTAGAAAAAGTTAAAATCCAGTAAAAAGCCAACCTATATAGTCTTATCCAAATGTGTGAATAGACTGAATTCCATCCTTTCATACTTATTTAAGAAGGATATCCCAAAATGAAGACAGTATCATACCGTTCACGGACTAAAGAGGTTATAAATAATACTCCACTTACGACACCAAATTTTATCCCCTGACCAAAACAGTCAAAGCTCACTCACACAATGAGACACCTCTTCGCACCTCCGTGGCCTCTCCTCCTTCTCCTCCTAGTCTCTTCTCTCAGCTCCGGCGAATCCTTGCCGTCTAAAGAAAAAGTAAAACTCGACACTGGTGGGCTTAGTAGAGAGAGTTTTCCAAAGGGATTCTTGTTCGGAACCGCCACGTCAGCTTATCAGGTCGAAGGCGAGACTCATCAAGACGGCCGTGGTCCAAGCATTTGGGACGCCTTCGTCAAGATTCCTGGTTAGTTACAAATCAAACAATTTAATTACATTTGATTATTGATTGATTAATAACATAAAAAAATCAGGGACTATCGCCAAGAATGCGACGGCGGAGATAACAGTGGATCAGTATCACCGTTACAAGGTACTAAATGATTCGAATATATTTTATTTCACAATTCTATATATATTTTCATAATTTCGAAAGTGTTACATTTTGATTTACATGTGTTTCTGATAATCATATTTCAGGAAGATGTGGATTTGATGAAGAAACTGAACTTCGATGCTTACAGATTTTCCATTTCGTGGTCCAGAATATTCCCTGGTATATAAGTACTAATCATGTATGGTTTATATATTAAAAAATTAAGATTAATGTATAACTTGAAGCTTATAAATACAGAGGGAAGCGGGAAAATCAACTGGAAAGGAGTTGCTTATTACAATAGATTGATCGATTACTTGGTCCAACAAGGTATAAAATCTCAGATATATACAGTTTATTTGATTGTAAAACAAAAATAACGAATCTAATATTATGCTTAGGGATTACACCGTATGCAAATCTGTACCACTACGATCTTCCATTGGCTTTGGAAAAGAAGTATAAAGGCTTGCTTGGGAGACAAGTAGTGTAAGCATCAGTCTAGTAACTATAGGCAATACACTCTTTTGGTCTCATTTGCAAAATTCCTTAAACGTTAAAAAAATTTTACTGGTTCATATTTGCAGAAAAGATTTTGCGGATTACGCAGAATTTTGTTTCAATTTATTTGGAGATAGAGTGAAAAATTGGATGACGTTCAATGAGCCGCGCGTGGTAGCTGCTTTAGGTTATGACAATGGTATATTCGCGCCGGGTAGATGCTCTAAAGCCTTTGGAAACTGCACCCAAGGAAACTCAGCGACCGAGCCATACATTGTTTCTCACCACCTTATCTTGGCCCATGCAGCAGCGGTCCAAAGATACCGCAAATATTACCAAGTAAACACTATATCTTATAGTAGATTTGTTGGTGTGTGATATGATGAGATTTCATCTACATGACTCTTTTGTCAAACTATTTAACTCAGTGATCGATGTTTTCGTAAATTTTTTAGGCGAAACAAAAGGGAAGAATTGGGATACTTCTAGATTTTGTTTGGTATGAGCCGCTTACTAGAAGTAAAGCAGATAACCTTGCAGCTCAAAGAGCGAGAGACTTCCATATCGGATGGTAAATAATATTCAGACTTTTAAACATCTAAAAACTCATATGTAATTACCATTATTATTGTTTTCTTTGGGTGAGTTTACAAGAATTAATACTTTTTGTTGCCGGGTGATAATGATATTCTTAGGTTTATTCACCCAATAGTATATGGAGAGTATCCAAAGACAATGCAGAATATCGTGAAAGAGAGGCTTCCAAAATTTACAGAGGAAGAAGTGAAAATGGTGAAAGGTTCCATAGATTTCGTGGGAATAAACCAATACACGACTTACTACATGTCAGATACTCATAATGCCACCATACTTAAGGATTTGGGTTACCAACAAGATTGGAACGTGTCTTTCGGCTGTAAGTTTTTGGAAAATTCGAATATAAATCTGTGGATTCTGAATTTTATTTACAAACAATCTTTTATTATTTTTATTTTTTTATTTATACACTTACAGTTGCTAAGTTGGGGAAGCCAATCGGTCCAAGGGTGAGCTATACATGATTTTTGATGTTTTTCTTCTTTAATTAATCAGTGTCTAAATTATAAAACTAATCCATTTAACATAGGCATACTCATATTGGTTATACAACGTACCATGGGGAATGTACAAGGCCTTGATGTACATGAAAGAACGTTACGGCAACCCAACTATGATTCTCTCCGAGAACGGTATTAAAGACACAACAAATCCCTAATCAATATTTTCTATATTTTGTAGTATTTCAAAGATTTATAAATGTTTGTGCATGTTTTATAGGTATGGATGATCCAGGCAACGTAACGATGGCTCAAGGACTACACGACACGACCAGAATCAAGTATTACAGAGATTACTTAACTCAACTCAAGAAGGCAGTTGATGATGGAGCCAATGTGACCGGATATTTCGCGTGGTCGTTGCTTGATAACTTCGAATGGTTGTCAGGATATACTTCAAGGTACGTTGATTAAGTTATTCAATTGAATGTATGCATGTATATTACATTTCCGAATAAAAACTAAAGTATAGTTCTAATGTATAATTTTGGATAGGTTCGGGATCGTCTATGTTGATTACACAACCTTGAAGAGGTACCCCAAGATGTCTGCTCAATGGTTTAAGAAACTTCTGAATCGAAACAAGAAATGAGCTCGTGGAATGGTTTAGATATTAAGGCTTGGAAATGATATTCACCAATAAATAACGTGGCCGTGTTAGTCACTTTGTGTTATAAGTGGAAAATAATGTACCTTGAGCTTTCTTCTTCGTTTGACTTTCCAACGCAAATAAAATAAAAACGTTTTAAGCATTGAAAATTTTGCATTATGTTACCTCGCGACTTTCAGTTTTCATATTTGTACATCCTACTTTGAACTGAAGTGTTTTCTTTTGTCTGTGAGCTTTGACTCTAACCGTTATGTTAAACCGAATCAAAAAGTCGGTTTCTGAACTCTAACCGCTTATAAACCGTGTTTTTGTGATGTCGAATTTATGGGCCTAGCTACAGCCCATTTCAAAACAACTGATCCGACCCGATTACTGTTAAACCCGTTTGTTCCGACCACCCGATTCGATCCGTTTGTTTCTGATGCCGCCATCTTAAGAAATAAAACCTTGAAATTTTAGGGGAAGAGAGAAAGAATCAATCTCCATCTTTCTTCTTCTTCTTCTCCCATAGGCATAAAACCTTTCTCTTGCAGCCGTTTCTTGCATTCATCTCTTCAATTTCGAATTCGATTGATATCTAAACGGATTTTTTTCTATATTTGTGACGCTATGAATCGCGACGGCCAGTACGAGGCTGATGACGACGATGAGGATGAAGAAGAAGACGACATGGGTGAAGATCTCGAAGAGTTAAGACGTGCCTGTATGGTCTCAAACGCCAATTCCGATGAAGCTATCGCAAAAACCGGTTCCGCTAGACCGGATGGAGGCGGCGGCGGAGGGGTACCGTCGGATTCGGAGAACGAAGACGACTTGGAGATGCTTCGGAGCATTAAGAGCCAATTAGCACCGTCGAAAGATACGAGCGGTGGTTGTCCTCCTCCCATGGGTTTATCAATGCTCTCGGATTCGGAGAGTGAAGACGACGACTTGGAGATGCTTCAGAGCATTAAGAGCCAATTGTCATTGTCGTTGGATGCTTACGTTCCTCCCCTGAGTTTATCCGACGACGACGAAGATGACGCTTTAGAAACCCTTCGCGCTATTCGTAGAAGATTCTCTGCTTATGAAAATTCCGGTGAGCTCAATTGTGAATATAAAAACCAATACTTGTTTCTTTTCAAGTGATTAATTCGATTTTCTCAGCTAGTTATAAGGCTCTAATTCGATTGATTCAATTTCTGATGGATTCACGATGCAAGTATATTTGGTGTTTGCTTGTCACTGAAATGAGAATTTGTATGCAATGTTGCTTGTCTCTTAACTTTGTTACAATATGCTATGCTTTATTGTTAATAACTTGCTGTTTGATATGTGCAGATCCGGAAGGAAATTTCATGAATGAATCTACCGGGAAGAAAAAGCAGGTACATGCCTCGGATAATGAACCTTCAAGCGAAATATTGAGTAGATCTAACACTTGTGAAAGCTTTCCAGATCACGGCACTTTACACGAAAACACTGCCACTGAGCCTCTTGACCAGCTGGAGACATGCCAATTGTCTCTTCTTCCAGCTGCGAGTTCAAGTTTCCCTGAATCCGCACAGGCCTTTGTTGATGCGATCCGTAGGAACAGGTCGTACCAGAAATTCCTGCGGAGGAAACTGAGCGATGTTGAGGCAATGATCGTGCAGAACGAGAAGCACAAGAAGAACGTTAAGATTGTGCAAGATTTCCAGGCTTCTTGCAAGAGAATAACTAAACAGGCACTTTCTCAGAGGAGAGATCCTCGTATGGAGTTGATCTCAGTACGAAAATCTCGGCCTTCTGATAGCTCCTTGGAGGTAACACACTTTGATCTAATGTACCTGCCTCTGCTGTTTTGTTATCGTTTCAAAATGTTTCTTTTCTTATTTTTGTGCTTTTTTCTTGTAGGGTAATGATAAAAAGATATCTCCCTTGACGTTGGGTCCAGAGGAAAACGCTTGGGTTGCAAATTATAGAATGGCACTAGAGGAATATCCAGTTTCTGTGGATCGCAGAAACTGGTCTGCTGAGGAGAACCAAAATCTTGCAAAAGGCCTTAAACAAGTAGTTCAAGAAACACTGCTTTTTGAAGCTATTGAACGTTCCAGGTATTGCTTACTCTTCTTCTTCTTCTTCTTCTTCTTCTTTTTAGTTCCTTCTTGAATATTCCGGAAGAATTGACTGACAGCAATTTCTTAACAGTGACTTGGAAGGATCTACAGAGGATATAGACACCATAAACGAATCAATCAGAAATCTTGAGATCACACCGGAGATGATTAGGCAGTTTCTTCCGAAGGTTAATTGGGATCAGCTGGCGTCCACATATATGAAGGACCGTTCTCCTGCAGAATGTGAAGCTCGGTGGATGAGCTCGGAAGATCCATTGATTAACCACTGTCCGTGGACTGCAGAAGAGGACAATAACCTACGCTTAATTATCGAAGAAAAGGGTTTCACAGACTGGCTTGACATTGCGGTATCACTAGGGACAAATAGGACCCCGTTTCAATGTCTGGCTCGATATCAGAGAAGCCTGAATGCAGACGTATTGAGAAAAGAATGGACTAAAGAGGAAGATGACCAACTCCGTGCCGCGGTTGACTTTTATGGCGAAAAAGACTGGCAATCTGTTGCCAATGCATTAGAAGGAAGAACTGGAACTCAGTGCTCGAATAGGTCAGTTTTTATCTTCTTTCTCTACCCTTTCAGCTGTTGCAAGAATTAGTTTGTTTGGGGAAAAAAAGTCTAGAGGGTTTATAAACCACCCATCAAATCCATGTTTAGTCGATGTGGGATTATTTCATCACCTCAATATGCAGTCATTGATGATAATAATCCCTTAGGATTTAGAATGCGTTAGAGGTTATTGTCCTGTCATTTTGTGATACCTATTGGATGGTTAGATCTTATCCTCTTCTTCTGTTTTACTTTTCAGATGGAAAAAAACGCTTCACCCTACGAGGCAAAAGGTAGGGAAATGGAGCTCAGAGGAAGACAAACGTGTGAAAGTAGCTGTGACACTCTTTGGAGCTAAAAGCTGGCACAAAATTGCTCAGTTTGTTCCTGGACGGACACAGGTTCAGTGTCGAGAGAGATGGGTAAATTCTTTAGACCCCAGAGTAAACCGTGGGAAGTGGACCAAGGAAGAAGATGCAAAGTTGAGAGAAGCAATTAAAGAACATGGATACAGTAGCTGGTCCAAAGTCGCTTCAGATCTGTCTTGTCGTACTGACAGTCAGTGCCGGAGGAGATGGATGAGTTTATATCCTGAACAAGTGCAGCTTATACAAGAAGCTACAAGGTCACGAAAAGAAGCTGTTGTAGGTAACTTTGTTGATCGGGAATCAGAGCGTCCTGCTCTTGTCGCTGGCGATCCTTTGGCACTACCTGAGATACCTCTTGAGCAAGATCTTGAAATTGTAGCCCCTAAGAAACGCAAAGCAAGGTAAGTTAATCGAATAATCCTCACTCACAGTTTCACATTCACACACTGCTTTTGGGAATCTAAGTTCTTATTTTTTGTTGATGCAGACAGAAGAAGTCAGATGCTGAATGCGAGAGCGAAGTATCTTCTGCCGCTACAGAGAGACAACCAAAGAGGCGGAGAAAAGGATCAGAGAAATGCTCGGAAAATGTAAGTAGACGAGAGAATGCGTCTGTCTGTGAAATTGATGAAAACAGTGGAGACGAGATAAGGCTTTTGGATTGGTATAATGAGAACCAAGACGGTTCCAAGGAGAAGCAGAAACGAAGACGACGACCCAATTCCAAAAGTGTTGCAGAAACAACATCTAACAGCAGCACTTTGACCACCAATTGCTCTCAAGCCGAAGCTGGTGGTATCAAGAAACTCAAGCCTAGGAGGAAAGTGTCTGCAGTAGTTCCTATGGAGACCCAAGGTGCACCAAATTAGGTTTATTTGTTGCTCTTGAAAATTTTGTATGTATGATGAATACGGCTAAATCTAATCCTAACTATTTTATAGAAACAAACAATGTAGTTTCCGTGGTTCCAAAAACAGAAATTGCTTGAAATTATTGGAAGAAAAACGTAATTTAGTGTAAATGTCCATTTTCTGGCTAAACTTACAAGTTGCTAGTACTACACATGAAAACACCATTTCTGATTAGTATCCACAAAAAGAAAAATCAAAATTGTATACAATAATCACTCATGAGGTATTTGTGTATACGTGAGTACAATATCATGACATTACTTACTTACTAGCTACTTCTAATGAACTTCCTACGAGTGCTTACACCGTTCGTTTCATTTCCTTGGTTCTTCTTCTTCATCTTCTCTAGCTTCTGTCTATGTCCTTCTATATCTGTCTTTATCACTCGTTCTCTCATCTCATCTGGTAGCAAAGCCAGTCTCGAAAACTTCTTCGGTGACACAAACCCACCAAGTCTCTCTTTGATGTGGTTAAACGCAGGAACAAGGCCGCGTCTTATGAAACAACCGTCGATCAGCTCCATCGCGCTTGATTCCGGTAAAGACACCGAGTCTTTCAGCTCCAAGTCGAAACAGAACGGTGAGTCCTTCAACCACATTCTGAGAGAGTGAGCTTTGGCCACTAGAAGTCCTGTTCTTGTCTTGCAAGGAAGATATGGAGATCCCATCTCCCAAAGACAAGCCTTTAGTGTTTTGTCCAGCGATATACCGTTGTACTCTGCGGTTCCTGTGATTAAGACTACTGACTTTGGAGATTCTGGGTACCCTTCAAGTGATGCATCCTGAAATAGGAGTAGAGGTTGAGGGTTATTGGTGAATATGATAGTGATTGTCAAATATGCATTGATATCGAGAGAGGAGAAAGAGATGAATCACCTGCATGTGGTCAAGCCATAGAGTAAGGGCAACAAGTGCTGCACCTCCCGACAATCTTCTAAAATCAGCACCCCAGTCCTTCTCCGCCACCCTGAAAATCAAAATCACTAAACACCTAAGCGTTTGCTCTAAACTAGTGTAGAGTAGTACAAGCGCGACCTCTCCAAAACAGACGAGTTTTGTACAACAGGACTGACCTGAAAACGTCGCGACTGAAGATACCCCTTTTGATTGCCAACTGGAAAACCCATGATGCAGTAGCTCTGAGTTCAAACGCCCAGAGAAGATTCAAAAGAGCATTAGCGAAATTGAGAGCAGCGTTGTCCTCTATGGGTTTCAGTTTCTCGAACCATTCATCCACCTCAGAAACTAGCAACTCAGGTCTTCCAGCTAATAGCCTGGTAGTGGTATTAAACATAAGAGGAAAAAACATAAGAATCAGTATGCTGGGTTATATTATAAGAGTAAGTTCATGTATCAGATTTATATGATCTTAATTGTGATGATAAAAACCATGAACCCTTTTATTAGGACAGTATTAAGGACTTCGCCAAACATGACTAACAGAACAATATTTTATCAAGGAATGCATCAGATCATCCATGACTGAATTCAAAATGGTATATATAGAAACTCGGAATCCATACCTGATAGGAAGATCAAAACCAATATCTTGAAGAGCTTTCAGCAGCAACATGACTTCGTTTTTTTCCTTGGAGAAACTCGCTGCCCTAACAAAGCAAGTCCATATCCTGTGGTCTGGCTCAAGGCCTTCTCTCTTCATTTCCAAGAGCCTTTCTATTCCACTGGTATAATCTTTGCTCCGAAGGTAAGCATCAATAACCGAACTATAAGGCAGAGTTGTTAGTTCCACGTCTGTTTCTTTCAGGTTACTAAGAACTTTTTCAGCTTCTTGGGGCTTTCCTGAAGAACTATATGAAACCATGAGCAGATGCATTGTAGCAAGATTTGGTTCTATTCCTGCATTCTTCATCATTTCCAACAGCTTCTCTGCCTTAGCGTCGCTTCCAGAATCTCGTGATATTTTCATCATTGTGTGGTAAAACGAACGGTCTAGTTTATAACCTTTCGAGAGAAGCTCTTCAAACAGTTGTTCAGCTTGTTCAAGGCATTTTTGCTTACCAAAAGCAGAGATCAAGCTCTTGTACGTGTCCAGTTTTGGGTCCAAACCAATGTTTCTCATTTTCTGCATAAGCAAGTACCCTTCTTCTGGTCGTCTGTCTCTGCAATACATTATAATCAGAGTATTGTAAGTGGTCTCATCTGGTTCCAGTCCAGTTTCTTTAATCCTCTGGAACACTTGAACTGTCTTCTTGTAATCCTCGATAGCCGTATACATCTTCAGCATGGAATTCCAAACAGCGAGCTCAACCTTGAAACCAGCTTCTTCCATTTCAGAAACCATAACCTCAGCATCTCTGACTCGCTTTCCTCTGCACAAAAGCTCAATTATCATCCTATACAGGCGAATCGTGGGCAAGTAACCAGCAGCCTTCATGCTATTGTATATCTTCTTCACCTCAAAGATGTTTCCAGCTCGGGCAAATGCGTCAAGCATCAAAAGAATGGAGCTTTTGCTAATCTTAAAGCCCATATCTTGCAAATCTTCAACAACAACGTATAGCTCCTCAAGCCTCCCATCAACACACAAAGCATGCAACAAAGTATTCATGGATTCAACACTTGGAGATGGACCATCCCTCATCATAGTGTTAAATATTGCCCTTGCTCGCTCGTAACAGCCACACTCAGCATAAGCCGTCATCAAACTGTTCCATGTCTTCAGATCAGGAGTTCGTCCACTTTGTCTTAGGTTGCCAACCACACTCTCTGCTTTCTGCCATAGCTTCAGTTTCCCATAAGCCTCAATGATATCAGTATACATAGGGGAACAAGCAAAGTGGAAACCTTTTGTCTCAGCCTGATTTACCAATTGATGAGCTGTCTCTGGAAACCCAAGCTCGCAATACACAACAACCATGCTTTTACAAACACTTTCTGAAGCTTCGCAACCAGATAGTCTCAGATCAGAGAAAACTTGAGAAGCTTCAGCGTAATGTTCATTTGCTACACAGCAGTGTAATAAAGACTCATACATGGTGGAACTGCCAGAACTCCATCCATGAACACATGCATCAGCGAAGTATTCTTCTAGAGCAGCAACTATATTGTTAACCTTGCAATGTAGAACAATTAGTGCTTCATTTATAAGCCGCTTAGATCCACCGGCGTGTTCTTTCAAATATTCAAGTAACTCGCATGCTTCTGAATGCCTGCCTGATGAACTGTAGGAACCCAGGATTGATAAAAGAGTGTCGTTTTGCAGTTCATAGCCATTGGTGATAGCCACTTTCAACTGTCTAGCAGCAAGATCGAAGCATTCTCCCTTAACAAGAACTGAGGAAATCTCTAGTGGGTTCATGCCACACAATTCTTCCATATCTCTGATGGTTTTCTGAATGTAATCTGACCTGTTTTCCTTCATAAGCTCAAGTATCATCAACTCATAAAGACTCTGAGACGGTGTATGACCATCAGAAATCATATCCCGATACAAAGCCCACGCCTTTCTTGTCTTGCTGCCTCTCAGAAACACATCCAACATTACAGAATACGCTAAATTATCAGGTTTAGTCCCTGAGCGCAACATGCAGCTGAAAGTATCCTCAGCCTCCTCTCGCTTCCCAGCCTTGGCATAACCGCAGATGAGAGCACTGTACGTCTGCAGAGTTGGTTTGATCCCAACATCAAGCATCTCAGACATGAGAGCAGCGGCTTCCACAGTTCTATTTGCTTTCCCAAGCGAATCGATCAAAACTGTGTAAGTAACAGCATCAGGGTTTCTACCTGACAAACCTTTCATGTCCTTATAAAGCTGTAGCGCAAGATCAAGCTGCCCTTGCTTTCCATACATGTGAATGATGGTGTTGTAAGTCATCTCGTCTTTCCCAAACCCCATTTTCTGCATTTCCTGGTACACTTCCTTCACCTTCTCCGTATTTCTTTCTCTGGCAAAAGCATAGAGCAAAGAGTTGTATGTCACCGCATCAGGGAAATAGCCTTTAAGCTCCAGCTCCGTGAATAGCCTCTCAGCTTCAGCAGCAAGCCCACATCTTCCGTAGACGGAAATCATTGCATTATAAGTCCACAAATCAGGCTGGCAACGATGAGCTTCCATGTCCTCGAAAACCTTCACCGCCCCTTCCAAATTCGAATCTCGCGAACAGGCACTGAGCAGAGTGTTGTAGGTGATAGCATCAGGCCTGAGACCTGAATCTCTCACCATATCTAATAGCTCAACAGCCAGATTCGGAGTCAATCCACCAGACTTAAGCCTAGCGTTGATGAGAATGTTGAAACTTATAAGGTCAGGAACACACCCTCTCTGACGCATTGCATCGAGCAGCTCTTGTGCCTTTGAAAACTTGCCGCTACGAGAATAGACTCCCATCATCGCGTTGTACACTTGCACCGTGTCTCCGACGGCTGGCTCAGCTCTCGTGAAAATCTCCACCGCAAGCGATTCCTGATTCCACCGTCCCAGAACGCCGAGTATGGCTGCAACCATCCGGGCGTTGGGTGAGAGCCAATGACGGAGGTTGAGCCACTCGAACACCTCTAGAGCTCGTTGCCAGCTCTCCTGACCAACCGATTTCACGACGAAGCAGTAATCGGTGGGAGTCATCTGAACGGGGCGAGCATCGAGGATATCCGCCACGAATTGATTAGGTTTCAGGGCGAGAATCTTATCCGTCAGGAACTTCACTCTCTCTCTCCAATCCTTGGCTCTTATCAGAGCAACCTTGTTCATCTTCTTCACTCTCCTTCTCCGACTCGCCACCGCGGATTCCTCGTTCGCCTTTTGCTCCTCGCTGGAGCCAACAGAACCGGCGAATTCATCGGAATCGGGGACATCGGTTGGTGAAACCGGAGAAGAAACAGGCTGCGATGGTGCTGAATTTCTGGAATCATTTGTCTCTCGGAGATTCAAATGTGGCCATCGAACTGCCGGAGAGGCTCGACTGTAGGTGAATTTCTGAGTAGAAGTGCTGCTGCTGCTGCTCCCTTGCTCATCTTTAATCTCAGAAACCGTCACTGAAGTAGAATTAAGAGCGGCACGAACGGATAAGGCAGGGGCTAAAGAAAGAGGAGAAGCAAAAGCTAAAGCCCCTGCAGAAACCGCCATTAGTATCTCTCAGCTTCATATATCTGTTGCGGAGGATATGTACCGTTGTAGATGAGAAGCGAGTGAGAGTATGATATTTTTTTAAGGTTCCCTGAGAGAAAAACTTCATGCCGTCTGAGATTCTAATAAACAGAAACACCTTGCCGTTTTCTTTAACATAAACTCCATGCTGTTGTATGAATAAAAATGAAAACACATTGCCGTTTTGCTGTGACATCGGCTAGTTGTTGTTGTTGACCAAAGTTACAGTCATAGCCGGTGAAGAACTTTTATTAGTTACAAGATCAAGAATGTTTAATTGAAACCAAACTCGTGACAGTGATGATTATCAGTGGCTAAAGGTTTGGACTTGTTGGTTTTGAGGATTAATTAAACAAAAATCGCCAAAATAAAGGTTTTGGAGGGACTAATACATAAGAGAGCTCTCAAAACGATACACAGTCTGGAAAAATCGGAGAAAATCAAAAACAGCTAAATCTTTCTGCGAGATTTTGTAACATTCATCATCTTCTTCCTTATTCTTGTGTTACTCTAGTAACGACCAATACCCCAGACCCTGACAACTCCATCAGTGTAGCCACTGAACAATGTGCTTCCATCTGCACTCCAGTTCAAGCTTGTGCAGTAAATCACCTGCATTTCACAATTATGGAATATTCCCATTAGAATCATCATCAATCTAGAGAATCAAACAACACTCAAGCTAATGGGAAATCAATCTCAACAGGGAAATGATTCCTCCGAACAATAATCAAGCAACTTACTAACCAAAATCTCGTTTTTCATAACCAAAGATAAATTACCCTAAAATGATTACCAACTAATATCGAAATTCCAGTAAAAATTGTTGTAGTGACATACCTTCTTCTGGTTTCCGGTTCCGACGTTACCATCAGACTTCTCAGCCTCAGCCTTGAGGTCAACCGTCAAGGTCTCAACAACACTCTTGCTCTCAAGATCCCAGATCTTAATACTGTTCTCAGTCGCAGCACAAAGCCAGTATCTGTTCGGGCTAAAGCAAAGCGAGTGGATGATCGATCCAGCCTCAAGCGAGTAAAGCTTCTTCCCTTCAGCCAAATCCCAAAGCAAGATCACACCGTCTTTGCCACCACTCGCGCACAGCGAACCATCGGGAGACACGGCCACAGTGTTGAGGTAACCAGAGTGTCCGTGAAGAGAGTTCCTCAGCTTGCAGTTCTGGAGATTCCACACTTTCACGGTGTGATCCCACGAAGCGGAAACAATGGTTGGCACAAGCGTGTTGGGACTAAACCTCACGCAGCTGATCCAGTCCTTGTGTCCATCACCTTGCTCGCTGATCGTGTACTTGCACTCACCCAGAGTGTTCCAGAGCTTGATCGTACGGTCACGAGACGCGGATACGATCTGACGGTTGTCGACGGAGAAGGCGACGGAGAGCACGTCTTTGGTGTGTCCGACGAATCTTCTGGTGGAGACACCGGTGGCGAGGTCCCAGAGACGGAGCTCGCCGTCCCAGCTTCCGGAGAGAGCGAACTGGCCGTCCGACGAGAGAACGACGTCCTCAACGAAATGAGAGTGGCCGGTGAGCCTGCGCTGGGCAACGCCGTATGACTTGTCGTCCTTGGTGAGTTTCCAGAGGATGATGGATTTGTCGCGCGACGCCGTGACGATGATGTCGGAATTGTCGATCGGTGTGGCGATTGCTGTGACCTGGTCGGTGTGGGCGCGCATAATGCCCTTCAATACGAGTCCCTCGGCCATGGTTTGGGGTTTGGGAGAGAGACGACTCTAGGGTTTTTTGTTCTCTTCTGAATCCAAAAATGGCGTAGCAGAGCGAGAGAATTGGAGATCGAGTGAAATGAAGATATTTATATTCTAGGTCAAAAGTAAGGAACTAGGGTTTGGTGCAGTTTCTGCAAGGAGATTAACCATTTGGGCCGAAGTTTACATGGGCCTCTCATTTTTTCGTGGAGAGCGTTTGTCATTGTATTTCAGAGTTTAGAGAAATGTTGTTTGGTAACAGAGAGATCAGAAGAGCAATTAAGATTGTGAAACTTAAGACGAATCCGATTCAAATGTACAAGGGTTTTCCTAAAATACAAAGAAAGGAATCATTTTGTGATCCTTTTTAGTCATTGGATCATTATTATCTGTTCATAATTTAGCTTGTTTGATACACTTAATCATGGAGTGCACAACACACGGTGGCTTTGTGATGACCTTGGTACACTTTCACTTCTTTTCCCGCTGGCATAGACCACAACCTAGCCGTCATGTCCGATGATGCTGTGCATATTACAAAAACAAAACCAGTTTAAAGACTGTTCCTTCAGACAAGTTTTCCACTGGTTTAATTTAAGATAGATATTAGTTACCTGTTACAAGAAATTCTCCATCCACTGAGAAGACGCAGTCCCAGACCCATCTTTGATGTCCTATTAGATAAGTAAGAGCCATGACAGTGTTAAGGGTAAGAGCGAGAGTAATAGAGAAACGAAGACTCCTTTCCAAAAACAATGAGATCTCACCTGTTAAAACTTTCTCTAGTTTGAAACCATCGACATTCCATATTTTGACGGTTTTATCAGATGATGCGGTCGCTAGATATCTGTCAACAAACAAATAATAGTAAGAGGCTTGAAAGGGGCAAGAGGAAGAAAACGGTTTAAAAAACAAATAAAAAGAAACACATTACTTGTTAGCAGGAGAGAGCAGGCATTTAAGGATATGGCCATTATGAGCTTGTAGCTTATGAAGGGGCTCAAACTCTGTCATCGTCTGAAAACAATATAATTTTTTAAATGGCATGACAATTACAGTAATGCGACTATATCACGGTTAAAGAAAGACAGGTTTGCATATCAATAAGAAAACTACCTGTTTTCCACGCAACAAGCGCCAAACATAACATGTTCCACGGTTGTTAGCAGCAACAACCATTGTCCCATCCCACATAACTGTTAGAGACCGTACAGCTGTATCAACCTCTGGTACCTAAAGTAACACAAGAGCATCATAATCCTTTTACAATGCTGTTAGGCTGAACGCTAAGGATTCTCTCAGAAATATAAACTAGGATGAAGAAATGAAGACGTGTGAAGGCAATTACCAGTTCACAGCTACAAGAGTTTGCTCTGAGATCCCATACACGGATATTGCCGTTTTGGTCTCCAGATATCAATTCAGTCTGTACAACAACAACAACAACAACAAAAAGCATAGTTCATGATAGAGACCAAACACATTGTGATAAGAACTGAGACAAGTATCAGAAAAGCAAACACAACTGTGTTAACTGCAGCAACACGGATCTCTTAAGTAAATACTGGCAGATGACTTTTCTAGTTGATGTACCTGATTTGGGTGTAAAACAACTGTGTTTACTGCAGCAACACTTTCATACTCTCTTTGGCAACCTGGAGCCCTACATTTTGGTTTACGAGTCAACAATTTGCAGCTAACAACGCAAATCAACTAAGGAAGCAGCTTCAACATTTTATCCAATATCTTAACTTTTTGCTACAATTCTCATTTGGATGAATGAATTGATTCACATATTTAACTAAAGGAAACAACAAAGATGAAGAATGAGATAATCTACCTTAAGTCCCAGATCTTAACAGTGCCATCTTCTGATCCTGAATACATCCATTTCCCATCACACTGGAATCCGACTGCCATAACATTGTTGGTGTGTGAATCATACGTCATCACCTGAACATGCACAGAGATAGTCATTCAAGCAAAGGCAGAAGAAAACACCACACTGAAGATGGGTAACAAAAAAAAAAAAAAAACGGAGAAATTTACAGGTTGAGGGCTGTTGGAATTGACTTCAAAGAGTCGAATATGAGGATTGCAAGCAGCTGCCAGATGACGCTTATCTGGAGTTATCTCGAGTCTATTCACATGCTGATTATCCCAACAAGAAACACCGTTTTAGTCATTTGCCACACAGTAATCCCCAATTTTGGAGCAGAGGGAAAGCTTACCGAGTCAGGATACTGAATAGTACGGTAACATCGACCGCTCTCGGCTTCCCAGAATCGGATCGTGTGATCATAGCTAGCTGTTGCGAGAACCACACATGGCTGACTCATTCTCGATCAATTTTATATACTGACAACCATTTGCTGATTCTGATCAATTTCCAAGGATCAATCAACAGAAGAAGTACGATCCTAGCAGAAATCTTCAAATTAGGGTTCCAGGATTGAGGATCGAGAACTTGGAAAGAAGAAGAAGAAGATTGGAAAATCAAAAACAGTGGCAGAGACAAGAATAAACAGAAATAGGGTTTACCGTTTTAGAACATAGCTCTGACATTAACGTTGGGGATGTTTTAGTGATAAATATAAATGTTGGGGTTATTTAGTCATGTATAAATAAGTAAGGGCCAATTTTGTTATTTATACAAAAGTAAGAGGAAGAAAGAAAATGATGATCCAAATATTTCCAAACCCTTGTCCTCCTCTTCAGTGACTCCAAAAGTCAAAAGAAAACTTTGTTGTCTCTCCCACTTCAGTAGCGACTTACATTCCTACGAAGTTTTTGAGAAACGACAATGGCGGCTACGAAAGCTCTGGGATTTGGTATACCGACGGGCCTATCAATCGACCCGTCGTTGAACCGTCGCGGAGGAGTAAAAGTTTGCGTCGTCCGGTGTTCCGTTTCTCCATTCACCTCCTTAAGCACTGCATCTGGTAACGCTCGCCACATTTCCTCTGTGCACTGATATGATAATGTTGTTCCGATGAATTTGACTAAAGTTACTTAGCATATACGAATGCCACAACCTCTGGCTCAAATTGGCTTTCAATCTAATTTCAAATGATGAAGCTTTTCACTTTCAAGCCTCTTTCTGTTATCAAAGATATATGATTTGTTTGCCTCAATCATCATATCGGCGCTTTTTGTAAATTTGTTTCTTTCTAGTTTGATGTGCTGAAACAAAATGATATTTTCCGGTGGGTAGGTGTTATGGAGAAGCCATGGAGCACACACAACGCGAGGCTTGTGTTGGAAGACGGCTCCGTATGGTCGGCTAAGTCCTTTGGTGCTTCTGGAACCCGTGTTGCTGAATTGGTGTTTAACACCTCTTTGACAGGGTAAGACTAAAAAGATTGATGCTTTTTGGTTATTTAATGTCAGTTTTTATATCACATGATTGTTAATAGAGCTTCTTAATGGATCTCTGACTTATTGCTTGCCTCTTTTACTTAAAGGTATCAAGAGATTCTGACAGATCCTAGTTACGCCGGGCAATTTGTGCTGATGACAAATCCACAAATCGGTAACACTGGGGTGAATCCCGGTGAGTGGTAAATTAAATTCCTGTTTGAAGTTCTGAAACTTTCTTACACGCTGTATATTGTGTTGTGATGTTGAGATGTGTTCTTTTTTGCTTCTTTCATTCAGATGATGAAGAATCAAGACAATGCTTTCTCGCTGGTTTGGTTATAAGAAATCTTAGCATCAGGTAAGAATCAAGTCTTATAACTTCCTCCACTGAAATTGGATAATAGTTCATTTTTTCCATAATATGATAAATTGTGTGCAGCACCTCAAACTGGAGATGCACAAAGACACTTGGTGACTATCTATCAGAGAGGAACATTATGGGAATTTGTAAGTTTGTTTGGTCTTTTTGATAGTGATTTAGATTTCCAGAGATTATAATCAGGTTTGAAACATTTCTCATTTTACCAGATGATCTTGACACAAGGGCAATAACTCGCCGATTAAGAGAAAACGGTAGTCTTAACGGTGTGCTTAGCACTGAAGGATCCAAGACAGACGAAGAACTTCTGCATATGTCCCGTTCTTGGGACATCAGAGCTCTTAATTCTTTCTTAGCTCTCTTTTAAAATATGACCAGCTTCGGATATGTGATATGACTTCTTGGCTGAATCATTTGTAGGTCTTGATCTAATCAGCGATGTTTCATGCAAATCTCCTTACCAATGGTTTGAGAAAACAAATCCAGATTGGGATTTCAACACAACTTCACATCACAATGAATCATCCTACAGAGTTAGTTTTACTTCTCTCACCTCTCAGCTATTTCATCACTACCTTTCTGAATTCTAACTCTGTTTCCATTTGAAAGGTTATCGCATATGATTTCGGGATCAAGCAAAACATCCTAAGACGCTTGGCGTCATACGGCTGCGAAATCATCGTTGTCCCATCGACGTGGCCAGCTTCTGAGGCGCTTAAAATGAAACCAGACGGGATTCTGTTCAGCAACGGTCCAGGAGATCCTTCTGCGGTGCCTTATGCGGTTGAGACGGTTAAAGAGCTTCTTGGAAAAGTTCCTGTCTATGGAATCTGCATGGGTCATCAGTTGCTTGGACAAGCTCTTGGTGGTGAAACCTTCAAGATGAAGTTTGGTCACCATGGAGGAAACCATCCTGTTCGTAACAACACAACTGGCCGTGTTGAGATCAGTGCTCAGGTTTGTCTCCATTACTATCTACAGCTAAAAAATGTGTTTTGGTTTGAGATTGATTTTGTTTTGTACGGTTTGGACAGAACCATAACTATGCAGTAGACCCAGCTACACTTCCCGGAGGCGTGGAAGTGACTCACGTTAATCTCAACGACGGAAGCTGCGCCGGTCTATCTTATCCGGCGATGAATGTCATGTCTCTTCAGTATCACCCTGAGGCTTCTCCTGGACCTCACGACTCGGATAATGGTAAATAATAACCGCTCTTTTAATTTTCCTTTTGTTCGGTGAGTTTCAAACTGTAATTTCCCAAATCTGATCATGTATGCAGCGTTCGGAGACTTCGTAGAGCTTATGAAAAGATATAAACTGTGAGGGTCGTTGGAGAATGGATGAAGCCTCCAGAGGAAAACTGAGGAAAGCCATTAAGGAAAAATTATCTGAGGATCCAATTTTCTCTGCCTCTGCTGTTAAATTATCTCGGGGAAAGAAAAAAATTAGTTGCACTACTTGTTTGAGGATCCAGTTGAGGTTTGTGTTCACGGATGTAATTTGTCTACTTGGAAATTTATTAAAGGAAAACTGAATACATCATCATCTGAAAGATTGGTTAACTTCTTCCTCAAGCAAGTGGTCTAAAACCATCCATTGAACTTTGTATTTAGAAACTCTATAAATTAATATTCGATAAATCAATAAAATTGTATGCTCTTATATTAAGTTTTTGATCCAATAATCTTTCGATAAATTAATATTTCGTTAAACTAATAAAATATCTTATACCCGACATTATTAATTTATAGAGTTTCTACTGTATATCTATCTATCTATCTATTCTAATATTATAGGGTTACACTATTTTTCACTCTCTGAAAGGTTGCCATGTGTCACTCTATATTTTTGATAAGTGTCTCTTTTCAATTCAACATCAATAATTTTCCAAGTTAAGTTTTTTTATCAAGCAAATATTTACTTAATATAAATTAAACAATCAAATAATATTTAATTAATGCAAACATATGTAAATGCAATATATATATATATATATCTATTTTCTTAAACAAAACAATTATGCAAATAATTTGATATTTTACTATCCAAATGATGTCCATAAAAATATACAATTAACACCACATAAAATTAATTAAATCATACATAGAAAACTATTTTCACACAGATTTAATAATGCAAATATATATTTCTGTAAACTATACAGTTAAACCACATTCAGTTCATACATATACTTATGCAAATCTTACATGTAATATCTATATATATATAAAGTTGGTGTGATTCTTTTCTTAAGCTGCCACCTCAGCAAAAGATGATGCTCTAAATTCATCATTTCAGCACAAACATTTAATATATTATATTTTATCTTTTTTTCATTTTTATAATAGTTATCATTCATTAAATAGGCTTAACAAGAAATGAAAAGTCATTTACAAAAAGGAGAAAGATTTTATATAAATCTATAAAAACTATTATTTAATAATAATAATAAAAATAAAAATATATTATACAAAAAACACTGTTTTTTCTTTATAGTATTTTTGGATGAAAAGAGACGAGATTGAATATGACGAGACGAAAAAAAATAGAATTGGAGAAGAGGGGAATTTTGTTTACTTCTTATGATATTAAGTGACGAGACGAGATCTAAAGGAACATAATAGGACAAGACAAAATTTTGCCTACCTCTAATTATATTTAGGGGTGGAACGGAAAAAACGAAAAAAACATGATGAGAGGACAAGACAGAAATGTTGGACGGGACAAAATGAAAAGAAATGGAATGTGACGGAATTTTGCCTACTCCTAATTATATTTAGAGACGAGACAGAAATAAAATAAAATGGAAATGAACATAATAAGATGTGATGGGACTGGATGGGGAGAAAAGAACAAACGGGATAAGAAAGAACATGACAAGATGAAAAAGGAACAGAATGAGATAGAATTATGTCTACCCCTAATTATATTTAGGGAACGAGACAATAATAAATAATATGGAAAGAATCATAATGGGATAGGATAAGACTGAACGGGACGGACATACATGAAGAACGGGACGGAAAAATCGTACATGATGAAAATGAACGAAATGGGACGAGATAGAATAAGATGGTACAAAATATTTGCCTAACTCTAATTATATTTAAGTAATATGTATATAATATCTTTGAAACAATATTAAATTTGCGGAAAAACAATAAAACTAACACAACCCGCGCGGGTCACCCCCTAATATGTGAATATCGAGTGCAAATTGTATTTGTATTGATTTGGCTCTGATAGAACTGGAACCAAGGACTGTAAAGAGAGTAAAAAACAAAGCAAAACAAAAAGTCTTGTAACTGATTCCGTAAACTGTTGTGGGACGTACGGCATTTTTAATGCGATTTGTTATTTCGGTTATAACGACGAGATTTGGATTTTATTTATTTTTATCTAACCGTGTTTAAAAGTTAAAACCATTGACTATGTTGAGCCTTGTTCCATAATTAGGTTGATAAATTAAAATGGCCGACGGCAGCAGCCACTACAAAAAAAGCGGCCTTTAGCGTCAGTTTTTAAGTTGCTTCACGTCATTTTAAGAGTGACGTTAAAAACTACGCGTCACTTGTCAAAGTGACCCAATATGCACCGACGTTAATATTCTGTGCATCACTTAAAAGAACGACGTTAAGTTTAACGTCAAAAAACTAATGTCACTTACTAAACCAACGTGTGAACATAACGTCAAAAAAACAACGAGTCACTTTCTAAACCGACGTAAAACTAAATTTTAAACCGACGTAATACATAAACATTGATACTATTCTCTCAGTAAACTAAACTGTAATTAAATGTAATTACGAACATAATGGTATTGCAAACATAAGCATAAGTAATACTTTCCATTTAATTTCAACAAAAACAACAATGTACTCTCAGTCTTTACACAGAATATAAGTATGTTTCAAACTAAAACCAGAATACAATTTGAACATATAAAGGTTCAAAAAAGTCACTGTAATATTCGTTGTTCATCATCATATATGCACCAAAAGCTCTCCATCTTGCTACTGGCTTTTCACCGAGCATTTTCTCCATCTTGCTACTGACACTAAAACATCACAAAGTCGCATAAAAATCAAGTACCAAACGAACAGAGAGATAAAAGTAAGGATTCAGAGTAAATAAAAGCACAAGGACCACATAATTTTGCCTATCAATCACATCATCTTCTAAGCACCAATTTTCAGTTCAGTTCATAATAACTCAAATCTACCATCAATGAAGCGAGTTCTGAAAGTAAAGCTGGTTCTAACAGTCCAGGAGATGGGAAGAAGAGAAAACAGGGAGATGATGAAACACTCACCGATCCGTTGCCGTTTCAGTGACTGTAGAGAATTGTGAAGGTGGGAGCCCGAATCCATCCATTTGTTCAAGTCCTATGACATATTACTGTACAAACGGTAAATACGATCCCATCAGTAAAGATCCAGCAGAGAGTTTTGTTGTTTTCATTAAGGATCAACCACGGAACCTTCCAATAAATGAAATAATCACTCCTCAAGCTCCTAGTCAAGAAACCGAGGAACTTGAAGACAGTTTTGATTTTGGAAATCAAGTGATTGAGCAGATATCAAATAAAGATGCAATCCTGGCGGCTACTGCAATCCAAAACTAAAACTAATCTCGTATAATTGATTTGACTCCAACAATGGTAAAATAGAGGAGAACATATCATTTTCAAGTGAAGTTCTTCCCAGTTCCAATTGCAGTCCTTGAAGTGCCATTTTCATGAACTTGTAAATAAACTCTATAGTCGAAGTGTTATGCATAACTTACATACAATTTTTTACCAGATCACTGCAGATACTAGATGATTGATGAAGATTGGTATTGAACTTTTTGTTCCCACCTATTGCATTCACCTTTAAAGTGATACTCTGTGTTACCTACAAGAAGCTCTCATCAAGCCAGATTAACGTCTACGAGTACTTTAAGCCCAAATAATTTCAGTGGCAAAGAAACACATGACATGAACTTACTTGTAGCCTTTAAGATTATTTACATCACTCCATACCTTCCAGTGGAACCGTAGGCAAACATTGTAGCGTTGAGTCCATGGACAACCACAGAGATCATAGAAGATATACTCCTATAGACATTCTGAAAGCCAATGCATATTTTAGATTCATAACTCTAAATCCAATATCCAAAAGCTTAAACAAGTCAAATATCACACATGTCCATTCACTAAGATAGTCACATACACACTACAAACCTAAACATTTTCAGAAAAAAATCTCAATATGATATACAAAAACTATAGATACTATGAATCACAAATTTCCAGAGAAACGGACCTTGTTGGTGCTCTTAGGGCCAAATCCATGGTCAAAACAATACTTCTTCTATTTGGTTCGATTCTGAATTCGGTTAACGTAATCTTTCGATAAGTCAGGGTCCAACAGGCCCTCTTTGTTTCCTCATCTAGATGGAGCATGCAGATGATCCATTCAAATGGTCCATTTGGATGAATCATTTGGATGATATTTGGATTTTTTCATTTTTATTTAAATGGTTCAGCTAAATGGTTCATGTGTTATTCATATATCTTATTCAAATAGTCCATCTAAATGATTTTAAGTAAAAAATGACCAAAATACCCATATTATTTTTGTTAAATCAAGTTTTTTTTTATCTAGATTAATTTTCTAAACATTTCAATATTAAATCTAAAATAATATCAAAGCCATCAAGCTTGATTTCACAATTTTGACGAAAATATAATTTTGCGATTTTGACAGAAAAATTAAAATTTTACAGTTTTAGTTGGAAAATACGACTTCACGCGATTTAGCTTACAAAATGCGAAATCACATTTGCGTTTAAGCGGAAAAACACGATTTTGTTGTATCGCCAAAAACGTGATTTCTCCACTTCAAAAAAACGTGATTTCTCGGTTTCAGCTGGAAAAAAAAAAGCAATTTTGCGGTTTTAGCGGAATAACTCGATTTTGCGGTTTTGGCGGGAAAATGCGATTTTGCGGTTTTGGCGGGAAAATGCGATTTTGCGGTTTTGGCGGAACAACGCGATTTTTCGATTTCGGCAGAAAAATGCGGTTTTGGCGGGAAACCGCGGTTTGGCGGAAAACATTTTGGGCGGAACAACACGATTTTTCGATTTCGGCGAAAAACGCGATTTTGTTGTTATGGGGAACAACATGATTTTTTTGGTTTCGGCGGAAAAACGTGATTTTATGATTTCGGCGAAAAACGTTATTTCACGATTTTGGCGGAAAACGCCATTTTGCGATTTTGGCGGAAAAACGATATTTTGCGGTTTTGGTGAAAAAATGTTTTTTTTTGGGCGAAAAACGTGATTTTAATATAATTTTGCGGTTTTGGTAGAAAAACGTAATTTTACGGTTTTTGTGGAAAACGTAATTTTACGGTTTGGGCGGGAAAATATAATTTTTTTGATAATTTTGATTTTCTAGTTTTTATTAGAAAAAATATTATGAATATTTTTCTTGAGTACATATATTTAGGAGTTTATGTGTCATTTGCATATTTGGGATGGATCATCTCTCATCCAGATGCTCCAATTTGGATCAGCCAGATGATCCATCTGAATATCAAAATTTTTGCCTATAAATTCAAAACTCATTCGGATGGATCATCTGGATGTTGTTCATTTTTGTTGTTAAACGAACATCATTCAGCTGTCCAGCCAGATGATCAACGAACATGGCCACAATCACCTCCTAAAATTGAAAACACAATTAGGGCGAAACTTTCAAATCGAAACAATTGCAGATGGAGCTCTAATGCTCGGCATTTCGCCACTACAGAGCCAAAAAAAATCCCAATGCGAGGTCAAAATTTAGGAAGATAATGCAGATTTTCTCGGGAAACAAACAGAGCCTCAACGATCAAAGACAAATATAAACTGACTGCTAAAAATCTTAAGTGAAAAGAAGAATAAATCAGCTGAGCCAAAATATCGAATTTTCTCTCTGTACAATTCACCAACCTCGTCGAAAGAAGAGAGACTGATCGATTGGAGTTAGAGAAAGAAAAAACTCATATCGCGCCGAGATCTGATTTCAATCGAGAGAAAAAACGATTTCAAAGAAATTGGAGACGAAGAGTAACAGATTGGATTTTTCGATTTCGTTTTTCCAGATTGAGATTGAGAGTGTAGAGATCGTCTAATAATATAATTAAAGGAACCGGTTCCTCGATTTTACTACTCTTCTTAGTTTTAAATTAACGTCAAATTAAAATAAAATTAACGTCAGTTTAATAAACGACGTTATCTTCCTTCCTTTTTTCTATTTTCCCGTCGGTTGATATTCCGACTTAAAAAAAGTGACGCCACTTGACCAATCTCTTGTAGTGAGCGATCGCCGTCTGCAAGTCGAAAGAGCAGTAGACTCGATCAGCTCTTTACCAGATGTGATCCTCCAGCACATACTCTCTTATGTTCCGACCAAACTCGCCATCGGAACTTCCCTCTTGTCGACAAGATGGAGGCACATATGGTGCGGTACACCTTATCTCTCCTTATGTGCCGATACACTGACGGCTGCTTCGGTAAACGAAACCCTAGCTCGCTACACAGCTCATAAAATGACGGATTTTCACCTCAAAATTAAAACACCACGAGTCAGAGTTATCGCCACACCGATACGTGGATCAAGTTCGCCATGTCCCGCAACATGGAGAATCTGTCCCTTGATCTCGGGAGTTTTTTTATTGATGAAAACTGTACGTTTCCTGATTTCTTCTACATGAGTTCCTCTGTCAAGCAACTCAGCATCTGTTTAAGCTTCCGTGATAAGCTTATTCCCAGATCCTCTGTGTCTTGGACATCACTCAAGAAGTTGTCTTTGCGTCACTGTATTCTCTCAGATGAACCCATGACAAAAAGATTGTATCTGGTTGTCCCCTTCTCGAAAGCTTAACATTGTCTTTGTGCTGTAAACTCATGTTTCTTGATCTCACCAAATCACTGCGCCTGAGATCATTAGAAGTGAACCGTAACATTTGCGGTTTGAGGTCAACACAGATTGTGGCACCACATGTTCATTCTCTCAGATTTAGAAACACTCACTTATCACGTACTTTAGTTGATGCCGCGTCTTTAACCGAAGCTAAACTAGACATTTTCTTTCTCTCAACGGCCTTGCACTTCGATGCTGATTTTCTTCAAGTCACCGTGTTCAAGATGTTAGAAAAGTTACACAACGTCGAGAAGCTTACTTTTGGAGGAAACTTTCTTCAGGTGTGTTATTGACATGGATTAGTTTTCATTAGAATTTTGATTTTATATAGGTTTTAAGAGCGTTTATGTTACGGTGCTGTGGTATTTTTATTCATTATATCTTTCTGTTAGATTTTATCTCTTGCCGAGGTTCTTGGTGTTCCTTTCCCCGAGTTCAAGGTCAAAGCTTTGACTTTCGAGACAGTGATCTTTCGATATGTTATTCCTGGTATAGAAAGACTCTTACAAAACTCACCTGATTTAGAGAAGCTAACACTACGCGTAAAGAATTGCAACACAATAACGGTATTATTCTTTTCACTATTAACCTTGTTTTTGTTTTTACTCGGGTCTTCTTTCTAACTACACCGTGTTCGAATGTTGAGCAGGAAGAGCATCTTGACAAGTTCTTGAATTCGCAAGGCTTGAATACGGATCAACGCTGGAGATCAAAAGATGGAGTCTTATGGAACAAGTCCCATCAGAATGTAGAGGCAAAGCATGTGGTTTCATTAGTGGAACTTGTGTTTAAAAACACAAAGATATTAGACAAGATTGTCCTACTGTTAAACGAACGTTACACTGGGTCTATCTCTGGAGAGCTGGTTGCAACACTTTCTCACAACAACAAGGTCTCCACTTCGCGCTCCACCGACACATCAGATGGTTGGTGAATATTAGAATTAAGTTAGTCTCGAGTATTGTTGAACATTTTGTTTCGTTCGAACCCTATTTGAACAAGACAATATTTTTTATTTGTAGGACTAGTTAAATTTCTCATGTATAATTAGTTTTCTACTTTTATGCAATAAAACAAACTATGCGTCACTTATCTGACTCTGATCATATAAACCCCAAAAGATACATTCTGACTAAATTGTGCAATCGATCAATCTCAAAATGTTATGAGAGACTCATGAGCAAGTGTGAGTGCAACTATAATTGGTTTGCCATTTTTCATAACTTAAAAATAAAAATATAATTAAACCTAAATTAAATATTGGAGATGCTCTAATTCAAACGTGATTAAAACCTTTTACTATATATATTGGGCCTACATTTATTATTAGGTTGATAAATTAAGATGGCGGACGGCAACTCGACCGCCGCTATAAGACTCAGCAGCAGCCATCGCCGCCTGAAAGTCGAAAGTGCAGTAGACTCAATCAGTGCTCTACCTGATGTGATCCTCCAACACATACTCTCTTTTGTTCCGACCGAATTAGCCATCGGAACTTCCCTCTTGTCGACAAGATGGAGGCATGTATGGTGCGGTACACCTTCTCTCTCCTTATGTGGAAATACACTGACGGCTGATTCCATAAACGAAACCCTAACTCGCTACACAGCTCAGAAGATGACGGATTTTCACCTCAAAATCATCACGAAGAAGACTATTGGCCACATGCACATATGGATCAAGTTCGCCATGTCCCACAACGTGGAGAATCTGTCCCTTGATATCAATAGTGGTGGTTTCATGAATGATGATGAGTGTAACTTTCCTGATTTCTTCTACATCAATTCATCTGTCAATCAACTCAGCATTAAGTCAACCTATCTTTGTAACATCACTCCCATATGCTCTGTGTCTTGGACATCACTGAAGAAGTTGTCCTTAAGTAGTTGTGGTCTCTCTGATGAATCCATGGATAAGCTCATATCTGGTTGTCCCTTTCTCGAAAGCTTATCATTGTGTTGGTGCAACAAATTCAAGGTTCTTGATCTCACCAAATCACTGCGTCTGAGAGCATTGGAAGTAAAAATTAGTTGCGTAACGGAGATCGTGGCACCACATACCCATTGTCTCATATTGAGATCAGCGTTATCATGTACTTTAGTTGATGCCGCGTCTTTAACCGAATCTAAACTAGACATATTTTTTTTCTCAACGAACTCGAACTTCAAGCTTGATTTTTTCCAAGCCATGGTGCTAAAGATGCTAGGAAATTTACAGAACGTCGAGAAGCTTACTTTTGGGGGAAACTTTCTTCAGGTATGTTTAAGCTTCACTATTCATTACTGTATTCTCTATATAGTGCCTAAAAATCAGTTTGCGTGCACTCAACGTTTTCTAGATGGATTGGTTTTCATTAGAATTTTGATTTTAAACTTTATGTTATAAGCATGGTGCTGATCAAGTATGTGTTGTGGTATATACTCACTATATCTTTTTGTGTGTTTCCGTTAGGTTTTATCTCTTGCCGAGGTTCTTGGTGTTCCTTTTCCGAAGTTCAAGGTCAAAGCTTTGACTTTTGAGACAATAATCTTTCGGTATGTTATTCCTGGTATAGAAAGACTTACAAAACTCACCTGATTTAGAGAAGCTAACAGTACGCGTAAGGGATTGCAACACAATAGTGGTATTATTTTTACCCTATAAACCTCTTTTTGTTTCTCACTGGTCTTCTTTCTTATTACCACCGAGTTCCATTAATATATCAATCCAAGAACTCTTATCGTAATTTAATTATTTTGTTAAGCAGAACGAGCATCTTGACAAGTACTTGAATTTGCAAGGGTTGTACTTGAATTTGCAAGGCTTGAACGCGGATCAATGCTGGAGATCAAAAGATGGAGTCGCTTGGAACAAGTCTCGTTGGGATGTAGAGGTGAAGCATGTGGTTTCGTTAGTGGAACTTGTGTTTAAAAACACAAAGACATTAGACAAGTTGGTTGTACAGTTAAACGAACGTTACTTTAGGCATATCTTTGAAGACCTGGTCACGACATTTTCTCACAATAACAATGTCTTCATTTCGCTCTCCCCCGACACACCAGATGCGTGGTGAGTCATAGGATTTAGTCTCTCGATTCTTGTTTTGGTTTTTTTGAACAATTTTACTTTTGAAGGGCTGTATACTTTACTTAGTATTGAACATATTACATCGAACCCCATTTGAACAAGACAGATTTTCTTTATTTGTAGGACTAGTTAGGTTTCTCATGTACAATTAGTTTTCTACAGTCTTTTGTTTTTTTTGTTTACACGATAAACCTGGCTCTGATCATATAAAAGTTAAAAGATGTAATATTCTCAAAATGATTATTCTAGCGATATGAACACTTTTGAAACAACAATGTTAATGGTTGGTGCGCATGCGTTTCTTGCTGCAATGCATGTTAGATATCAGAAAATATTATGTTTTCTTTGTGTATGTTCTAGATCATTCTTGATCCATCATACAACTTGTATATTACTATTGAGAAATGTATCAGAAGACCTTTAAATGTACTTGTACATAGGTATTCATAAAACTTAGATGTATTGATTTTGTACTTGTGCGTAATGTTAGGTCAAAGTTTAAGTCTATTGGCTAATTTTTGGAGAATCTAGTGAAACGTAGCTATAACAACAACTAATGGTTCAACTTCAATTGACTCTGACTTAAGAATAGTCAAACTTCATAGGAATAGTCAAACTTCATAAGCCAAGTACTAGGGCTAAACCTTCTTCCACAGATTTGCATAAACTCATCCCAAAATTGTAATGGAAATTGTTAAAATTTCAAAAAAAAAAAAAAAAAAAAAAAATCAAATTCAATTCCATTACTATTTTGGGCCTCATGTATAGTAAGACGAAATTTGAAAATTAAAAATAAAAAGGCTGTAATTCTTCTCTAACCCTAAGAAGTAAGAAGATTTCAAAGCCAAAATTAAGATGAAGAACGGCAATTGCATAGCTGCTGCATGTATCCCTAGCCACCGCAATGTTCGCCGCCGTGAACTCAAAGAAGGAGAAGGAGTAGTCTCAGTCAGCTCTCTACCGGATGAGATCCTCCAACATATCCTTTGCTTTCTCCCCACGAAATTAGTTGTGACAACATCGGTCTTGTCCAGTCGATGGAGGCATATATGGTGCGATACACCTTCCATCTCCTTGAATAGCTCCACATTGGGGGTTGCTTCGATAATGGTAAGGCAACATCGCTACAAAGCTCCGAAGATGATGAGTTTACACCTCCAAACCGGCACGAGGGAGAACGTTAAACACATCAACACGTGGATCGAATTGGCCATGTCCCGCCGTGTGGAGAAAATGTATTTGGAACTCAAGTTTAAAAGAGGTTACTATGAATTTCCTGATTTCTTCTACATCAATTCCTCTGTCAAGGAGCTCAGAGTTGCGTTTATGTTTAACGCAAATTTTACACTGATCCCGAAATGCTCCGTGTCTTGGGCATCCCTGAAGAAGTTGTCATTACGTGCATGTAGACTCTCCAATATGTCCATTGCTATGATTCTCTCTGGCTGTCCGATTCTCGAGTTCTTGAAACTGGATTCCTGCGATGATCTGCGGGTGCTTGATCTCAGCAATTCGCTACGTCTGAGGACATTACATGTAAGACGCCCATACATCGGCCCATACTTCAGGGATCCGAGTCCGATGCAGATTGTTGCACCACATGTCCGTTGTCTCAAACTAATAAACTCTCTGTTACTATGCGATTTAGTCGACCTCTCCTCTTTAGCTGAAGCTAAACTGAGCATTTACTTTGACGATCTTTTAAGAATCGAGCCTGATTCTCTTGGAGTCCTGGTGGTAAAGATGGCAGAAATGTTAGAAAAGTTGCACAATGTAGAGAAGCTTACTCTTGGGAGAAAATTTATTGAGGTATGTTTAAGCCTTAGTCTTGCATATTTCATATTTATGTTTGGGTATTTGACCATGCTCTATGCTCTTTCTGTTAGATTTTGTCTCATCCCGAGCTTGGTAGTGTGCCTTTTCCGATGTTCAAGATCAAAGCTTTGACTCTTGAGACACCCTTTGCTGAGGCTAGCTATGTTATTCCTCCTGCTATTGAAAAACTGTTACAACACTCACCTGATTTAAAGAAGCTAAACCCTACACACAAGAGCTTGCTACACAAAGCCTGGTATATATATTTACCATAATCAATCCTCTTTTATTTCTACTTGACCATTCTTACTATCAACTGAGTTTTGAACCATATTCTCGCTTCTTTTGAGCAGAATGGTCGGAAGAAGTCCCGTTGGGAAGAAGAGGTAAAACACATGGCTACATGCATAGAATGTCTGCTTAAGGAAACAAAAGCATTAGAGAATATGGTAGTACAGTTGGACGGTCGCTACTTTAATGCAATAGGGTTTGAAGAGATGGCTCAGACACTTTCTCGCAACTACAAAAATGTCTCCATTGTGTTCTCAACCAAGCCGACGACAATAGAGGAGTGGTGAATCATTATTCATAGGGGTTTCGGTATTGAGTCTTGCTGAACAGTTTGCATCCATCCCATTTCAACATACTAGAAGAAGACTTTTCTGTATTTGTAGGACTAATAATGTTTTGGAGATAAAGTTTAAACCAAATGTTTTGACTTTTAGGTGTTTCTTGCATGATTTTTTCATCTCTTCTAAATCTAATCCTCGTTAGCAATATTGTTTGCATCTGTCTATACTGACGGCTGCTTCCATAAACAAAACCCTAACTCGCTACACCGACATGAACATGTCTATAACATAACGTAACATGATCAAGTTCGCCATATCCCACAAGGTGGAGAATATGTCTATAACATAACGTAACATGCATAACAGAGTATTTTATCTCTTGCCGATCGAGATCCTTGGTGTTCCTTTTCCGAAATTCAAGGTCAAAGCTTTGAATCTTTCGGTATGTTATTCCTGGTATAGAAAGACTCTTACAAAACTCACCTGATTTAGAGAAGCTAACAGTACGCGTAAAGAATTGCAACACAATATTGTTTTTTTTTCTTTTTTTACCATACACCTTTTTTTTGTTTCTCATTGGTAGTAAGTAGTAACTACCACCGAGTTCCAGTATATATATACCCAATAACCTTTTTGTAATTTATTTTTTTGTTAAACAGGAGAAGCATCTTGACAACTACTCGAATTTGTAAGGCTTGGACGCTGATCAATGCTAAAGATCAAAACATGGAGTCTTTTGGAAGATGTCCCGTTGGAAAGTAGAGGTGAAGCATGAAGAGCACTACGGACATGAACACGTAGAACTAACGACAACCACATAAAAAAACAATATAACTAACTACAAAAAAAAAAAAAAAAAAAAACAATTATACTATGGTGAACTTTTGGGAGGGAAAATTCCCGCTCGTTTGAGGGAGAGAATCTATTACTAATAAAAGTTGACCCGATATCTATTAGAGAGTGTCCACCTAAGATTCTAAAACTGAATTTGATTGGTCCACATAAGAACCTTTAAATAGTTTCCTTTTTTTATTGTTATTATGATATTTACTTAATACTTAACTATATTTTTATTCATATTAAAGTAAAGTGTTTAGAAAATAGAAAAAATAAAACTTCTAATGAAATTAAAAAGGAAAATATCTACATAGGATTAAAAAAAACTCAATTTAATTGGTTCACATAAGCACTTTCAAATAGTTTCCTTTCTAATTGTTATTATGATATTTACTTAATACTTAACTATATTTTTATTTTTATTAAAATGTTTAATTAGGAAATATAAATGTTTAATTAGGAAATATAATTTTTTTCTTTCTAATGACATAAAAAAAAAAATTATTTCATATGAGAATATATATATATATATATATTTTTAATTTCGTTTTTCTTAATACAAAATATAAAATATTTAAAATTATATATTGTTAATATGTTACATGTTCATTTTATTATTTTGAATAAAAGATGTTACAAGTTAGTTTTAAATATATGTAAATAGATATGGAACTTAAACAAAAAAAAATTATTGTATATAAGTATCCACATATTATTAGTTTGGTGATTTATATGCACCATATCATATATTAAAGTGGAAATAATATTTTGTCGTGAAGCTATGTTAAAAATAAAAAATGCAATTATCTGTCTATAATTTTGAGAAAGCTATTGAATAACCGGAAAATGGACCAACATGAATACTCATTAACTGAGTTCAAATGCATTCCAAAACAAGATCTAACCGTCTAACCGAACTACAATAAATCGATTATTCTAATGTTCAAGGAAAATACAATATATAATTCTTATCTTTTAAGTCTTTATCTAAAGAAACTAATATTACTTAATGACAACAAAATTTAACAAATCAACAATTATCGATGACTGAATAATAGATATCTATAGAAAAAACAACAATTAGATGTTAGAATAAATATATGATAGATCTAAATTCAAATAGGACTCAAAACAAAACAAAAAGGGTAAAAGGCAAATTGAATTTAGATAGAACCTCAAAAAAATCTGATTCTTCAATGATGAAACGTGCATCTAATTAAGTGTAATTTAGTGGATGTTTGGAAATTATTCGAAAAGATTTGTGGTTAAGAGGATTTGGTATTTATTGTGACCTTCAATGACATGCAATCTATCAAATTCTGAAACAAGATGATTAGTAATGTTTATATAATTGAAGGAGAGGAGAGATAGGGTGAGATGATTGGTATTGTGCATATAATTGAAGCAGAGGACATGTAGGGTGATAGTAGGGATGTAGGGATTTCGACGAAACTGAGTTTAAATAAGATGTAATTTAAGGTTTTTGAAAACACAGTGGCAAAAGAATCGCATTTTTGAATCTTCATCTTTGCATCTCAAAAACGAAGGTAATGAATTTATAATTTCAGAATGATGACTAAACCCAAAATTTGACAAAACTAGACTCTTGAACCGAAAACTGAAGATTTGCTTATGTATATTAATTAAAAATAATAGGACAATAAAATTTGGGGATTAGTGTAACTTGTCCAATGGCATGCCTCTATGTCTTACGAGAAAATACGAGAAAGGTTTGAATATTTTTTTTATTATAAATTATCAGAAGAAAATTCCTTCTACTATCTTATATATAATTAGGGAGTTGCTCTCTCCATCTAGAGTGTCCACATCAGCACAAAACATTAAATTTTATTTAAAATATTGATTAAATATATGATTATTCACATTTCTTTACATTTATTCACATTTAATAAAAATATACAAATAAATTAATTAATTAATAGAAAGTATGTGATAATTTGATGTTAAAAGTTATCAAAAAGTTGGAATATAAAATAGAGATGGAGTAAAGAAATATTTAACTTCAAATAGTATATATTTACCTTTTTATTCAAAGGATTTATCTATTTAAAAATGTTATAATGTGTTTACAAGTTAAAAAGTTGAATATAAATTAATTAAGATAATAGAAAGCTAATGAAAATTAGAGTTAGAGTTTGTTTTTCTAACAAATTGAAATGAGTTTTATATGTAAATTTAATTGTAGTGAAAAACAAGAATATGTTTACAAATTTTAACCTTCAGTCAAATGCATATACATATTTATAAATTTTAACCTTCAATCAAATACATATACATGTCTAATAGAAGTAAAAAAAAGTAAACAAACATAATATTTATAACATGATAAAATTTTAGAAATAGAAAACTCGAGATAAAGCAGAGTGTTAATATCCTAATAAATTAAAATAAAAAAAAACAAATTATTCATATTTTTTAGTGTTAGTGGTTGAGTTAACTCAAAACATAACAAAAACATGAAAGTTAACACAAAACCATCATAATTCAAATCAACGAGTATAAATAAAATTAAACAGAAAAACTATCGCAAACAACCCCGCGCTTGCGCGGGGCTTCAAACCTAGTTGTGACTAATTATAAAGAATCAAAATGATTCATTAAAATTAAAAATATAAAAATTTATAATGATAAAAGAAACTTTATAATATTTAAAAGAAATGTAAAAATTGTAAAGCATTAGTATCTCTGAACTTTTCAAAGAGTTGAAAATTATAAAATTTATAATCTTTTTTTTTCTAAAATATAAAAACATAAAAACGGAACCTATATTAGTTCTCTTTGTTAGTGGACTCGCAAAAATTTCTCTTTGTTGGTTCCTTAATTTTTTAAACAACATAGCTATATTCTTAATTCCGAAGCCCAATATAGGTAGACAGCAAATTAACCCTTGAATTTGTTCCTTTTTTTTTTTCTGAACAACTTGAATTTCTCCTCCTACTTGGATTTTTACATATTTTTTTAGTATTGGTATCGAATGGAAGCTGAAAGTGTTAGGCTTAGCATATTTTTACTAACTATTTGGACCTTGCAAGACTAAATGTAAATTGGGAAAAAAAAAATGTATTATTTTATTTATTTATTTTTTTGTTAAATATCAGATGTATTATTTTCTTAAGATGCCAACTCATCAATTCCTATTGTAAAATAATGACAAACGGGTCTAAATGGTGACATGAGTTTTGTGGATGTTGAGAAATCTAGGAATATTGTTGGCTGAAAACTTTAAAGTTCAACATTTGAGTTTGTGGAATGAAATTGAATTGGTATATTACCTGTCGTATCTTATTTAACCTCTTAGTCTTAGTGGTATCTTATTCAATAAAAGGAAATGTCTTACCTTTTCAATATTTTTTGTTTTAAAACTTCTAATAGTCAATACAATATACATGATAAATTAAATTATGAAATAAATAAATATACTTCAGAAATTATTTTCAATATCAAAATTCCAAAACTTAGTTACTGAATAATTAATCATATTTTCATACTATTTATTAAATACTCACTATATTAATTTTTTAATTATTATATCATATGTATACTTAATTATTCCACAAGTTAATTTTCTATTAAATAAAATAATAAATAATAAAATCACAAAACTAAAGTCATCAAGAATTATCTGAGAAGCTAACAAAATAATAAATTACCATTCGAAATCTGGGATTTGATCCAAAAATTTTTCTTAAATTTTGGATTCATTGAGGAGTCCGATCTAGATCTGGATAGACAAATTTGTATCCATCAAAATAGGATTTATATACAAATATTTTTATTTTAAGGGTTCTTATTGAAAAGATTATTGTTTTTTTTATAAACAAGATAACTAGCGAGAATTTCTCAAAATACGATGGACAAATATTTTTTGATAACACTATGGTTCTCAGATCGATAAACAATTAGGACATTACGACGAAGACAATGCAAGAAACTAGGAAAAGAAAACAGAAATTAGAAATAATGATTAATTTCAAATTATAAATTATTATGCGCTTTACGAATGGAATCATTATCAATTTTATAAATTGTAAATCTAAATCTATAACATTATAAATAAGACACTTGAATGAAACTTTTAAAACTTGGCCATATACTTCATTTTTCTTAATTATCTAAGTTATAAATATTTTCAGTTATTCGACCAGATTCCTCCTTTACCATTTGAACTCTTATCGTCGAACCAACTTCAGCAAAAAATTCAGTTGAATTCTACATTCAGTCGAATTCAGGTGTTACCATTTAAATCGCAAGTTGAACCGTTGTAAAATATAACACAAATCGATAAGATAATATTCTCCGAACCCAAGTTGGGCCTTGGGCCGGTGCTCCGTAATAATAAACCCTACTTAAGAAATTTATATATATATATATATGAGATGGTAGATGTCATCACCGCCGCTCCAATATCAAACATTCTCACAAAAACATTAGATAAAAACATATCACAAAAGTTTGGTGGGATAAGCATCAATATTCAGGTACGAATGTTTGGTAATTTGAAGATTTTGGATTTGTTTTTTTTTAAACTATAACTGAATATATTTGTGGAGTTTTATAGGTAACTAGATTAAGGCCCGCGTATACGCGGGTATATTTTAAGATTTTATAATAAAAGCATGGAAAATATTAAACAAAATTTGATCATTTTTAAACGTAAACAAAATAATATTGAAAACCCGATAAAAATATTTAAATAAAATAAGATTGGTAATACTTTTACATTTTTATTGTAATTGATTTTTCTTTTGAATTTATGATATGACAAAATGAATTAATTTGTTTTACTATTATTTTTATCCAATACAGAAAGACTTACACATGTCTAAATCTGATCAACTGATTAATTAATCAAACTTTTATTATTCCATTCAAGAGATTTTAATTGATGAAATCTTTATTTCAATTTTTTTACCTAACAAAAATTGAAAATCAAACTATTTAAAATTAGAATATCAATTATAATTTTTTAATATTAGTTAATTGCTTGATAATTATTTTGTTAGTTTTCTATTTATATTTTTTCTTTCTCAATTTTGTTTTTGCCTCGACCATTATAAATACTATATATTGGTATTTTTCCTTTTCGAAATGGATTTTTTTTCCTTTTCTTAATAGATGTAACAAAAGAATTTAAATTATTTGTTTCCTGTTTTTTTATTACTTTTAATGGATGTATTATTTTTTTCATTTTAATTATTTGTTATCTGTTTTTCTAATTTTTAGTTAGTCTTATACATATTAATTTTTTATTATTTTTATTCCATGACACATGTTACGATCTTCATACTTCCAGAATTTTTTTTTCTAAAACACATGTCGCAATTTTGTCAGTTATAAAAATCCTATGTATCGCAAAACTTTCAAAAACATGATTTTTAAATTGGAGAAATAGAATCAAAGGGATTTGATGAATTTGCTTTGATGAATTTATGATTGAGAAACTTGACTCTCTTTTATAGGGGTTCAAGTAACCTATTACATGCAGTTATAGGAAATTTAGTTTACATAACATATTCCATGTACAAATAGGATTTTATTTATTACATTATTTTGATTTTATTATTTGTTTGGATAATATTAATTTGATGAATGGAAACCTTTCTCTATTAGGATATGACAAATATATTTTTATTTCTTTTAACTGTAATGGATTAATTTTTTAAAAAATTTCCTTTATCTAAATTATTATTTTTTTTTCTCTAAGACATGTGTCACGATCTTAACGGACGTAACATTAAAAGTGACACATGTCGCGATCTTATAAATTATAAAAATCCTATGTGTCGCAACCACGTCGTGCGCATCCAACTTTATATAATAAAAAATTGATGAATGGGAAACCTTTTTCTGTTTGGATATGGCAAATATTATTTTTTCCTTTTTGATATAATAGATTAAATTAAATTTCGTTTTTTTAATTAACATTTTTCTGGAATTTTTTTTTTAAGTTCTCTTTTTTCCTAAGACACGTGTCACGATCTTAACGGACATAAACTTAAAAGTGACACATGTCGCGATCCTGAATTTTATAAAAATCCTACGTGTCGCAACCACGTCGTGCGCATCCAGCTTTATATAATAAGATTCAGTTTTTTTAGGGTGCATGAATTACTCATATATTTTTCTAGTCTAATATGATCATTGTTTAGATCGAGTAACTATGATACCTTCGAGCAATTTTTATTCGCAAAAACGATAATATAGATTTGTAATTTTTCATGTTATTGGTCGCTTAAGTATTTAAAAGCCGATTTTATAGGGATTCATCTTTGTTAGATGCTCCTTAAGATTGGTCGCCATCATACTTTGCTCGTCCTCAAACTTTTTTTTCTTTGAAAGAGATCTCAGGAAATTTATGGGCTCGAGACATGGTAGAAGTATCACAATAGAATATAAACTTGTTTAATGTAATTATGGATACCTTAATGTCTTGGATGATTTTCTGAATGATTTCTTGTATACGTAGGATTGGTTGTTCATTGTTGGTTTTGGGTAATTCATTTGTTTTGTCTACTATTTAGTTTTAACGTGTATATATGAGTTAATATGGCGGAATATCACACATATAATATCTGTCATTTCGTCAAATAATCCGACATACATAGAGTGTTATGTTGTGAGATTGACGGTAACTTTTTTTTTCGTCCTAATGAATCTAGTTTTACAATTGTAAGGTGAAAATCGGCTACAATTGTAGAACTAGATTCATTAGGACAAAAAAAAAAGTTAACATCAATCTCACAACATAACATTATATACCGGAGTATTCAACGAAATGAAAGATAATGTACATGTGCGATATTTCGGCAATAGATTCATTAGCAGTAGATTGTAGAACTAGATTCATTAGTAGTAGATTACAATTCTCACAAGTGAACACGGTACTGATCAATATGTGTCACGTCACCGTTTGTTCTCAGTCTCTCGCTTTTCTCACTGACTCTATTAGCAGTAGATTACGTGCCTCTCTTATGATTGTGAATCTAGTGTGCTTTCTTGCATTTTTTTTTTACTTAGTTTTCATATCAGTTGTGACTGTTAAATCTGGAATCTATTTCAGCCTTTTCTCTTTTACTTGTTGAATATCACTATTGAATATGATTGTTTACTTTTTTTTCCACGTACTCTCCTAATTTGAGCTTGGCTTTTAGTTGTCGATTATGAACTGCATCATTTTATATATTTTTAACAAATTGGTGTCAAAGATTAATCCCTATAAAAGCGGCTTTTAAAGACTCAAGCGACCAATAACATGAAATTTCAAAATCTACATAGTCGTTTTTGCGAATAAAAGTTGATTAAAAGTACCGTAGTTACTCGATCTAAACAATGATCAGATCAGATCAGATAAATGTATGACTAATTCATGCAACCTAAAAAACTGAATCACCTATAAACTCCACAAATATATTCGTTCATAGTTTTTTTTTTTTTTTGTAATCTTCAAATTACCAAACACTCTTATCTGAATACTGAGGTTTATCGCACCAAACTTTTGTGATATGTTTGTATCTAATGTTTCTGTGAGAATGTTTCTTTTATACCATTAACGTGGCACAATAAAACCTACTAATAAAGCATGTTCGCTTGTTTCTGCTCCTCCTCAAACCTACTATCAAATATTGTTTCTCATCCACAATAGTTTCTGCAACTGTAATGGAATCTGGCATGAAGTAGATAGTTCCCGTGGTTTTTTTGTTTAGTTTGGTTTTCTAGTTTGAATTTCTCCTCCTACTTTGGATGTTTAGATATTTGTTTAGTATTGATATCGAATGGAAGCTGAAAGTGTTAGGCTTAGCATATTTTTACTAACTATTTGGGCCTAATATATTTTTAAGACGAAATGTAAACTGAGAAAAAAAAAAAGAGAAATGTAATGGTTTTTTTTGTTTTGTTAGAGATCAAATGTCTTATTTTCGTAAGTTGCCAACTCATCAATTCCTATTTTAAAATAATGACAACGGCTCAAAATGGTGTCTAAATGGTGACATGAGTTTTTTGGAATGTTGAGAAATTTAGGAATACTGTTGGATGAAAACTAGAAAAAATAACATTTGAGTTTGTGGAATAAAACTGAATCTGGTATATTTTATTTAACCTCTTTGGCTGCAAATGGTTGACTTCATAGCGGAATAAAATGTAGTGGAATAGTTGATTCTGCTGGTTTCAGCCAAACTTGCACCATTTACATTGATTTTGTGTTTTTTAAAAAATCTAGTGGAATTCAAATAACTGCCCTATTACGCTGATAATTATTCCTCCTCACAATATAAGAGGAACTAGCAGAACATTTTTTTTCCTCTAACTACCATAGTCATAGTTCAACAATTTCTTATTCCACTCATTCTAATTTTCCCTATTCCACCCATTCCACCTATTCACAATCATTTGCAGCCTCAGGACATGTACATCGCACGCCTCCCATGAGGCTCTACACAATAAAAAAAAAAGAAAAAAAAAAAGAGAAAAAAAACAAATTAAATGACATGTTAAACAGAATCGGTTCTCTGAGAAAAAACTCTACACGTGTCGAGCCCTGATTCGCCAGTTTTTTTTAATATTTTTTTACGGAAATGACTTTTTTTGGTAAATATTTTTTATTAATAAAAAATGTTTGAGAGTTTTCACTATGAACTCTGCAATGTGTTTGCTCTTAGTGTTAGTGGTATATTCAATAAAAGGAAATGTCTTACCTTTTTCAATATTTTATGTTTTAAAACTTGGAATAGTTAATACAATATACATGATAAATCAAATACTCTTCCAAAATTATGTTCAAAATCAAATTTCCGAAAGTTAATTAATGATTTATCAAATTTTCATACTATTTATTAAATACTCACAATATCAATTTAATTTTATTGTATCATATATATATATATACACTTACTTATTTGACAAGTTAAAAATTTAGTTAATAAAACAATAAAAATGAAATCTGAAAACTAGAGCCATTAAGAATTATCCGAGAAGCTAATAAAATAATAAATCATTATTCAAAATCCGATATTTATTCAAAATTTGTTCTTAAATTTTGGATTTATTGAGGAGTCCGATCTAAATCTGGATAGCCAAATTTGTATCAATCAAGATCGGATTTCGATAAAAAAAATATCTTGATTTTAAGGGTTCTTATTAAAGAGATTATTGTTTTTTAATAGATAATGAAACTAGTGCAAAATTTTCAAAATACGATGGAAAAACATTTTTTGATAACTCTATTGTTCTCAAGTCGATAAACAATTAGAACATTACGACGAAGACAATGCTTAAAACAGAAATTAGAAATAATGGTTAATTTCAAGTTATAAATTATTATGGTGCTTACGAAATGGAATCATTAACAATATTATAAACTATAAATTTAAATATATAACATTATAAATAAAAGTATAAAACACTTGAATAAAATTTATAAAACTTGGCGATATATATATATATATATATATATATATTTATTTTTCAATTACTCAACCAAAATCCTTAGTTACCATTTGAACTCTTATTATTGAGTCAACTTCAGCAAAAAGTTCAGTTGGATTTCACATTCAGCCGAATTCATGTGTTACCATTTAGACCCAAATTGAGCTGTTGTAAAAATCTAACACAAATACGATAAGATAACATTCTCCTATCCCAAATTGGGCCGTTATAGAGTATAATACAGATCGACAAGATCATATTCTTCCGTCCCAAGTTGGGCCGACTTACTCTAGCTATATATATGAAAGCAGTAGTTCTTATGTAACCCTAAGAAGATAGCAAATGAAAGTAAAATGAGGAAATGCAAACGCACAGCCGCTGCATGTGTGGATAGACACCCCAAAGTTCGCCAAAAAGACTCAATCAGCTCTCTACCGGATGAGATTCTCCAACATATCTTCTGCTTTATCCCCACCAAATTAGCAGTCACAACTTCCCTCTTGTCCAGCCGATGGAGACATGTATGGTGCCGTACACCTTCGATCTCGTTGGAGAGCTCTGCATTGCGGGCTGCTTCGAGAATTCAAACACAGTATCGCTACACTGCTCCGAAGATGATGAGTTTACACCTCCTAACCGGCTCGAAGGATAATGTTAAACACGTCAACAGGTGGATCGAGTTGGCCATGTCCCGCCGTGTGGAGAAGATGGACCTGGAACTTCATTTTAAAAGCGATTACTATGAATTTCCTCACTTCTTCTAAATCAATTCCTCTTTCAAGGAGCTCAGAGTTGAGGTAAGGTTTACTTCAGTGGTCCCGAGTTGCTTCGTGGCTTGGACATCCCTGAAGAAGTTGTCATTTCGTTCATGTAAACTCTCTGATAACTCCATTGCTATGATTTTATCTGGCTGTCCGATTCTCGAGTTCTTGAAATTGGATGGGTGCGTAGATCTGCATGATCTAAAACTCAGCAATGCGCTGCGTCTGAGGACATTACAAGTATTCGGCCCACGGTCACTGAGTCAGAGTCCAATGAAGATTGTTGCACCACATGTCCGTTGTCTCGAACTAAGAAACTCTCTGATCCTATGCACTTTAGGTGATATCTCCTCTTTAGCCGAAGCTAAACTGAACATTTCGGCTCACGCACTCCCAAGTATCGATCCTGTTTCTCTTGGAGTCATGGTGGTACCGATGGCAGAAATGTTAGAAAAGTTGCACAACGTAGAGAATCTTACTTTTGGAAGAGATTTTCTAAAGGTATGTTTTGGCCATAGTCTTGCATATTTCTCTAATGCCTATGTTGAATCAGTTGGTAGCATAGTCAACTTTTGACCATGTTGTTCATTTGACCATGTTGAATCAGTTGGTAGCATAGTCAACTTTTCACTAATTGTTTCGATATTTCGTTAAGTTTGTTTAGGTACTTTTTCAAATATATGTTTGTGTATTTAACCATGCTCTATGCTCTTTCTGGTAGAATTTGTCTCGTCCAGAGCTTGGTGGTGTGCCTTTTCCGAAGTTCAAGAGGATCAAAGCTTTGGCTCTTGACACACCGCTCTCTGCGGATATGTGTGTTATTATTGAAAAACTGTTACAACAGTCACCTGGTTTAAAGACGCTAACGCTACACACAAGAAGTCACAACACCAAACCGGTATAATTATTTACCATAATCAATCCTCTATTATTTCTACTTTGACCATTCTTACTATCAACGAGTTTTGAACAATTTTCTTCTTCTTCTTGTTTTCTGTTGGGCAGGCTCTTTGGAAGAAGTCCCGTTGGGAAGCAGAGTTAAAGCACATGGCTACAAGCATAGAAAGTCTGCTTAAGAAAACAAAAGCATTGGAGGAAATGGTAGTACAGTTGGACGATCGCTACTTTAAAGCAATAGGGTTTGAAGAGATGGCTCAGACACTTTCTTGCAACTACAAAAATGTCTCCATTGTGTTTTCAACCAAGCCGGTGACAAAAGAGGAGTGGTGAATCATAATTAGTAGGGGTTTCGCTATTGAGTCTTGCTGAACAATTTATATTTTCCTCATTTCAACTCACTATAGATAAAGACTTTTCTGTGTATTTGTAAGACTAAAAATGTTTTGGAGATTCTAAAACCAAATGTTGTACTTTTAGGTGTTTCTTGTTAGCATTGTTTGCATATCTTCAAACCAGTCGACACCTTTTCATTTTATGTCGGTTTTTAGTTCGATTCACCGATGACCGAATCAATTCGTTCTTATTAACTTTTTTCGCTTAACCCAAAAAATTCGAACAATTTTTTTTTTTCATTTTTATGTTGGTTTCCTTCAGACAGATTTTTTCCAAACGAAAAAAACTGATACAATACTAATTACTAATTAGCAAATAGACCCTAACATTTGTAAGAGGAGAGCTGTTTCGTAATAATTAATAAACCCTACTTAAGAGATCTGGGTATATTTAAGATGGTAGTTGTCAATGTCATCACCGCCGCTGCAAAATCAAAGGAGCACGGTACGGATCAATATGTGTCACGTCACGGTTCGTTCTCACTCTCTCGCTTTTCTCACTGACTCTGTTAGAGTACCTGCATTGCAGAATTTTTGAGGGGTTCTCAAAGAAAAAAATAAAGAAAAATACAAAAATTTATATATGTGGCACAGAAAAATTAAAGAAGCGTCTCTGCTGGAAGGGCTTTTGGAGCGTCTCTCAGGATAGGCTTGCCAGGTGTCGTAATCTAATTGGCCATCTTTTAATTTTTTTTTTAAAGCGAAAATGAATTTAAAAAAACAAATCAGTTTTTATTGTTTAGTAGAGCCTCTCCATCGATCTTTGCAATGCGGATGCTCTTAGCAGTAGATTACGTGCCTCTCTCATGATTGTAAATCTAGTGTGCTTTCTTGGATTCTTTGACCCGTTATCATATCAGTTTGGTGAATCTGTTAAATCTGGAATCTATTTCAGCTTTTTCTCTTTTACTTGTTGAATATCACTATTGAATATGATTGTTTACTTTTTTTCCACTTACTCTACTAATTTGACCTTGGCTTTTAGTTGCCGATTATGAGCTGTATCATTTATTCAAATTTGACAAATTGGTGTACTTTATACACAGTAGGAGTAGTAAGACTTTTTCAGAGAGGATGCATGCATTTTGCTTCAACTATTTAAAACTTTTTCTTAATTGCCAACTCATCAATTCCAATTTTAAAATAATGACAAATGGATCTAAATAGTGTCTAAATGGTGACATGAGTTTTTTGGAATGTTGAGAAATTTAGGAATATTGTTGGCTGAAAACTTCAAAATTCAACATTTGAGTTTGTGGAATAAAATGGAATTGGTATGTTACCTGATGTGTCCTATTTATCATCTTAGTCGTAGTAGTATCTTATTCAATAAAAGGAAATGTCTTACCTTTTCAATATTTTATGTTTTAAAACTTCTAATAGTTTATACAAGATACATAATAAATAAAATTCTCTTCAGATATTATTTTCAAAATCAAATTTTAAAAAATTTACTTAATTATTGATTAATCATATTTTCATACTATTTATTAAATATTCACTATATCAATTTTTAATTATTTTTATATTATTAATTGAGAAGTACATGAAAAAATTATGACAAAAAAAAATCAATCTAATTATGAAGAGAAAGTGTTTGGCAACGGATTTAATGAGGATCAATTTAGTACACTGTAATATTTGGATACAAGAATAAGAGAAAAAGCTATTTGGATATAAGAATAAATGGAAAAAATTGTTTGGATACAAGAATAAAAACTTTAAACAAACCGATGGTTTAGAAAACTTCCGTTTTCCAGTTCTTAAAAATCTGCAAAGAAGAAAACTTAACATAATCTAACGATAATACCAAATAAATAGAATATGATTTTGGATTTTCAGGTTTAAAGATTTTTTTTAATTTTAATTCGGGTTCAATTCAGGTTTTTTTTGGTTTTTGGGTTTAGTGATATAAAAGTCGTTCAAGTTTTTTAAATTTCTGAAATGGGTTTGGTTTGGGTTTTTCTAAACAAGTTCAGGTTTAGGTGAAAATCTCATATCTAATTTTATAGATATATAGAGATATTTAAATTGTTCAGGTTTTTTTAATTTCTGTTCGGTTTGAGTTCGAGTTTTTTTTGGTTCAGTTCAGGGTTTTCCGGATTTTTTGGATTTCGGGTTTTCGGATTTGGACATATTAAAAAGCCTTGGGTATTTTAAAATTTTGATTAGGGCGTTTAGGTCGGATAAGGGTTTCGGATCAAAAATTTAGAGTTTGATTTTATTCAGTTCTGGGATTTCGGGATTTTTTGGATTTCAAATTTTCGGATTTTGACATATTAAAAATGTTTGGGTTTTTAAAAATTTTGACTAAGATTTTTGGATCACGCTCAAGTTTTGGATTTAGATTTTCTTCAGAAAATCGCAACGTCACACCGCGCGTTTGTGCGGGAGAGTTATATCATTATATAGAAGCTAGCGTCTTCTTCTACATATGGATTCATTGTATGATCTCAATCTGTATTTGTGTCTCTCGCTGCCTTACGCTCCCTTCAATACAAAAAATATCATCAACTCCAATTAAATTTGCTCCATACCATGCACTCACATAATTATATATCAATGCTGTTTATCTTCATTGATATAACAAACAAATTAGGGGAAATTTGAAACCTACACTTTTTTTTTATACATTTTCAAAACTAGAATGTTATGGTATATATTTTCAAAACTACATTTTTTCATTAAATAAAAGAATTGTAAACCTTAAACCTTAAAATCTAACCTTAAAACCTTAAAACTAAATTCAAAATCCCAAAATATAAACTCTAATTAGGGATTAGTGAACTCAAACTTAGATGTTAAATTTGCAAAAAGTGTAATTTTGAAAATTCAAACCATAAAAGTGTAGTTTTGAAAATGTACACTCCAAAATATGTATATCTTAGTTTTTTTTTTTTCTTTGATAAAGATTTTGCTTGAGTTAATTAAAAATTGAGTTTACAAAGGAACCAGATGAAACCACTCATCTTTATAAAATAAAAGAAAAGAAGAAAGAAAAGGAAACAAGGGAAAGAGGAAGAAGAGGAACAGAAGCTGAAACCCTCTACGACCAGCAACTCAGAAGACTTTCCCACTTAGAATCTGATAACACCAGGCTATGAGCTCTGTCTTTTACGAGAGAAAGGATGATGCGTACAACACGTGAAGCCGGAAAAGTAACTCCGATGTGAGAACGACGATTTCTTTCGGCCCATGTTTCATAAATACAGGCTTGCCATGTGACAAAGCGCCATGGTTGGTTTGTGTATATCTTAAAATTTCTCAATAAATTACTACTTCTTGGTTTGTGTATATAGTTTTGTTTGTTATAAAAATTTATTTATTGAATTTCAGAAGCAATATAATTGTTTAATTCAAATTTATTTAAAACATAATTAGCAAGAAACCCAACGGTTAATATGGTTAAAGTTTTGTGTTATGTTAATTGATGTCTCCTATTGTTGTGTCTTGTGTGTGTTTTCAATATACTGACACCAAAGACAGGATACATAAATATACAAAATTAAGACAAAATTGGGCTATGATATCAATGCTTTTGCAATTTCTTATGTCATGGGGTTTCTAATCTTTCTCCATCTTTTTAACAGAGATGCTGATTGTTAAAATAGAGCAAATGATCACCTCAGCTGAGAAAGATTTCATTCAAAAACAAGAGGTACCTTCACACATTCAAAACAAATATATTCCCATGCAATAAAACACTTGAATGAAAATTTTAAAACTTGGCGATATACTTTATTTTTCTTAATTATCTAAGTAATATATATTTTCAGTTACTTTTCCAGATTCCTTAGTTACCATTTGAACTCTTATAATCGACCCAACTTCAGTAAAAATTTCAGTTGGATTCCAAATTCAGCCGAATTTAGGTGTTACCATTTAGATCCAAGTTGGGTTGTTGTAAAATCTAACACAAATCGATAAGATAATATTCTCCGGTCCCAAGTTGGGCCACTGTAAAACATAACACAAATCCATAAGATAATATTCTCCGATCCCAAGTTGGGCTGTTGTAGAATTTAACACAAATCAACAAGATCATATTTCTCCGGTCTCAAGTTGGGCTGTTGTAAAATATAATATAAATCGAAAAGATCATATCCGGTCCCAAGTTGGGCCGTTGTAGAATATAACACAAATCGACAAGATCATATTCTCGGGTGCCAAGTTGGGCTGATCTTCCTCTAGTTAAATATAAAAAGCAGTAGTTCTTATGTAACCCTAAGAAGATAGCAAATGAAAGTAAGATGAGGAAAGACAAACACACAGCCGCCGCTGCATGTGTCCGTAGACACCGCAAAGTTCGCCAAAAAGACTCAATCAGCTCTCTACCGGATGAGGTTCTCCAACATATCCTCTGCTTTATCCCGACCAAATTAGCAGTCTCAACTTCCCTCTTGTCCAGCCGATGGAGACATGTATGGTGCGATACACCTTCCATCTCCTTGGAGAGCTCTGCATTGCGAGCTGCTTCAAGAATGAAAACCCAGAATCGCTACACTGCTCCAAAGGTGATGAGTTTACACCTCCTAACCGGCTCGAAGGATAATTTCAAACACGTCAGCACGTGGATCGAGATGGCCATGTCCCGCCGTGTGGAGAAGATGGACCTGGAACTTCATTTTCAAAGCGATAACTATGATTTTCCTGAGTTCTTCTACATCAATTCCTCTGTCAAGGAGCTCAGAGTTGAGTTAAGGTTTACTGAAATGATCCCGAAATGCTCCGTGTCTTGGACATCCTTGAAGAAGTTGTCCTTTCGTTCATGTAGTCTCCCTGATGACTCCATTGATATGATTCTATCTGGCTGTCCGATTCTCGAGTTCTTGAAACTGGATGAGTGCGAAGATCTGGAGGATCTTGATCTAAGCAATGCGCTGCGTCTGAGGACATTACAAGTATTCGACGTGGATCAGACTCCAGGGAAGATTGTTGCACCACATGTCCGTTGTCTCAAACTAAGAAACTCTCTGATCACCACTTTAGGTGATCTCTCCTCTTTAGCCGAAGCTAAACTGAACATTTCCTTTCAAGGATTTCCATTTATCGGTCCTGATTATCTTGGAGTCCTGGTGGTAGAGATAACAGAAATGTTAGAAAAGTTGCACAACGTAGAGAAGCTTACTTTTGGGAGAGATTTACTTGAGGTATGTTTTGGCCATAGTCTTGCATATTTCTCTAATGCCTAGTTAATTTAATAAGGTTGAATCAGTTGGTAGCATAGTAACCTTTTCACTAATTATGTTTTGATATTTCGTTAAGTTTGTTTAGGTACTTTTTCAAATATATGTTTGTGTATTTAACCATGCTTTATGCTCTTTCTGGTAGAATTTTTCTCGTCCAGAGCTTGGTGGTGTGCCTTTTCCGAAGTTCAAGAGGATCAAAGCTTTGGCTCTTGACACACCGCTCTCTGCGGATATGTGTGTTATTATTGAAAAACTGTTACAACAGTCACCTGGTTTAAAGACGCTAACGATACACACAAGAAGTCACAACACCAAACCGGTATATATTTACCATTTACCATAATCAATCCTCTACTATTTTTACTGGACCAGTCTTACTATCAACGAGTTTTGAACAATTTTTTCTTCTTGTTGTTTTCTGTTGGGCAGGCTCTTTGGAAGAAGTCCCGTTGGCAAGCAGAGTTAAAACACATGGCTACAAGCATAGAACGTCTGCTTAAGAAAACAAAAGCATTAGAGAAAGTGGTAGTACAGGTGGACGATCGCTACTTTAAAGCAATAGGGTTTGAAGAGATGGCTCAGACACTTTCTCGCAACTACAAAAATGCCTCCATTGTGTTTTCAACCAAGCCGGTGACAAAAGAGGAGTGGTGAATCATAATGAGTAGGGGATTCGGTATTGAGTCTTGCTGAACAATTTATATTTTCCTCATTTCAACTTACTAGAAGATGACTTTTCTGTGTGTTTGTAAGACTAAAAATGTTTTGGAGATTAAGCTAAAACCACATGTTTTACTTTTAGGTGTTTCTTGTTAGCATTGTTTGCATCTCTTCAAACCAATCGACACCTTTTCATTTTTATGTTTTTTTTTATTAGATTCAGATCCTAAGAATCTTGTTTATTACGCTTTGTCCGGTGAGTCTTTGTTGCTTATGAACTGAAAGACGATGCTCTCCCGGCAGAGAGACAAAGGGACATGTTGATCCGTGGATTGCTTGCCATTTTGTTGGGAAGTGGGCTGCTGTGAATCCTGCGATTTACGTTTCGAAACATTTTAGGCAGAAATTGTGCCCACATGATGCCTAACTGACATTGATGAGTTTTCTTGAACGAACATTCATCATATCTGCTTCTTGCATTGGTTGACTGACATTAACCATGTTTTTTCATTGTTATTTTTTTATTTCTTCCATATCACACTTCTTTCATATAACTACAGGAATAATATCATTGCATCAGTATCGATTTGGCTCTGTTTAAACTGGATGAAGTTGGTTCATTGGTAAGTTGTGTTTTGTTTTTTTGGTTCCATTTGTCACCATATTCATTGAAGACTTCCATAACATCTATGAAGCTTTCTTTCATCAAGAGTAGTTGGAGTTGGAGTAAATTCGTCGGACTAGCTTATTCATTTTGTAATGTGATTTGTATAGGAAAAACTTATTAGATTAAGTCTGTATATAAACTTATAACTTATAACATTAGTAATTAAATTGTCTGTCATTTGGTGATACTGCAGCAAAATTATATATGATGTATCATTGTTTTCTAATGTATAGAGAAGCTGAAAAACAAGGAAGAGGACAAGTCAGAGCCTGTACAGATGCTACTGAAGAAGAAGCTGACTTAGAGTTTACATTGGTTTCCTTTTCTTTTTGGTTTGGTTTTCTAGTTTGAATTTTTCCTCCTACTTTGGATTTTTTACAATATTGAAATCGAATTAAAACTGTTAAAATTTCAACAACCAACAAAAAAAAAATTTGAAGCCATTACTTTTTTGCGCCTAATTTATTTGTAAGACGAAATTTGAAATTTGTAAATTATATATAAAAAAAAGGTGTAACCCTAAGAAGACCGCAAAGCAAAATTAAGATGACGACGAACAGCGATCGCATAGCCGCTGCATGCATGTATCCCTAGCCACCGCAATATTCGCCGCCGCAAAAACAAAGGAGGAGTAGACTCAATCAGCTCTCTACCGGATGAGATCCTCCAACATATCCTCTGCTTTCTCCCAACCAAATTTTCCGTCAGAACTTCCTTCTTGTCCAGACGATGGAGATATGTATGGTGCGATACACCTTCCATCTCCTTGGAGAACTCTGCATTTCGGGCTGCTTCGATTATGGAAGCCCAAAATCGCTACACAGCTCCGAAGATGATGAGTTTACACCTCCGAACCGGCAAGAAGGAGAATGTTAAACACATCAACACGTGGATCGAATTGGCCACGTCCCGCCATGTGGAGAGTATGAACCTGGAACTTCAGTTTATAAGCTATCACTATGAATTTCCTGATTTCTTCTACATCAATTCCTCTGTCAAGAAGCTCAGAATTAAGTCAAGGTTTACTTCAATGATCCCGAAATGCTCTGTGTCTTGGACATCCCTGAAGAAGTTGTCCTTTCGTTCATGTACTCTCTCTGATAACTCCATTGCTATGATTCTATCTGGCTGTCCACTCGCTGCGTCTGAGGACAATACAAGTAGAACGCAACTTCTGGGCTCAGATTCCAATGCAGATTGTTGCACCACACGTCCGTTGTCTCAAACTGACAAACTCTCAGTTTCCATGCACTTTGGTTGGTCTCTCCTCTTTAGCCGAAGCTAACCTGAACATTTGCTTGCACGCACTACGGCTTCATTATTTCATCAAACCTGATTCTCTTGGAGCCATGGTGGCAAAGATGGCAGAGATGTTGGAAAAGTTGCACAACGTAGAGAAGCTTACTCTTGAGAGAGGTTTTCTTCGGGTATGTTTAGGCCTTAGTCTTGCATAACAAGTCAACTCTCTTACTTTCTTTGATCATGTTGAATCATTAATTTTATGCTCTATGCTCTTTATGTTAGATATTGTCTCGTCCGGAGCTACGTAGCGTGGCTTTTCCGATGTTCAAGATCAAAGATTTGACTCTTGAGACACCGCTCTCTCAGCATGCGAGGGATATTCCTCATGCGATAGAAGAAATGTTACAAAACTCACCTGACCTAAAGAAGCTAACAGTACACACAAGATGTCACCATACCAAACCGGTATGTATATATATATATTTACCATAATCCTCTTTTATTACTACTTGACCAGTCTCACTATCAACGGATTTTGAATAATCCAAGAACCATGTTCTCTTTTTTCTTCTTCTTGTTTTCTATTGAGCAGGGTCTTTGGAAGAAGCCCCGTTGGGAAGTAGAGTTAAAGCTCATGGCTACAGGCGTAGAAAATTTGCTGAAGAAATCAAAAGGATTAGAGAAAATAGTAGTACAAGTGGACGACCGCTACTTTAAAGCATTAGGGTTTGAAGAGATGGTTCAGACACTTTCTCACAACTACAACACTGTCTCCATTGTGTTCTCAGGAATCTCATCCAAGCCGGCGACAATAGAGGAGTGGTGAATGATCATAGGTTTTTGATTTTCCAAGTCTTGCCTGAACATTTAACATTTATCCTCATTTAAACATAGTTGAAGAAGACTTTTCATATTCTCCTCAATCCTAGTTAGCATTGTTTGCATCTGTCTATGTAAAAAAATCCAATCAACAAGCGCTCTGTTTTGTCACAATATATATAAATTCTTTCACATACCACTAGTGAATAAATCCTTTCACATACCATCATTTTTTTTTTTGGATTTCTGGATTGATAAGTTTACTATTCCTGATTCTATCTACACCAGTTCCTCTCTCAAACAAATGAGACTTCGGTTTCCTGGTTGTGATATGATTCCCAGACGTAACGTCACTTGGACATCCCTCAAGGACTTGTCCTTGTATGGTTGTCGCTTTACTTTTAAGTTATAAGTCTCTTGCTAAGATTCTATCTGGTTGTCCCCTTCTCGAGATCTTAACATTGCATTTCTGCGTTGAAGAAGCCAACATTCTTGAAGTCAGCAAATCAGTGCATCTGAAAACATTAGAAATAGAACGCAACTGTTGGTTTGAAGGGCCTCAGTTACCACGTCGTCTAGTTGATGTCTCGTTTTTTTCAAGTCATGGTACTAGAGATACTAGAAAAGTTTCACAGGATAAGTATCTTGACAGCTACTTGACTTTGAAAGGCTTGGATCCGGATCAATGCTGGAGATCAAAAGATGGGGTCAAGTGGAACAAGAGCAGTTTGGATGTTAGGCCAAATAATGTGACTTCGTTCTTGAAACTTATATGCTTAAGAACACAAAGATATTAAAGAAGATGGTCTTACAGTTGGAACACTCGTATTGTAAGTTTGAAAAAGTGATCCTATCAGTTTCTCACAACGACAATGTCTCCATTGTGGTCTCAACATTAGATAAGTGGTGAATCACACGGTTTTGTTGAACAGTTTACATCGAGAAACCTCATTTTGAACTAAACCGAAATGTCATTGGAACCGGGTTGATTGTTGAGCAATCATTTTATTCAATAAATATACCAAAGTTGTATTTGATTTATGAAGTGATTTGGCTTCGGTTAAGTTCGGTTATTAAACGAAGGAGATTCTGAGCTGGAGATTCAGTTTCCAATTTGAGAATCTCGGTGTGACCTGAAGTGATAACATTCGTTTATTCAGAGAGGGGGAAGATCGGAAAATCGCAAGTAAAACCCATCTCTCGCCGGAAAGTTTACCACTTTATCTCCACTTGAAACCATACAACAGACAAGGCAACCATAGCCTCCTTATCCTATCTCTCCTACCTTCATCTCTTTGTAGAAATCTCTCTTCCGTCGGAGCTTTTGGTTATAGTCATAGCCATGGTTTCGTTGGTTTGAATCCAATTTCTTCAAACTCCATGGATTTAGTCAGGTTTGCTCTCCTCTACTCTGTTTGGTGTTTCTTTAGCTCGCAATTGATTTCAGTTATTAATGAAAAGTTAGGTCTATTGTGTCTTTCCTTTGATTGGGCAATTTATCTCACGATTGATTCTGGTTTTATTGCGTCTGTGGCAAAAAAATTCAGGGGTTTCTGGAGGAAGCACAGAAGGAAGATTTTGGTGACGACGACTTGTTTGGGAAGTGGGTATTTGCTCTACAAACTATACAATGCCCACACTCGTAAGCTCGCCGACTTGGAACGAGAGCTTGCCAACGAGCTTGAAAATGACGAAATCATCAAAACCCAGTTTAGTCTTTTTTGCTTTTGCCAATTCCCTTTTGTTTACTACTCATATGCAAACGAACAGTGTCTCAATATCTAGTTTTTGGTTTTTGCTAGAATGAAGGCGCATTTCGAGAACATTCAGATGATTGCTGATTCGACAACATTGCCTCACGCAATGCGTCACCTGAGTAGCCGGATTGTTGAGGAGATCCCTGTTTCTAGTATTATGGAGAAGCTAAGCAAAGGCAAAGGAACTTTGACTCCTTCTGAGAAGCTTCATCTCTGGAATGAGCTCAAGATTTTGAGTGCGTAGCTTCCCTCTACTTGTGCTCTCTTGCTGTATATGTTTTGTGGCTCATTAGATCTTCTTCTCATTAGATGTTCTTTGATGTGTTTTTGTTGTTTTCCAGGTTTCACGAGGATGGTTTTGTCGCTGTGGTCAGTCACTATGCTTAGTTTGTACATTAGGGTCCAAGTCAACATTTTGGGCAGACATTTATATATCGACACAGCTAGAGGTCTTGGCAGCTCCCATTTGCTTGTAAGACATTTGCTAACCTCGTTTATTATCTCTAAAGATACATTTTTTTTTTCATAAACAGCTTATTACTTATAAGCTGCTCTCTTCTGGTTGTAAGATTTAGAATGCTAGTTTTGTTATTTCATTCTTAATATTCCACTTATTGCAGATTTAGTATGCATTCTGTTTACTGCAATGTATCTCTTTTAAGAATCTGACACGAAATTCAAATTGAGAGACAAGGGTGGTATGGATTACTGTTGTGTATACTCTTTTACTTTGGAAGTTACTGAAATTGTTGTATCAACTGGTCTTGTTCCATAGGTTGGATTTCCACAATCTCTATGTTTTGTTTTTTTTTTTATTCACAGGAAGAGTTAGATCTCATAGATAGAGATGACGAACAAAAGTTTCTGGAAAGTGCTGATTATCTTGCCAGCAATGGCATGCCGAGTTTGATCTCTAATATGCAGAGTGCAGTTAAAGAAGTCCTTAAGGGGTACATTACTATCAAAGATCATTCGCTTGTTTCTCATACTCAAATATTGATTTCTTGGTGCTGCAAATGCCTTTAGACTTATGTATGATGCATGATTACAGGAAGCAGTTAAAGGATGTGTTAACCACAAAAATTCTTCAAGAAACTGTGATCCGGATTCTCGATGTGTTTATGAGCACTGGAAGCCCACATCACTGGATAGATTATTTAATGATGGCCCAAGACACAACAACAATACTTCCAAGTGACACCACAACCACCACTGATGATGTTTCCTCTTCAGATGCAACTGTTAGCAAGTTTCATCTACTCATAACCGAGACACGAGAAGTACTCACAAGGTAAAGTTATCTCTGCTCATTAAACCGCAAAACACAAACAAGAAATGGAAAAAAAAAGAAGATGTTTCTACGTTGTAGTCATGTGAAGATACTTATTGGTCTCGTTTATTGTTCTGGTTGCAGCACTGATTTTACAAATGTAGCAGAGATCTCACTCAAGTCTTGTACCGTTGCCTTAGTAGAAGAGATGGAAAAGCAGACCGGTTTGGCCACCGGCATGCAAGTGGCGAAGCTTTTACCACAGATGGAGAAGACAACGCCGGAGATTTCAGCTGAACCGGAGAAGAACCGGTTCTTGCAGCTCATCCGAGATTTGCCTGAAGTTCAACTCTTTTTCACTCTTTTATACTCAAATATGCCACTATAATGATCGCAAATTGGCAAAATTGATTGTTTGTTTACTCTCGTCTTTTTTATCCAAAAATTGTTCCCACATAATAAAAGAAAAACACATTTTTAAATAATTTGTTCAATATGTATCAAAATTCAAAACATTTTATATTGAGAAATTTTATGAAATACACCTCTTGAGGTGCAAATTTTTAAAATTACATCTATAGTGTGGAAATTTTCAAAAATACACATTTTCTCAATTTTAATATATATGTTTGGGTTCACTGATTCTAGATTAGGGTTTAGATTTTGAGGTTTAGGGTTTAGATTTAAGGCTTCAATGTTAGATTTTAGGGTTTTGAATTTATATTTTAGGGTTTAGAGTTCTTTTAATCAATGAAAAAAGTGTAGTTTTGAAAATAAATACTATAGAGGTGTATTTTTGAAAATTGGCACTCCAAGAGGTGTAGTTTTGAAATTTCCCCTTTTATATTGGCAAACTAGGCCTCGGCGTTCGGGTTTCGGTTCAGTTCGGTTCTATTCGGGTTCGGGTCTTTTCGGGTTGCTAAATTTTAGACCCGTTCGGGTTTAGGGAAATTTCGGTTCGGTTCCTGTCGGGTTCGGGTTGGTTCGGGGCTAAATTTTATAGATCCGTTCGGGTTTGTACAAATTTTGGTTCTTATTCGGGGTCTCATCGGTTCTGATTCGGGTTGGTTTTTATCGGTTTTTTAAACCAAATATCAAAAATCCTATAAAATAACCGAAAAACTTGTCTTTACTCCATCTTCTACTAATTGTTTTTGGACTTTTCGAATATTTTGGTTATTTTGTTGTAAATATAAGTATTATATTAGATTTTTAGTTGTAACTAGTAGAGGACTCGCGCAAACGCGCAGTGTGACGTTGCGGTTTTGTGAAGAAAATCTAAACTTAAACCCAAATCAGACCCAAAAACCCTAATCAAAATTTTTAAAAACCCAAACCCTTTTAATATGTCTAAACCCGAAAACCCAAAATCAAAAAATCCTGAAAACCCTGAACCAAATAAAAAAAACTCGAAAATTTTCCACCCGAAACCTGAACCCGACTTAAAAACCCTAATAAAAATTTTAAAATACCAAAACTTTTTTAATATGTCCAAACCCGAAAACTCAAAATCCAAAAAATCCGGAAAACCGTGAACTAAACCCCAAAAAAACTCGAACCAAACCGAACAGAAATTTTCAAAAAAACCGGAAAACAAATTTGATTTAAATTAGACGTATTTCTATTTCACTATTGGAAATTTTGCAAATATCATTCGATCATATTCTATTGATTTGATATTATCGATAGATTATGTTAATTTTTCTTTTTTGCAGATTTTTTAAGAATTGGAAAACGGAAGTTTTCTAAACCATCGGTTTGTTTTAAGTTATTATTCTTGTATTCCAAACAGTTTTTTCCATTTATTCTTCTATCCAAATAGATTTTTCTTTATTCTTATATCCAAACAATTTTTTTTCCATTTATTCTTCTATCCCAAATAGATATTTATCTTATTCTTGTATCCAAACATTAGAATGTACTTCTCAATTAATAATATAAAGATTTTAGTTATTTTTTATTATTATAAGCCTAAAAATAACTAATATTTTGGATATTTCGGGTATTCATTCGGTTCTCGGTTCAGTTCGGGTTCGGATTTTTCGGATATAAAAATTTTGAACCCATCGGATATTTGTCTTGGTTCTGGTTCAGTTCAGTTCCATCTTTTTCGGTCGGGTTCGGTTCAGGTCCTTCGGGTCCGGGTAAAATGCCCAACCTATGGAAACATATGTGATTTTGCAGATGGTATAATGCAATCGTTTAATATCTTGGGCCCTAGTATCCCGAGGTCCAATGGAACCGGGTCGGATCTACGGAACCTGGTTTATTTAATATTTCTATTCACTTTGAGCTCTCTCTTCCTGTTTTTCTCGGCACTTTCTCGCAGATTTCTGAAGTGGAGGAGGTGATGGCGATGAACAATGGGGACGTGTTGATGCTGGAGGCGGCGCCGGAAGCTGCGAGGCCCTGGGCTAGCGCGGCGAACGCAGAAGTTATCGATGCGCTTCCTTATATCGACGATGACTACGGCAATCCACAGATTAAGTCGGAGGTCGACCGCTTGGTGGAGGAAGAGATGCGTCGGAGCTCTAGGAAACCGGCTGATTTTCTCAAGGAGCTTCCTCCTCTTCCCAAGTTCGATTTCGAGGTGAATTTCACTGTCAATCCCTCTTATCGATTTTGTTTGTTCGATTTTCTAGCTCGGGTTAGGAAATTTTGCTGGAATAGGGTTTAGAGCGAATTCAATGAAGTCCCAATCGAATTTTCTTGCTTCTGGGTTTTGCTTCATCGTAGAATTTTACATTCAGAGTTTCAATCTTTGCTTTGGCATGTTATAGTTTGCTCTTTTGGGTAGCAGAGAGTTGAGGTGATTTTATCAAAGTTTCAGTTGATTTTTGTTCATGGGTTCTGAAATCTGAATCAACTTAGAATCTTAACCTCATGAGTAGATTGCCTTTTCTTTTCTTTCAGTGCTTTTTCCTGGTGATTTGATTGTCTATAGCTTTTCTTGAAAGTAGAAGATCTGTTTATGATATCTTGTAGATTGTTTCAGCGAAAATTTGTTTATTCAGTGTCTCGTGTATTGATTGTTTTTGTCTTCTTTGGTTGGTGGAAAACGAATATCAGAACTGCCCAGTACTTGGCAAAGAGTATGAGCGTGTTCGAGCTGGGAAGCCTCCAGTGAGGATCGATTTTGAATCCAGATACAAGCTTGAAATGCCACCTCCTAGCAAGAAAAACGATGATGCTGCCTGGAAGCAGTATCTTCAGAAGAATCAACGGTCACTGCAACAGAAGATGATCGAGTAAGCACAATTTCTTTATGTTTGTAAAACATATTTCTGTGTTCTGACGAGTGGCACATACTGGATTTCTCTCTTAAACCGTGGATTTTGTTAATTTTAACAGGCTTGAGAATTTGGAATTGATGTCAAAACATGGCCCCGAGCTTTGGAGACAGAACAATCATCGACTGGAAGTATATCTGACCAGGTTTGTTCACATTTTCAGTCGTTACACTGTAATTTGGGATTAAATGGGTTCAAGCTCTTAAGTTGATGGATTGAATTTATCTTAGATGATCTGAGGAAGTATTGTTGATATCTTTGTTGTCCATTTTACTTGCATAAGATGCTTCTTTGGCTTGTGTACTCGAGACTTACTTTGTCACTCTTGAAGTCTGGCCTAATTTCTGGCTTTTGGAGTTTAAAGGTAGCTGAGATTGATCTTAACACTCTACTTGTTCTCTGTTTTCCAGAATGCAAAGACTAGCTCAGGAGCAGAACGAGGAAATTGAAAAAGTAAATCGTGAAAGGAAGTATCATCAGGTAATAATGCTTTGAAGTGTTTTTGACTTTCTTCCTTGCACTCTTCTCTCTTTGGTTTACATGGTAATCTGAAACTTTGTTGTGTGGCCACATCAGCAAACCACAGCGTACGAGCTCAATGCTCTATCTCAGGAATGGAGACAGCTCTGTGTGAAGAATATGGAGATTCAGTCTGCTTGTGCTGTGCTTGAAACACAAATCGATTCGTTCAAAAGAGAAGCTGCTGAAAGGTGAAGAAACATCTTGTCTCACCTCATTTGCATCACTCGAGAGTTTGTGTTAAAGTGCAAAACTGAAACTCTTGTGGTTGTGTTTTTCAGGGGATGGAACTTAGAAGAGAAACTAGAGAGCCTCAAGCCGCTTCAACCGCAGTGAGACAACCGTGCTTGGGTTTACTGATTTATTAAGCAAATCGTGTACGATTTGCCAGTGAAAATTGTGGTTTGTTTAACCTTATATCAGTCAATCTATCATGTCTCCGTTATATTTTGAATGAATGTTTGTTTTTCATTTATTATTTATAGTATGAGATAATGATTTTATCAGAAACATATTAGTTGAATGAGTGTGTCTGTTTGTGTATCGAATGAATAACTTTAGATTGATGCAGTGAGTCTTTACAATTTACTGGAATTGGTTTTTTAGGTTTTGATTCACATTCTCTTTCATCCTCATTCTCTCAGTCAGATCTCTCTGCCTATTCTGTTATACTAATGATAAACTGAATTCAGTATCTAAACCAAAAAAAGAAGAATCCATTGTTATTGGAAGTAAAATTTCTGATGATTGTTAAAAATTTCAAATCCATTGTTATTGGTCATTGGATTTGACATCCATTGTTATTGGTCCATTGTTATTGGTTTGATGACTTATAAAATCCATACAAAATCCATTGTTATTGAAAAGTTTACAATTTGAATGATTTTGTTAAATTTGTGTTATTGGGAGATGGATTTTAAACAAACTCATAAAACAAAACTTTCAAAATACTACTTATAACCCTTAGATTCTCAAAATCCATTACAATAAAGTATTTTGACTGATTTTCTAAATTTACATACTCTCTCCATTGAGATGGATTTTACACAAATCAACTCATAAAACAAAACTTTCAAAATACTACCCCTATAACGTCATGCATTATCAATTGCTTATTATACATATCTAGTTCCAATTTAACACTGTTTTTTTTTTTTTTTGGCTGATACAAATAATAGAATTAAGGGGAGGTGTGCATAAAAGCACAAATTTTCAGAGAAAATTGTGGGTGGGATGGAAACGAGACGTGCATCAAAGGATTTAATGAACAACTCGAGTACCCTTTTGATTGCGAGTGTTCCCTTTATGAACCTGGCGAAAGCCAACGTATTTGCAGATGTAAATTTCCAAAGACTCCTTGCTAAGACTCCATATACTTCTATAACCAATAAGTAAGAGAAAATATGTGTACAAAAGTTCATTCTGTTTACAGATGCGCACAGTAAACGATTTTAAATTGTTTCGGTTTAATGTATTATATATTTTCATTCACTTTTATCTATGTAATAATATTTAATAAAGTTATAACATTTTCTTCTTTTTCTGTCAATCAAAACCTTGTGTGCTCGATCTTCAGATAATTTGAGATTCTCATTGTTGATTTGAAGCCACTGCCTTGGGCCTCTTTTTTTGTTTATCAGAGATATGCCAAAAGTTATGGCTCTTCACAAATATTTCAACTTCAGCTGTTCTCACTGAATGAACGAATATACAACAGCTAACTGCAAATATGTGAGAAGACAATGATTGTAGAGACTCCTACCGTAATTTTTTAACGAGAAAAGAAAATTACCAACAAAAAGATCATTTACTTTTCTTTTTTTTTTGTTCTAAAAAGATCATTTACTTAGGAATATAATATTGATCGTTGATATAAACAAATGATACGGCTGCCACCTTTTTGTAATAGATCAAATTTGTCACTGAATAAAACCGAGTTGAGTTTCTCGCATCATCTCTGCGTTGAAAAGCTTCATACAGGCTACGCGTATTGCATTTCTATATGTCTTTAATCATTTGTTTGTTGTGGTTCCATGTTGTACGAATTAAATTTTCTACTTGCATGTAACTAGATCCATGCATTGTAATGGTAAATGATTCTTCAACATTTGTAAACTGTGGAAATATTTATTGAATATTAATCATTCAGAAAGTTATGGATTGTTGCTCATTATGTCTTTTTTTTTCTTCATCTTGTACCAGTTTTAACATATATAAAAACATAAATTATACATATCTAACCGATTACACAACCAATACATAAAGAAATACATTTATATAAGTATCAAAATAGTTTTAAATTGATTAGTACAATAACTCAGAAAAAAACGTATATTGGAAGGTGCACAGTGCACACGTACGTCGTCATGCGACCCACCAAGTAGGCTATAAGACACGAAACTAGTTAAAATGTCTTTTTCCTACTTAACAACTCTCTTATATTGCTATTATTATTGTGATGTTTCTTATTATCACTTAATTAATGCCTTAATGGAAAAAAATATCCATATTTTGCTTAAAATATATCGATTGGGTGTTGAGGTAATCACCGCACGTTTTGGATTATTAAATATAGGACAATTAGTCCTAAGTCACATATATTCGTATATGATATTAAAATCACAAAATTGAACAACCAAGCTTAGCACAGGTAAGTAATTACGGTTAACTACTAAATGATTTTTCAACCGAGTCAGTCTAATTAGATGGAGATACTATAGAGTTTAGTAAGATTATACATTTACAGAAAAAAATGAAAAATATAATGAGGGGTTTGTTGGAAAAAGTCCAAAGACAATCGAACAACCAAACTTAACATAAATGAAGAATTTTTTCACCAACTGTTAGTTGATTCATAGCTTTCAGGCCAACTTTGATTCTGGCTCGTTCGTCAATTGGTCTCAAGAAAACAAGAACAGCAATCAATCATTTAGATTCTGGTTATGTCATAACAGTCAACTACAACGTTCCTTTCATTGCCATTTTTATAAATTATTTTGGAGTCTTGGACATGTCCTAAAGATAATTATTTGATTCATTATTATTTCTATCATCTGATTTATTACGGATGCGTCGGTGAAACAGTTGACAAAACATTTTTACAATCCGATTGTAATTTTGAAGAATGTTCACCCTTAATTCAGTCCTATGTTACGTACGCGTACGAACGCATGATGCTCCCGAACCTATGACTACAAACATCCACATTTTCAAGTTTATTCGCAAAATCTATAAAAGTACTAGCTATGAACTTGTAATTCTAAAAAGTATATATTGTAATTTCCATACTTTTCGAGATTTATTTTATTCTAGGTCGTAGTTTATATAAAAGTTTGTTTTGTGTTTGTTTTCTTATTTTATATATATATATATATATATATATATTATAATTAATTTACTTGAAACGAAACTAAAAAGAAGAATCGTGGGGAGCATTAGTTAAGCTGTTTACTAAGACTTCTTCTTCTACTAACAACTTCATGCCCTCCAAATCCTTCATCTCCAATGCCGACAATCCTCCGACTTATAATTTAATAAAATCCTGTTCTTTTAATAATCGCTATTATTATTTTTAAAATCTTTGATCGTCAACAGCTAAAACTTCTCTTCTTGATCCTGTCTTAAAATCCCGACATTCATAGAAACAATCATTGAACACGACCAAAATCGTTGAACAAGCTCTTAAATACTTCGCACAATCTTCTCTCTCACCTTCATTCATTTCTCTCTACATTTGCGAGTAAACTCTGTTTGTGGAGTTTTCTTGCAGCACAAGAAATATAAGTTTTGTGTTACTTACGAGATGACAGAGAAAGATCTTCTTTACGATACGATACTTGCTCGTAGCTTTAGCAAGAACGAGCAGAAGAGATTTGGCTATGGAGCTTTCATTGCATCTCTTCTCTTCGTCTTCACTCTTTGCACCGTCTTTAAACCTTATCTCAGCCCATTACCAATCGGTAAGCCTCCTTCACAGCGTTTCCAAAACGCAATAATCAGTCATGAATTCTAACGTTTTTCTTCCGTTTCTTCAGTGGAGTTGCAATTATCAGTGGACGCTGGTCTCAGGATGCTGAGAATAACAGAACCGCAGAAACCGCAAGCGTTAATGAGCAGCAACTATGCAACAACATCTGAAGATTCTGAGGAACTTATGATTCCTTCGAATCAAAATAACATCACATCAAATGCAACAACTACTGATGATCAGAGCCAAATCAGTTCTGAAGAACAAAAGCTTGGTGTATGTAACGACACAAGCTTGCCCAAGAATCACCATGACTCGTTTAACTGTACTACTAACACCACAGTCTCCAACGAACAAGTTATTTCAGGTTCACATTCTTAACAATTGTCTTGATTTGTTATGGTACTTTAATCAATTTCTTTGTAGTTATTATTATAATTCTGACAATGTTATTCTTCTTTGTTTACGTGAATTTTCAGGCGGAGACAAAAGGGAGGAAACCGTGAAACCTATCTGTCAGAAGCTAGCAAGAACCGATTTATGTGATATAAGCGGCGACGTGAGAATCCACGGCAAATCCGCGACGGTTCTTGCAGCAATCACGTCTGCGTTTTCGGGGAATTCCACGTGGCAAATTAAACCTTACGCGAGAAAAGGTGACGTTGCAGCGATGAATCGCGTCAGAGAATGGACGGTGAAATTGGAACAAAACGCTGATTTCTCGCGTTGCGTTAGGAATCACAGCGTTCCCGCGATGCTTTTCTCTCTCGGAGGCTACTCGATGAACAACTTCCACGATTTCACTGACATCCTGATTCCTCTGTACACGACGGCGCGTAGATTCAACGGAGAGGTTCAGTTCCTCGTGACGAACAAGAACCTACCGTGGCTGAACAAATTTAAGGAGATAGTGAGGAGTCTGTCGAATTACGAAGTGATTTACATCGACGAAGAAGACGAAACGCACTGTTTCAGCAGCGTCGTCGTCGGTCTCAATCGCCACCCTGAGTATTACAAAGAGCTAACGATCGATCCTTCGAATTCGGAGTATTCCATGTCCGATTTCCGGAGTTTCTTAAGAGACGCATATTCGTTGAGAAACGCCGACGTGACCGCGAGACGGATTCGGCGTCGGAGGCCACGGATTCTGATTTTGTCGAGGAGCAGATCGCGCGCGTTCGTGAATGCCGGCGAGATCGCGAGAGCGGCGAGACAAATCGGATTCAAAGTCGTGGTGGCGGAAGCGAACACAGGAGTCGCGAATTTCGCCCAAACCGTGAATTCATGCGACGTGATGCTCGGCGTTCACGGCGCGGGGCTGACGAACATGGTGTTTTTGCCGGAGAACGCGGTCGTGATTCAGATTCTTCCGATCGGTGGATTCGAGTGGCTAGCAAAGACGGATTTCGAGGATCCGTCGAAGGGGATGAATCTGAGGTATTTGGAGTACAAGATCGAGGCGGAGGAGAGCACGCTGCTGCGGCAATACGGACGCGACCACGAGATCGTGAGAGATCCATCGGCGGTTGCGAAACGCGGTTGGGAAATGTTCAAGTCGGTTTATTTGGTACAGCAGAACGTTAGCGTTGATATTAACCGGTTCAAGCCGGTTCTTGTCAAAGCGTTTGAGTTACTGCAGAGGCAATCAGTGTGATTGTGAAGTACTTCTTTACTGCATTCGTAAACTGTACATTCTAGTAGTCGGAGCGGAATATTTATCATAAAATCAAACATTGATGAAACTTTATCGATCTCATCATCATATTCAGTTTCAGAATTTTAATAATAATCTGAATATTTTTTATAAATTTAGCGTAAGTTGTAGTAATTAATTATCGGTGTTGTGTGAATAACTAAATATCCAAACTCTTATATGTTCAAATACCATTTTGTCAAAATTTGATCTCCTTTTCCATTAGTTTGATAAACCAAGACAATGATCGTTTAAATTACCTACTATCAATCAATGTCAATAATAGAGTTGAGAAATTAGAGTCAATAACTGAGATTACAGTTTACTAGCTCCAAGATTTGATGTATTAAACTTGATAGATACATGTACAAAGACAGAACACAGACGACGAACGGTGGCTGAGACTTAAACTTTAAAACCTGTATAACCGGATTTCACTTCGGTTTTGGTTCGATTTCTGGTATTTTCACGGTTTTATAAAATTTGGATACATAATGTTAAAAAAAATCAGAGATCTATTATTAATGGGCTTTCTGGGCCCATTCGTAAAAGGAATATTGTTAGTCCCGTGCAACCAAACAGCAGTGTAAACCCTAGGGAATTTTCAAATCCCTCCAATTCTCTCTCTTTTCATTTCCAGAAGTGTCTTGTTGCGCTTCGTCTAGGGTTTTCTGCGAATCCCCTTCTTTTTTTTTTCATTCGCAACACTGATCGAAGCTCATTTCCGTCGAAATCAAATCCGATCTCGACCTCTCGATTGTAGTCAACAATGGCGGCGGCACCCATAGCGGCGAGGCCTCGCGCATCCAAGTCGGAATCGTTCGTAGACAACAAGCGCAAGGAGGACGTCCGTTTCGCCAACATCAACTCCGCTCGCGCCGTATCAGATGCCGTTCGCACGAGTCTGGGGCCGAAAGGTATGGACAAGATGATTTCGACGGCGAGCGGCGAGGTTATCATCACCAACGACGGAGCTACGATCCTGAACAAGATGGAGGTTTTACAGCCGGCGGCGAAGATGTTGGTCGAGCTCGCCAAATCACAGGATACAGCCGCCGGAGACGGGACCACCACGGTCGTCGTTATCGCCGGTTCGTTGCTCAAGCTGTGCCAAACGCTTCTCCTGGCCGGGATCCACCCTACCGTCATCTCAGATTCGCTTCACAAGGTCGCTGCCAAGTCCGTTGATATCCTGACCGCCATGGCAGTCCCGGTGGAGCTCACTGACCGAGACTCCCTCGTCAAATCCGCCAGCACGTCGCTTAACAGTAAGGTCGTTAGCCAGTACTCAACATTACTTGCTCCTTTAGCTGTAGATGCGGTCCTTTCTGTTATAGATCCGGAAAAGCCAGAGATTGTTGATTTGCGTGATATCAAGATTGTGAAGAAGCTTGGTGGTACTGTTGATGATACACACACTGTGAAAGGTTTGGTCTTTGACAAGAAGGTGAGCCACGCCGCTGGTGGACCAACTCGTATGGAGAATGCTAAGATCGCTGTGATCCAGTTCCAGATCTCACCGCCAAAGACTGACATCGAGCAGAGCATTGTCGTCTCTGATTACACTCAGATGGATAGGATCTTGAAAGAGGAGAGGAACTACATCTTGGGGATGATTAAGAAGATCAAAGCGAGCGGTTGCAATGTTTTGCTGATCCAGAAGAGTATTTTGAGGGACGCTGTGACTGATCTGTCGCTTCACTACTTGGCTAAAGCCAAAATCATGGTGATCAAGGATGTTGAGAGGGACGAGATTGAGTTCGTCACCAAGACGTTGAACTGCTTGCCAATCGCCAATATTGAGCATTTCAGAGCTGAGAAACTTGGTCATGCTGATCTTGTCGAAGAAGCCTCACTCGGAGAGGGGAAGATTCTGAAGATCACTGGAATTAAAGACATGGGGAGAACCACCTCTGTTCTTGTTCGTGGCTCTAACCAGCTGGTTCTTGATGAAGCCGAGAGGAGTCTACACGATGCTCTATGTGTGGTGAGGTGCCTGGTGAGCAAGAGGTTCTTGATTGCAGGAGGTGGTGCGCCGGAGATTGAGCTCTCGAGGCAGCTTGGTGCTTGGGCTAAGGTTCTCCATGGGATGGAAGGTTACTGTGTGAAGTCTTTCGCTGAAGCTCTTGAGGTTATCCCTTACACGCTGGCCGAGAATGCAGGGTTGAACCCAATTGCTATTGTGACTGAACTCAGGAACAAGCATGCTCAAGGGGAGATCAACGCTGGGATCAATGTGAGGAAAGGTCAGATCACTAATATCTTGGAGGAGAACGTGGTGCAGCCTCTGCTTGTGAGCACTAGCGCCATCACTCTTGCAACTGAATGCGTAAGGATGATTATGAAGATCGATGACATTGTCACCGTGAGGTAGTGTGTGGTAGTTTCACTCAAATCAGGTTCAAGAACGCTTCTCTTGACTCTATCTAAGCTTTTGTTTCTTCTTCTTTTTTTGGTGTTTTTTAGTGTTTGCACAATGGTTGAAGTTGAACTTTCTTTTGTTTCATTATGGTTTTATTTGTGGTTTAGTGCGACTGTATTTCTTTCTAGTAACTGGATATCAATATTTCTTTTTTTGTTTTTACTGGTTTTATATGCTGATTACTTTTGTTATAGAAGTCAAATTGTCGGAGCAAAAATCAGAATTTCACTGTGACTCAAATGCTTGATATATAGGGGTCACACAAAATTAGCAGCCTATCTGGATAATCTTTGGGTTGGGTCACAAATGTAATAGATTCGTTGTATGAAAGTATGACAGGACACAGTAGCATGAACATGAGTTTCTCCAGCTCATTGGTCTGTCTCCCACCAGACCAGATCACAACATTATATATAACACTATTTGTTTCTCTCTCGTCAACGTGATTCAGTTTATCTTTTCATTTATTCATTAATTGCAACCCAGTTTTGATTACAACTCAAAAGCAAACTACTAAAATATCAATTGTATGAGAGACCCACTTGAGGAGCCTGTGTATTGGTTATGGAACCAATCCTGTGTGTGTGTATGTACATAGCAATATTGCTTTGTGTTTGCAAAAGTGTAAATCTTTTACACTGCAGATTCAGAATTAGTCTTCTTGTGTTGTTCCTCGAGTAGTTGTTTAGTCAGCGACTCTGGATCTTGATCTTGTTGGCTCGTCTCTTCAACAACCTGTTTTCTTTCTTCGTTTTTCCCCCAAAGAACTAAGTAGAGCCCCAGCATTATGAACATGGCACCAAGAATGCTGCATAAGGAAATATTGAATTTAGATCCAGCAATCTAAAAGAACAAAACCTGATGAACTTTGTTCAATGCGTTTTACCTTCCGGAGTATAACTGATCACCAAGAACAATAAACGCCATTGCAGCAACAAGAAGTGTCTGGAGTGGCTGGAAGACTGCAACAAAGACAGGACCGCCTTTGTAGATGCACCATGTCTGAAGATAAACCACCAACCCCGACGCTATTATTCCCTGTAAACACAACCCCAGTTAGCTACTAGCTTCATCGATTCAGATCAAGGAGAAAGAAGAAATGAAGAGAGAGACAGAGAGCTTACTGCGTATAGGATGGTGAAGAGCTCTTCCCAAGAGACGATGATCCAGTTGTTGAGATCAGTTTCCACGAATAGCGCAATGACGAGAAACTGAACTAGACCGAAGAAGCATGTGAACGATGTTAGAGTTAGCTTTGCTGGGTACTTCTTTAGGACAGGAGCTTGAAGAACCATCCAACCGGCCCATGACAAGCAATGTCCCATAAGGTATAACCATCCGAGTGTACTGTTCTGCGAGTTGTTAGATTCGATCTCCTCTTCCTCGTGCAAGTTAAGGCCCTTATGAAAGATCGGAAATCCTCTGTACAATGTGATCACTGTGGCTCCACCTATGCTCACTAGGGTTCCCAATACTTTGGCCACACCGTGTTTCCTGACCAGGTCTATGTGCTCTAACCTTAATTCAGAAAGGAAGGAAGATCAACGTTAGATACGCACACAAGAATACTTCCATGAAAAATGTTTGTTAAATACCTTAGGGCACAAGCCATGATGAAAGTGATGGCAGGAACAGAGTTCTGCATCGCGGAAGCAAACGTTGGAGTCGCATAGTACAATCCCAATAGGTAAAATCCTTGGTTCGCTGTGAATCTGACGTTGGAACACAAAACGAAGTTTCAGAACTATAATCAATGATTGTAGAGTAGAAGAAACCAAGTGCTATTTTCTTGTTAGGTTATGCTTTACCCTATGAGTGCCAAGAGGAAGAACTGAACCAGTAAAGAGATTGTGAGTGGAGGCCTTTCCTTCCTGTTGAAACACATAGCATTGTTAAAACTATGAATTGCCAAGAAGAATATGTTCGAACTTTGAGATCTTATCCAACAAAAACCCTAGAACTTGGAGAGGTGTAGGAGCTTACTTTTCGAAGAAGTAAGCGAAGGGGCCTATGATAAGAAGGGCAAGGATATTCCTGTAAACAGGGTACACAACTTTGCTGACACCAATGTTAAGAGCAACTCTTGAGACAATGTGGAAGCCTGCAAAACAGAACTGAAGAGTGATCAATGCCACCACAAGCTTCATCTTCTCTGATACTACTTTCGCCATGCTCTCTTCTTCTCCTTCTTCCTCTTCTTGTTCTTTTGCTCTTTTCTTTTTGAAGTTTGGTTGCACACCAAAGGTTGGTTTTATATGAATAATCTGCGTGGTAGACTTGTGATTAAAAAATAGAAAATAATTATGACTGATTGTATAATAAATGAAATGGGTGATTAGTGGGATTAGGGAGAACAAAGATGGTACATCATTTCTTCAAGTGGGCCACTATATTCGTTTGTAATTAATGGTTCAGAATAATAATGATACAAGATGGTTATTTGACTGTAATAATACGATTTGGAGGTTGAATGTTTATGTACCTTAAGATATGTGGGGACTGGGGATATGTATGTATTGGTAGTAGTTCCACTCGTGTTTAATGACCGATAACAAAAGTTCTGCATTTTCTACATCGCTTACAAAAGACATATAATATACGAAAGTTAGAACACAAAAATAATTGAAAGTAAATTTGATAATTCATCCTTCAGGGTACATTTCTACAATGTGATTAACTGATTATAGGTTCTTTTCTTTTGTAATAATGGCTTTAAGGAATCGAATAGCATGTGGTTACCTCATAATTAGGCATCTTGTCTTGAATGTGGAAAACCATTAAACAATCTGATTGATAAGTTAACTAATAAATATACATCGAAGGAGAGCAGTAACCACCGTTTATTCAGTTAACTTGTTTTGTTTTGTTCATATCATTAGATTCCACAATACGGCTGCAACCAAATGCATCGTATATATCATTTGACTTAATTTCTAAATTTCTAAAGTGATAAGAAACTGTTATGTTTTCATAAACAAATGATAAACAATCATTTGAGTAATTTGTACTATGTACTCTCTTTGTTTTTCTTCTAGTGGCCCTAAAGAGGAACACATGCAAGATTCTCTTTCTATTTTTGTTTTTTTCTTTTTTCAGCTCATGATATGAAAATTCTCAGATTTAAATTTTATTATATAATCATCAGTTTCCATCTCCGTGGTCCAAAATAAAAAATGATCGAAATTAACTCACATAAATTATGACAGATCATCTATGATTTGTGCTCTGAATTATAATTAACGATTCTGAATTATATAATCATGGATTATGCTCTGATGATAGAGAGCCATTACCCTTTTCTCAAAATGTAATCAATAGTCACCAAAGATCAATAACAAACTGGCAAAAAAAACACCTAAACATCAAATCTTTTAAGAAGATTTCAATCAAATCCCAAAGAATCCATGTTGAACTAATAATATAATTAAGGTAATCTGCATAATGAAGACTAATGGATTGTGTTTTTCTTCATCTACATCGCTATACAACCCTCAACCAATCGGTCTGAATCATATAAACATCATATCAACATAGATAGTCGAAAAGATATCGAGAAACACAAGAACCGGATTTGGTGAGAAAGCGTATAACTATAATATTCAACAGACATAAATAACATATTCACAAGGATTCATTGAGCAGCCTAAAGTCAACTAATTGGGTTGGTGATACCGTTTCACAACCAATTTCGATTTGTCTTGCCATCAAATATGAAGACACAAACAAAACACCTTCAAATCTTTCATCTCTCTTCCATTATTCAGAACAACGTGCAAAAATGCCACAATCCTGCTCTCTGTTCAATAGAGACTACAAAGTTAATGAATATGGGGTTCGATCATCATAGCATTATCCATGATGTGTGGCTCTAACGTCAGTGAAGAGAACAACGACTTATGTCAAATATAGAGCTTTAGCTTTTAGAAAGAAGCAGCACCAAATACAATCAGATAACACTAATTCTTTAAAGTTCCTTATACTCACAAAGTGAAGCTGAGATTAGATTTACAAACATGATTTAAATGACAATAGAAAGAGTTGAAAGGTAATTCTCCAACTCCAAAATGTATTTGGTTAATTTGGATTGCTCAACTTTTTATATGCATCTGGAGAAAATGCGTATCATAAAAATGTAGAATTGTTATAATGCTAAGGTTGTTCCGAGAATATTTGATATGGATTGCTAAATCTTTTCAATGCCTCGAAGAGTAAAAAAAATCTTAAGAAAACATGGACCACCAAACAGGTTCGGAAATCACAGACAAAACTGCATCATAAGTGCAGTATACTGTCCAGTGGCAATGAGAGAAGAAACTTGTGTATACAGAAAATAGGGGAAAGTTTCATGTCCCCAAAATTATGATTCGTCTCTGTCTGTTCTCTTGGAATGTCTCCCCCATTACCCATGATTCCGAGGTCTAGGAGATCAATTAAAAACTCAAAAACCAAACATTATATAGAGCTTTCATTAAATAGTAACAGAGACCTAGACATAGGACTAGCTAGAAGACAAAAGAACACAATGATTTTTTTCAAATCCTCCCGTAAAGACTCAAATGTTCTTGTTCTTATTTGCAGGAGCCGCTAAAAAAGGGTACTTTAGCAAGCAATTCTTCAGGGCTTGATCTCAAGTTCTAAAAGTCATCCAATACGAGTTACTACTACTTATAAATCTTATTACAGTTGTTTCTTCAAACTTTGGTTGCACGAGCTCCTTTAAACAGTTTCTGCAACATCAATAAAGAGCATATGAATCAATTTATCTACCATTAGACAGACAGAGCTATACGCTTGAATCTTATTAATCAAAGGTCATTACCTTTCTTAGAGCATCAAGCGCCCGCACTTTCTCCTCTTTCTTTTCACAAAAGCACTCTCCGCACCAGCTGGAGAATTCCTTCTGATGACTTTTGAGCTCTCTAAACACAGAGCTGCATGGAACAACGGGAAAGAAAAGCTTGATAAAGAAATGCCTAACAAATTTCCATAGCAGTACAGAGGCAAGTTTCCAACTGCTATTTACCTTCTGCACCACAGAAGCATATTGACCCGGTGACCGGATGTTGTGGCTCTGGCACCATGGCGGTGGCGTCCACGGTGAAGTACAGCTTGCCCCGGTATATGACAATAATCAAATATTTCCTGCTTTTGTATAAAAAAAAAACACACAGTAGTTTGAATTAGCCATCATAAGTCAAGACATAACATGTTATTCTTGACGACAGCAACTTAAAAAAGAGTAAGCATACATCTGGCTTTGTTGCTGTGTTAACATGTTTCTCACACCGTGTGCCTCTGAAAAACAACTCCCCTCCCACAAATACGTTACCCAAACAAACATTCAGGGTTACTTCCGAATCATCCACATGAAAGCCTGCAAATTTATGACATCTGCTCAGAAACAACCATATCTACGTGGGTATAGGAGAATATCTGCAGTTAGGAGAACTAGTCAGGTCAAGAACTTACCTAAATCAACATCCCTGTCGTTACCATATTCAACAACAAAGCCATGGTGAGAGTCTAGAGTTGATCCACCCACATCATTGAAGAATACTACAAAAACAAAAGATGGTAAGTGGCCTTTTAGTCAACACTGTAACATATTACAATGGACTTTTCTCAATAATAAGCAATGGTTTAAGTTGTATATTACTTTTGGCTATGGGACGTATGAAATTGTCCATGAGTTTGTCAAGCATGGTATCCAGACCAAAGTCGTCAAGCACTGCACCGTACTTATTCATGGTGTTTGGTCTCATGATCCGGAATTTCGTCTCACCCACCCACTTCTCAAAATTGTTTATCTGCATGGTCAAAACAGTAGCACATGAACAAACAAAGTATAAAGGTAACAAAAAAAAGTAGAGAAGAAACAAAAACAAAAAGGGTATGCACATTACCTCGGATAGCATCATCTCGCAATAGCTAGGCTGGAGCATGTCGAAGACGAAAACACCAGGAGACGGTTCTGACATTATTTTTCTGAAGCTAACATCTGTGCTTTCTTTGATCGCCTCTAGGAAATCCGGGACGAAACATTTCTCGGGATTCAGAGTATACAACTCCCTGTGAAGTGGCTGCAAGGAGAAAACATTTCAAACTACTTAGCTGATGACTGTAGCAGCATGATATGGAACAACACAGTGAAAATTCAAGTAAAGATTCTCACCTGATAATTTGATATTATCTTCTGCCTATAGTCCTTGTGCCTTTGAGCCTGTACCATAATACAAAGAAACTTACTTTGTAAGCACTTGAGGATCATATTGACATTCATTTAAGAAAACAAATTATACATGCAATGTCTTCTATTGTCATCTTCCCAGATTAAGCTAAAGAAAACAAAAACTAAGATCATACCAATTTGCATCAGTGTGATGTTAAATCTACGAGACAATTTTACTAACAGAAATCATTATAGAGCCCCCGAATGGGTCAGTGTAGCAACTTCCAAATCAAATCAGTCTTCTAAATCCAAAATTGAGAAAGGTCAAAACTTGAGACTTACTCTGGAACGCTCTCCATGTGGAAGGTGCCTGAGCATAATGTCTGTCATGAATTTCACTTTCTCTTCCCTCTTCGAGACGAGCAAATCCGGAGGCAAGTACTTCTCGAGACTAGCATATATCGAGTTGGGGAAATCCAGCTGGAGGCCTTCGTAATTATCTGGTTTATGCTCGTTGTTCGGATTTAGCCTCAGTCTCTGAGAGGAAACCGCCGTAGCCGTGGATTTCATCGTCGGAGGAGCTGCGGGATGAGAATTGCCTCCGATAGCTCCGTTATTTTCCACCGTCGTCGTCGTCGTCGTCGTCTGCTGACCTTCTCGCCGGTCACTTGACATTAGAGCTGTTTAAAGGTAATTCAAGTGAGAAAAGTAGGTTTCTGCTGCACACTGCATTCCAAAAACAAAAGCCCAGAATCTATAAGAGAATCGAAACCCGGCCTTGTTTCTATTTTCCTCTCGATCTGGGGATTCTGATTTTGGGTTCCCGTTGAAGTTAGGGTTTTCTGCAATTGTTCCCTCGAAGATTTTTTGTTCCTTTTTTATTGTTTTTTCTTTAACTACGCACGAAAACTTCTCTTGCCACGTTTACTTACAGTTAACTGATCTTCCGGCCCGTCTTCAAGGCCCATAAAAGATCATCCAAACTGGATCTCTGGTTTAGCAATTTCGGGTTTTGGGACGATATTGAATCAATCGAGCGGACTTCTACGGAAATGGGAAATTCGGTAAATCAAATATGATTTCCGAAGTATCTCTTATTATAACGGGATGGGAAACCACGGGAATGGGAAGAGAATGAGAATTTGGGAATCAAAAAAAATACCCGAAGTCTTAATAAATCGGAAAAATTGAAGATAATATGAGAAATTACTGTAAAATATGGGAAAATATGGGAAATTATGAAAAAATTTGGGAACATATAGGAAAAATTAGGATATTTAAGAAAAAAATATCTAATTTTCAATTTTTTATTTTGTAAACGGGAAAATCGAGAAATCCCTTAGTTTAATTCAGAGTTCAGACGGGTTTAGTTTAATTCAGACTTGTTTTTTGGTTTACTCTCGAATCTCGTCCTCTTTCTTCTTCAACTCTTTCGAAAACTTGAATTTGGTGTTTAGTGTTTGGTGTTTTTTCAAATGTAAGTTTGTAAAGACTGCCTTTTTATTCATAAAAGAAAAAACACAAATCAGTTTGATGAAAGTAAAACAAACAAATACTAAGAAATCATATACTAAGAAATCTACTTCAAACAAAAAACGTCCAAAAGTCAAAAAAAAAAAAAAATCTTTGTTTTATTTCTTGATAAAGAAAACATAACACATCGATTATTGGACCACTTTCCTAACCAGTATTGATGCACAATTTCGACTAGAATTCTCAAAAGATAGACTCATCAAGTTTTCACCCAATTTGATACCTCTTACAATTACAAAACATATTGTCACAATTTAGATTGTCTAAAACAGCATATGAAAATCTTGATATAATTGGTTGTTGCAATAAAACGTTTTAGACTTTGTCTTAGACAAACCGAATGTTCTATACACTTACTTCACTAGGGTCACTAGTCACTAATCAGTACAACATTAAGGAAGATAATGTTTAAATGTGAACCCATTAATAATAAATCGAATTTTATCATCATCCAAAAATTCAACGAGTTTGGAAGAAGATCCAATGGAGTTGAAGTTTGAGTCTGAGAGTTTGTGAGTGTTGAAGTATTAACACGTGTGAGACATAAAGTAAGTCGGTTTAACTCGTGTGAATACCAACTGTGGCTCTTTCCTCTTCTTCGCTGGCTTCATTGGTCACTTCCCTCTGCCAAAATCTTTTGGCAATCGACCCTCGTCTTCTCTTCCGATCACGGAACCACGACGAATTAGAAATGTGGAAGGAAGAATCGTTGGATATTATCCTTGTCCCGGCAGGTCTCACCGTCATGGTCGCCTATCACGTCTGGCTCGGCTACGCTATACTTCACCGTCCCAAGCTCACTGTCATCTCTCTCAACGCCGAGACTCGTCGACAATGGGTCTTCTCTATGATGACCGTACGTTTCCCCTCTCTCTCTCTCTTCTCCTTTGACTTTTGGGTTCCAAATTAGGGTTTATGTCGTCCGAACAAGTTTTGAAATTTCGAGCTGAAACGCGAGGATTTATGTCGATTGAGCTGCTTTTTTTCGAATCAATGGATTCGAAATTGACCTATGACGACTCTCTTCTGGATTTACGGATAAATGAGAAAGCTTTTCCTCCCCAAATTACGAAACCCCTCAATTTTTCATGAGTCTGATGTTTTCGAGATCAATTAAGAACAGAGCACTAGACATAGGTGACACAAGAACAGAGTGAATTTTTTTCAAATCCTCTCGTAAAGACTCAATTTTTCATGATTCTGAGTTTTTCGAGATCTATTAAGAACAGAGCACTAGACATAGGAAGACACAAGAACAGTGTGAGTTTTCCAAATCCTCCCGTAAAGACTCAATTTTTCATGGTTCTAAGTTTTTCGAGATCGATCAAGAACAGAGCACTAGACATAGGAGACACAAGAACAGAGTGACTTTTCTTAAATCCTCCCGTAAAGACTCGATTTTTATGATTGTTATCATGCAGGAGCCGCTGAAAAATGGAACTTTGGCTGTACAAACAATCAGGAACAACATAATGGCATCGACGCTATTAGCCACCACAGCGATCACTCTCTGCTCCATCATCGGCGTCTTTGTAAGCAACGGCTCGGCGTCGAAATCCACGGCGTCGGTTATCATCTACGGGAACAAGAGCGCGCGCCTCGCGTCGATCAAGAACTTCACGATCCTCGTCTGTTTCCTCATGGCCTTTCTCTGCAACGTGCAGTCGATCAGGTACTACGCTCACGTGAGTTTCCTAGTCACTGTGCCCGTGTCGAGAGGGAAAAGAGAGCACTGCGAGTATGTGTCTAGGAACCTGAACAGAGCTAGCTACTTCTGGTCTCTCGGGCTGCGAGCTTTCTACTTCTCCTTCCCGCTCTTTCTATGGAACTTTGGTCCCATCCCGATGTTTGTTTGCTGCTGTATGATGTCATCGATTCTGTATTTCTTGGACACCACCACTAGTTTCACCAGGCATCTCCATAGCGAGTCGTTCAGAGAAGTGGCTGATTCCATGGACGCTGAAATCGAATCGGCGGTTCATGCTCTCTAGATTCTTGTCTGGTTTTTGTTGTGTGTAGATGCTCGTTGAGTGTAGAGATTTACATTAGTGTTTTTCTGAAATGTGAGGGAACATCTCTCTGTTTGCAAACAAACAATCGAGAGAGTAGTATAGTCTCTGTAGACTGTGTAATGTATGCTATGTAACCTCTTGGGCTTTGTTGTCAATTTAATTCTTCTTCTTCACTAAAAGTTACGGTTCGGTTACTCCCTTACCCGAATTTTGGACCAGATCTGGATGTTTTGTGGTCTGTGTGGTTTATTCATCAGAACGGTTATGTACGTTACAAACATCCTGCATAAAAAAAATAAACTTCTTTTTGTTTTCTTTACAAAAGCATAGAAGAATGTGATAACTTTTTCTTCTGTGTATAATGATGTTATTTTCAATATATATATAAATTTATGGACAGATCCATGATGTTGAAGAGGAAAAATCCATGATGTTGTGTTGTTGATGATAATCAACTTTTCATTCTGTGTCCAAATTTAGAACTTTTACTCTATTTTCATCCATCCAACCTCTTTGCCTTTATAATTCTATACCAGACCGACAAATTGTTTTGTTATATTTGTCAAATGACTCAAATCCAAAGAACTTTTTTTACACTACCTAATCTATATATAACAACTAGCTATCACAGAGTTAATATTGAGCTTTGCTTAGAAGTTAGAAGATTTGGATTAAGAAATTTGTGTTTGACAGCATTATTGTGATGGATGCTTTACCATGTCACTAGAGCTCCTTGATATCGATCCCTGCCAAATGAACAAAAGAAAGAATAAGAAAAATCGGCTGTAAGAAGTAAAAAATACATATTGCAAGTTCGTATATACTATAAATATAATACATGTAACCTTGAAAATAGTGAATAAATAAAGGGAAAACTTTATACATTATACTATAAATATAATACATGTACCCAAACTTTGAAACAAACTGCATATGCTTCCAAATGAATAAATAAAGGGAAATCTTTAACAAACTTATATATGTGAAATGCATGCACCCATGTAAGTTTTATGCATAGATGTGCATGTATATATGTTTGGGTGGGTGTATAGGAAAGAGAGAAGAAGGAATAAATTTGGTGACAGAAGTATAGAGAGCACAAAAGAGTAGAGATGCAGGCTTCTTCACTTTCTCTCTTTCTCTCTTTCTTGAATTTGGTTTACATGTTTCATCACCACATGCTGTGTGATGATATATGTATATATGTACTTGCATATCATCCTTGGTGCTCTCTATCTTCTGTCAACAACCAACATCACTCTCAAACCTGTGTATTTACATGCAACATCATAAAATATGTAATGTAGGTATATGTATGAATATTTGTAAGCATGCATGTCCATATATAGACAATAGGGTGTTTGTGAAGTGACAGAGGGGTAATGGAAAGTGGTGTGGGTATATATAGGAGAAAGCTGTGAGAGCTCCTCTACCACATAATGTACCAAAACGTTGACTCTTTCTAAATATACATTCCCCTCCACACAGAATTTATACACACACCCAAGACACAATATATATTGTTTTTGTATGAAATATATGAAAAAGCTTTTCCGGATTAATATCCGTAAATTATGAGAATGACTTGAGTCAAAATTATCGTCATGCAGCTGCTAAACATAATTTAATCCATTCATTTATCATCATCATAACTGGAATATAATTTGCTAGAGTCTATGATTTATGGTCATATATGAGAAAATGGTTATGTACTATATTCCCAGTAACCGAATTTATCCGGCGCCTCTAACGATGCCAAAATCTGGCTAGTAACACGAGCCAATCAATGTGGTAATCATGTGACATGTAAGATGTGGAGGAGATTTTTCTGACTTCAAAGTTTGGCTATGGCTGGCAAAAACCCTACCCACCAACTAATCGTACGTTCTCAGTGTGTAGGGTAGCTATACTAATTTAACCTGTTCAACAAACCCTAGGACAGAAAATGAACCTTTCGTGCGCTTCAACCGACAAAACCAAAAATAGTAAACTTTTCTAAATAGTTATCTTGACTAGTATTCAAACAAATAAATGACCAAATCCAACCATTTTTTTTTATCAGATGATCAATAGTTACGTAACTTACGTTTGATACATAATTTTTGATAATCTTTAACATAGATAATAATTTTCTATTAAATGAACTTTTGATGTGTTGAAAGATTTTGCTTTTTAAGCAGACCCCAAATTATATATTTATAGAAACTTAAAATATCTCTTTGATCAAAACATATGTTCGAATACTCTAGTTGCACATGCTAATTGACATTGTCTTAGAAAAATAAATCTAATATATAACATTGTGTCAAGAGGAATTAAGATGTGAAACACCTCAATGGCTCAATGGATGTTTCTTACCACCATAAAGATAACTAATGAAAAACAGACGACTAATTTAGAGTGGTAAATATAACCTTAGTCAGATAATCGGAATAGCTGGCGAATGTAAACCGAGTTTGATCAGAAATTGACGAAAGGCGAAAATGACAGAACACCAAAGTAGGGAATATGGCATTAAGAAGGGAATCAAGTCTTAGTGTTTGGGTGGTCATGGGTTTGTCCTTTCTCTCTTGTAATTCACTTCTTTTTGTCTTCTTAGGTTACTCTTACTTCTTTGGTTGTGAAACTCCGTTCATATCAAATCAAGTAATATGTCTTATTATGCAATAATGGACTTGGAAACAGTGAGTGGGTGAAAATTTTGGAACTAAAGTATTTTAGTTTTCCTATTGGAGAAAGAAAAGAGTTTAAAAAGAGAGGTATCATAGCAACTTATACTGTTGGAGGACTTTAAAGAGCGGACAAGGGAATTAAATACGTGGGGAAGAGTACTATAGTGATGAGATAATCATAATTGATAATTGAATATAGAATTTTCATTGCAGAATGGCACATGTGGTTATAAAAGATTTAAAATGAGAGAGATGAGTACCACTATTCATTTAACGCTGCAACTTATTGTGTGCCCCATTTCCTTCATTACAAAAACCATTTATGTCTTATTGTTGTGTACATCTAATGTGAAATTCAGATTTGGTGTACCTTTGAAAATTCCATCCTTACGACTCGACGAGAGTCCCCTTGTCTCTGAAAATGTTTAGTCTTTTTCGATACGTGTCTTCTTTTTGTTAGTATTGTATACCAAAGTATAAATGCACCCACCAATATCATCCATATACCAAAAACAAAATCTATTTTTCAATACTAACAAAAAGAACACAAGTGATATATATGGATGATATTGGTGGGTGCATTTATACTTTCTTACTGCACTCTTTGCTTGAAACAAGTGAGCTCATGAACTTGCATGATTAAAAATCCAAAATCAAGTGACATTAATAATGGAAAAACTTGTGTCTTTCATTATTAGTACGTCTCAGTACTTATTAGTCATGCGGGGTTTATAACAAAACTATAACTATGTAATTTATATTGTAATGATGGGATAAATCATCAAGGAGTGCATTGCAGAGATAACGAAGGAGATGAAATATTGAATTCAATTACACAGATGCAATTGAGTGTCGTACTTAGAAACTAAGATCCGATATCGCAGGGGAAGAATAAAAAAATCAAGCCCTTTTGTCATCTACAACTCAGCCATTATTGGGTTTGAAATCCATGTTATGACACAAATGTTGACATTATAGTATATGATTAGGTAACATGCCCCGTCGTTAATTAAGTTGATGAAAATTGTAGAGGTTAGAAACATAAGATCTAATATTCTTTCATTTTGTTATATTTTTCGTTATATTTGTAGTTATTTTGGTTTTTAAGCGACATTCGATCGACGGCTAAAAACAATAATCCAAAGTATCATAACTGTTTCCAAAGGGGGAAAGAAAAAACTTTGCGACAAACAACTCTTTCATCATCTCCCCCAAAATTCATATTCCCCATTCACCGTTTCAAAATTCATAGTTTCGTATCTAAATTGCAATAGTAACCGTGATAAAAATAGATTAATTAGGGTGTTTCTTTTACCCTCGATCGGCGCACAATTGATCTCACATTTCACCAGGTATCCTTTTGAATTCCATTAATGGATGGATATTAATTAGTGTTTCTTTAACCTCTCTTTGTAATTGATGCATGATGATTCTAAGTTTTTGTGATTTTTTTTCAATTAATCCCGAAACAGGTAATTTATTTGAAGTTTGATACAAGATGATGATAATGTAGTATATATATGTTATAATTGATCTGTTTGTTTTAGGTTAATTTAATGACCGTGAGAGATGGCTAAGATAATGCTTGGATCTCACACGGTGAAGAGCCATGGATGGGCGGTGGCCCGAGAACATCTTCATGACTGGCTCATCCTCGTCGCCCTCGGTCTTATCGACATTGTCCTCAACGTCATCGAACCTTTTCATCGCTACATCGGACCAGACATGCTGACCGATCTCACTTTCCCATTCTTTCACGACACCATCCCTATGTGGGCTGTCCCGGTAAACAGACTTGTCTCCCACGAAACCTAATATCATCACTGTGCCTTCAGTCACAAGAAACCATTGCCATTGTGTTGTTGGTTGATGTCTTGATGAATATCATATGTGTATGGTGTGTAGATTATCTGTGTATTGGTTCCTATATGCATCTTCACGGTCTATTATTACTTCCGGAGAGATGTTTATGATTTTCATCACGCCATTCTCGGTGAGTTAGTTTTCTACATCTTTTCATTCACGGTCTAATATTATTTTGTGTAATATTTAAATTTCAAATAGAAATCCAGACTCATATACTAATGATTAACGTGATTAATCAAAATATTTGTGTATAGGTTTGGCATTTTCGTGTCTTTTAACTGGAGTCACCACAGATTCCATCAAAGACGCGGTTGGTAGGCCACGACCTAACTTCTTTTATCGATGCTTTCCTGATGGTAAACCGGTATGTAATATGTATCTCTAACCGAGGATAATTTACCCAGTTTAAACCTAGTTTATTATCGAGAGGGAGGATTTTTTCTTATATTGCGCAAATCTGAAAGAAATGCAGAAATTTGACAAGGTTACTAAGGATGTTGTGTGCCATGGAGTTAAAAAAATAATCAAAGAAGGTTACAAGAGCTTTCCTAGTGGTCACACTTCGTGTAAGTCTTCTAAATCATTACAAAAACAGCATTTGATTGGTATGCTTAAGCCGGTTATTGACGGTATATGCAGGGTCATTCGCCGGTTTAACATTCCTGGCGTGGTACTTATCGGGGAAAATAAAAGTATTCGACAGAAGGGGACACGTGGCGAAGCTATGCCTCGTGTTGCTACCGATACTCTTCGCAGTTCTCATCGGAATATCACGTGTTGACGACTATTGGCACCATTGGACCGACGTCTTTGCCGGAGCTATCATCGGTTTATTCATTGCTTCCTTCAGTTACCTCCACTTTTTTCCTTACCCATACGATGAGAACGGTAATAAGCAAAAATGTTTCAAATTTTTACCATGGTTGTTACGCCACTACTTTGTTGATGTGAATTTTGATTACTGTTTTTAAAAATAAAATTACAGGATGGGCCCCACATGCGTATTTTAGAATGTTGGCGGAGAGGGGTGGTCGAGCCACTGTGACTGACCGTGGCTCAGCCACGACGATGACTCGGAGTAGTTCTCAAGGCATGTTAGACAACGACATCGAACATGGCTCGACCACCTTGCCGCATGATCGCCACCGGGAAAGCACTGATTCTGAATATTGAAATTTCTTGGGCGTATTAACATGAGTACTGTAATTTAAAATTAGTATATGATTATGTTTCACTTATTATAATGTGTTCCTTCAATTAAAATGTACATTATCCCCACTGTATGTATAATTGTTGTTAACCATGTTCATCAGTGATGATAACGATTTTAGTTTTGTTCAAATTGGATTAGCTAGGTTCCTCGATTTCCTCTCTTGGGTTCCGGTTTCAACTTGCACACGCATTGGATCCGTATCGATCAAGCAAAGTGGCTCTTCTTTCCAATTCTATAACCGCTTAATAGTCTTTATTTTGGCCTTCGAACACAAAGTTGGAGTGCATGAACAAAAAAATATTTTATTCAAACACAACAAGTATATATTGTATCAGTTTTAAAATGTCTATCGTACTACAATGAGCGTTATAAACAAATGTTATCAAGAGTCATAATGTTCAATGATGGTGGCAAACTGGCAACTGGCAAGTGGCAATGGTTATATTTTCAAGTTTCTACAGTTACGTCAAATTGGGAAAAACACTTGGGGAACCGAACGTGAAACGTCCGGTTGAAGTAAACCGGACACGATCGCCGAAATGTATCCACATGGGTTTGGTTTAGTTTTTCCATAAGGTCCAGATTCATCCGACTTCTTCGGGGTCCACTTTATCTGAACACATTTCTTTCTTCATCTTTCTTAAACAGTTTTTTGGTAGACTTTTCTTTTCACATTCCGCAAACAAATTACAGCAAGCTGTGATGTTGGAACTCGCAAAGGATTTAACCATGTTAAAAGGACACGAAATAATCATATTTTATCAGTTATCAAACATTCTACAGCAGATAAAATATACTACTAATATGCAGCTTTCTGAAAACACAAACATCGACATTATAGTCTGATACAGATACAATGGTTACTATTCAAGTATTCATTTTTTTTTTGACCAACTATTCAAGTATTCATCACATTGCACAATTTCAAATCTATAATTGATACGTTCTAATTCTTATGAAACATTAATAAATACACTAAGTTTTGTAGACTTTTATACCTTTTCATGGTCGACCGAACTATAATTTTCATCTATGTCGGCACTTTAAGCAAATATAATTTTCTTATTAGACGTACAAGTACAACACTTAATTTATTTACTAATTGCCGACAAAACTCAGATATTTTATAATTTAAACAGAAAAACAAATCTTAAAATTTCAGAAAACTTTAATCCAGATTCGAGTAAGCAGCTTCAGAGGTACTTTTTTGCTGTCACAACGTTAATAAAATATGAAGCTGGTACTAGTTATTTATAAATTACCTGGCGAGGATTCATTCATGTGTAATTTTTTCACTCCATTCTGCAGAGAGAATCTAACATTTTCCCTTTTTTTATACAATTAAAATTCAGTACATAATATTTTTTTTTCCCTGTCGAATAGTATTTATATTTATCTTTACGATTACATTTGTAGTTTATTTAATAAAAATGAAGATTAGGTGCTTTAGGTCGATCACCAAATGTTGATCAATATATAAATATTCGTAAACTACAACTGAAATATCCTATCCGTCATTATCGATCAAATGGAGACCCCACTTGCTCCCATATCGCCATCAATCCCCAATTCTACTTCCGCCCCCGCCGTCTCTTCAGCAATTCCGGCGATCCTATCTCAACCGGTCGATGGATCCCCACGCGCCATGCCTAATGATACCGGAGGGAATGGTGAGCCACTGCCGCCAGTCCCCGGCGCTAAGCTTCGCCTCATGTGCAGCTTTGGCGGCCACATCATGCCTCGTCCACACGACAAGGCGCTGACGTACTCCGGCGGCGAGACGCGCCTGGTGGTTGTTGATCGACGCGCGTCACTGGCCTCTCTCCGATCTCGCCTCTCCAGTATGCTCCTCAACGGCCGGTCCTTCACACTCAAGTACCAGCTCCCTAGCGAAGATCTCGATTCCCTCGTCACCATCACTACCGACGAAGATCTGGAGAACATGATTGAGGAGTACGATCGGGCGACGTCGTCAGCGACGGCGACTGCGACACAGCGGCTACGATTGTTCCTTTTCGCAAATAAACTCGAGACAGCCGCTACCATGGGATCTCTGCTCGAAGGCGCGAAATCGGATACATGGTTCGTCGATGCTCTGAATCAGTCAGGTTTTCTTCCTCGTGGTTTGTCGGATTCCGCCGCCGTGAGCAATACCTTGGTGAATCTCGACGAGGCTTGCGGCGGAGAGGCCGAGATTCAAAACGCGGAAACCAATGTTGGTGGCGAGAACAACAAGCGGGGGGATTCGGTCGCTAACGGTGTGATTTCGCATCAGGAGATGCATATGAGTTCAATGCCTGATTCGCCAATGATGGATTCATCGATAGGATCTTCCTCTTCTTCTCCTTCCACTGCCAATTTGCCACAGATCCGCGTTAGAGTCAGCGAAGAACAAAGGATCGAGGATCAGTTTGCTCAGATGAGCTACACCAACGTAAACACTCAGAGGCATTTTGAAGATGGCACTGGCTTAATGACAAATCGGCCAGCGATGATTCCGTCTGGTATGATGACGGAACCTATTGATGGTGCTGCTACCGTTGCCTTAAGCAACGGCCAAGTTTCACCGGACGATGATCGATACGATTCAGGTGTATCAACTGGCTACAGGAAGCCACCTCTACCGATGCAGCCAGTGGCGATCCCACCAAGAGGTGCCGGTGGGTATGGTTTGACATCTCCTGATTCCGTTGCAAGGTATAATCATTTTCTATTGCCATTTTTCGTTCTACCGATATACAAATCTTTCCTGAAATGAGTCTCTCTTAGTTGTATCAGATAGATAATTGATTTAGGTAATAGTTTTAGATGCTTCTTGATTTCTCCATCATTTTCTTCAGCTTGCCTTGAAGTAGTGCTTGCCTTTGCACTATATCTGTTTTCTGATCTTTACATGTGGTTTGAATCACACACGGACTATAGGTTAAGTAGCTAAAGAAACATGTCACACTTATTTGAAGTATGCTAATATCAGTGACCATGGAAACATCTTAAGCTGTCCAATTTTGTGATTTCATCTTAACATTTAGAGATTTTCCAGCAGATTCTTAGCGTTGTTCTTGAACCATAGAGTTTTCCCAGAGATGTTAAGTTTGTTATTTCAGTCTGATACTAATTTCTTCTGTTTGTGTTACATACAGTGATACTAGCATTTCTTCGGCTACTTCATTTTCAAAGCCGGTGTACTACCAAGAGCAAGCTTCAGCTCTGCCAAGAACCCCAGTGACCCAGCCTGAAACCAACTCAGTCCAAACCTCACACGTCGTACCTCAGCCTGAAACCACTTCAGCTCAAACCACACCCCACGTCCTCCCTCCTCCAGGTACATTCACAACAATGGATCACCAACAACACCAACCCCCGGTTCAACAACAACCTTTCATACACCAAGGCGTTCAGTACGTCCCTCACCCATCACAATACATCCCGGTTTACTCTCATCAGCAGCAAAACTACCCGGTTTACATGATGCCCATGCCCGTCCCGCAGTCTCAGCAATACGTCCCAGCAGGCACTCCCCCTCTCTACCCGAACTCAAAACCCGCCGCAAACCCAAACCCAAACCCGAGACCTGAAGCCGCTCAGAACGTTTACCGCGCACAAAACCCTCAGGTTCTTCAGCAACAGCCTCAGCATCAATACATAAGCTACGCTGGAGTTGCTCAACACGCCGCAAACGCAAACCCCAACTACAATGGGCCCTACGAGTACACAAACCCGCCAAACGAGACGGTGTATTACCACACGCAACGTCCTCCTGCCAACACTGCTATTCCTTTAGCCTCTCCGTACCAAAGCATGACACCAGCGGCAGCTGCAGCCGCTCTAGCCGATATGTCCAAGCAGATGGCTCTCGAAAGTGGTAGCAAACAACAACAAAATACGGCTGCGTCTCAACCGCTTTAAAACACTGATTCAAGTATAGCCAATTACCCTGCGCTCTGGTCTTTCTTTTTTTGCTTATAGCTTTGTAACGTCGCGTTACATTTCGTTAGATATACGTAGGCTGTGCTATATCGGTTTTAAAGTTTGTATCTTAGTTATTGCCAATGTCGTTTTCTCTTTTTATATTTGGAAAATAAAAATTGTTTGGATGATTTCTCTTAATTACTACTGTAAGTCTGTAATGGGTCTTAGAAAACAAAGGATAGTCTTGTTCGCTATACTGGATCATACGAAGATTGTACACTTTCTTGATCTAAAACTAACTACTAACAAGGCAAAAATACATATGGATTACAATTTACAAACGTCCAATAATACGTGAAAACCTGTTCATTAAAGATTAAACAATGATATTCAAGCTAGACCCATTATTTGAGGAGACGCAACTATTTTCAGGTATGCTTGGCAAGCTGATTTAACTGTGGATTTTTCCAGTGGAGTAAAGGGCAAAAGGGTCCAGTCACACTTTCGCTCAAGGATCACACTTTGGTCCAACGATTTACAAACTCCGCGACCTAAAACCCTAAATCTCAAATCCGCCATGAGAGGAGCTCTCTTCAGAAATGCATCTCTCTGCGCTCGCAGACTTATCATTTCTCCTCGAATAACCCATCAAAGCTGCCCCACCAATGTTCCCTTTCTCGCTCCGATCGCCGCTCCGGTTCCTCCCAGACTCAGATTCTTCTCCTCCGAATCCGACTCGTCCGGTGAGAACCCGATTGCTGCTGCTCCTGAGTCTTCGCCGGCTGAGTCATTCGATAAGAAAGATCTCGTTGTAGAGGATGTAGGCAACAAAGGTACAATTACTCTAGTCCTCTGTTCAAGCTTGTGAAGCTCGCTCGATAGAAGCAATACATTGGAGTCTAATCCTCATTTCAATCGTTTCATTTGGTGATTGCGACATTGCTGGTTATATAACTGATTCTTCGATTTTAGATTTGAAATTTCAACTGATTCTTCGATGAAACTATTGGTAACTAAATCCCGCTACCTAAAATCTGCAGAATCTATATTAGTGGAATTTTCTCATGAGCTTGTAGAATCTGTAAATAAGCTCTTGAAATGGAGGTATGTGGCTAAGTCCTAATGTATTGGTTTGTTTGTGGTTTCAGAGCTAAAAGCCCGTATAGAGAAGTATTTCAACGAGGGTAACGAAGACGCCTTGCCCGGAGTTATCGAAGCACTTCTGAAGAGAAGGCTCGCCGACAAACACGAGGAGACAGATGACGAATTGATGGAATCACTCGAGAACCAGCCTTTCCAAGATGTGAAGGATGAAGATTTTGAATCCGATATGGAGGAAGCTCATTCTACTGACGAAGAACTCGAGGATCTCTACAACGCCCCAGAGCATATAATGGAAAAGATGAGCAAGAATGAGTTTTTCAACATGGACGACAAGAAGTGGGATGGCATGATTAGAGAAGGCATCCAACATGGGATTCTCAAGGATACTAAGGAATGCGAGGAGATTCTTGAGGATATGCTCCACTGGGACAAGCTTCTTCCTGGTAAATGCTCGATTCACATCTTTAGACTTAGCTACCTTCTAAGTTCTAATCTCTAGCTATCTCTAGCTAGGAGGTATTCAATCTTCAGAGATTTGGCTGATCGATAAACCATTGTGCGTCCTCATAGCTAGATTATGGTAGGAGAACGATCCTTGTTGTACTCTTTGAAGTTAATATGATACTTTTTTGGATTCATTGCTTCTTAGAGAGGATATTGGTTTGTTCCTGTGATGTATTTATAAGAACATTAAGGAAAATCATCTTTGACTGTATTTTCATGCAGATGAGTTGAAGAAAAAGGTTGAAGCAAAGTTTAACGAGCTCGGGGATATGTGTGAAAGTGGTGAGATGGAGCCAGAAGCAGCTTATGAGCTGTTTAAGGAATTCGAAGATGAGATGGTGATTCAATATGGGGATCAAATGGAAGCTGAGGGACCTCTCAAGTTCGATGAAGCGGATGCTTCCGATAGGAATACCGATTTGGATGACCCTCCCGGTACAGGCCCGATCCTTAAGTGGCAGTCAAGGATAGTTTTTGCTCCTGGAGGCGATGCTTGGCATCCAAAGAACAGGAAAGTTAAATTGTCTGTTACAGTGAAAGAGCTCGGACTCTCAAAGCATCAAGCTCGAAGGCTACGGGAACTTGTGGGGAAAAGATACAATTCAGGGAAAGACGAACTTACAATCATCAGCGAGAGGTAATAACAATATAAAAGCCTCTTTTTTCGTGGCAAGACAAGAATGTTGAATCATGAAATGTCTTTACGTTGTTTGTGCTACAGGTTTGAACACCGAGAGGAAAACAGGAAAGACTGCTTAAGAACGCTTTATGGGTTGATAGAGGAAGCTTTTAAAGCGAACAAGATCGCTGAGGACATAAGAACTGCATATGTAAAGCAAAGACTCCAAGCCAATCCAGCTTTTATGCAGAAACTACAAGCCAAGATCATGAGGTCTAAAGAATCATATCCCATCAACGCTTGAAGAAAAAAACACATTTTTTTCCTGGTTCGTGGATTTGTTATCTTTTCACCAAAGAATTGATTTGATCCTCTTTTGGATTATCCCGGTTCGGGTTTTGGATGAATAAAGAATTGATGGTAACTCCATATTTTGTTTTGGTTTGCTTCTTCTTGTCCCTAACTTGGTCGTTTTGTTGGATTATTAAGGGCCATGAGATAGTAGTCAACGTTTCTTTATGGATTATGAATCGAATTAAATTAACTTCAGATCGAAATTAATCGAACTGAATCTCGCCCTTTTACAATCTAACCCATACTTGTATTTTATTAGAAACCAATGAAAGAGCTGTATAACAATAATAATACGAAAAGTTAACCACCAAATAAAGATTAACCATAATACAAAAGTAGTCGATATTCAGTCTTAGACGAAGGAAATCTTAACCTCCACAGCCACCGCCGCAAGCAGCTCCGGTACAAGCCCCGGGGGTTTTTCCTCCGGTGTACGGTTCTCTGTCGTCAGAGGCTCCGTCAGCGCAAGAAAGTAACAGAGCCGAGAGGACACAACAGCCTAACAGAACTAAGAACACAACATGAAACATGTAACTAACATCGAACTGTCTTGTTGTCGCCATGCTCATTACATCTTCTAAGTGTCTCACCATCTTCTCAGTAGTCTCTTTCTTGCTTCCTCTCTAAGATATTTTAATGCTAAGTTGTTTCACGTGAAAGGCTTTCCTACTTATAGTTGATAAATTCGTATGTACGTAGTAAGGCCATTGACTTTTGATAAACTATTCGTTTGACTATAAGGTTTCTAAGATTATATCTTGTTTAAATAATAAAAAAAGACTTGCAGCACAAAAGATATTTTAGAACGCCATCCATCTTAATATTACTATCTTTTTGGTTTTTTTTTTGAGAAAAGGGTGTGAATATTACTATCTTCCATATATCTTTTTTTTTTTTTTTTGGGTTCAAAATCCTCCATATATCTAGCTCAACATAATTTAGATCAACATTAGATAGAGATATTTATAAGTCAACGTACATGACAACATTCATGTTTTAGAGATATTTATTGTCAATATTTGATCAGTTAATTCACTGTTCTTGTTTTTCTTTTCTTAGGAAATTGAGTTGAAGATACGGATTTTGAGCATACAAAATTGTTTGCACCAAAACAAATAAAAACCATACAAAATTAGGGTGAGAATAGTCAAATACCATGATAAAAATTATGAATCAGCTTCATTTGCTTTGTAGTTTCGTAAGATGTTTGTTTTTGAAGGTTGAAAATTTGACTTGTCGTTTATTACAATTGCTAAATCGAAAATCTGTCGCAATAATTTGTAGTGATTAATTGTTTACAAAAGAAGAGAGAAGAAAAACAAAAATAGACAAATGACGGGTTACGCATGAAAAGCTACAACTCTCTCTTTTCTATTTCACATGGACTCCATTTTTTGTTGTTTGTACAAATTTGACTATACAAAATAAAAGTTCATATCAAAGAATTTTCGACGTATGCCTAATATTCTTCCCCTTTTTCATTTGGCATATTCTTCTTCTACCACTAGTCCATTATAAACAATATTTAACTCATATGCAATCTATCAATTTCGAAATTCCTTTTTCTTGGGATCACACAGCGTTAATGGGTCCAAAGATCGACGCATTCCCTAAAGCAAGTGTATACAGTATACACAGGTCTATAGGTTCTGAAACGTAATGTGTCTACTGAATGATGAAAGCATGATACAACTTTAGCAATGTTGATTCATGAGTGTTTGTAACTACGTACCATCACAATTTAAAGAAGGGTATAGTGTAATATCCGTGTTCTCCGGTCGAAAGCATGGGTCAGTTTGTTTCAAGAAAAAATCTAAAATGGTAAAAGTTACCGTGGAAATATGAGTAAGCCTCATGATCAGAACTGGTCATGGGATGCGAACATTCGCGTTACGGATTAAACTTGTTCGGATTGAATAACTCAGTGACTCCTAGCGAAAAGAAAGATTATAAGTTTTGTGTTGGAGAGCAGGAGAGGTCGATGTCAAGCGAAACACAGAGAGAGAGGTAATAGATATTGATTTTAAGTTACGATTTGAGATTTTCTAGTTACAAGTTGGAAATTTTCAGATTTAAACAAAAACTTGCATTTGTTAACATTGTTAACATGAATTAACGTCATAAACTCATAATAACATACTATATTTTGGAAGTAAATTGTAAAACATCTGGTATCTTTTGACAAAAAAAAACGAAAAATTTGGTATTTTTGGTATTCTTATCCTTATATATCATAAACAAAAACTTATATTGATATTTATCAAACCAAATATATGCATTTTCAATTTAGGTACAAGTATATTTTAGATAAATAAAAATTATTTTTAAAACTAGATATTTAGTTTGGTTTTGGAACTCGGATGACAGAGATTTTAGGAATGTAATGGTGATATATTATTGCAGCCACATATTGATATACCCACTTTTTCACGTTATTTGGTCGATTTATACTTAACGCTAGTAGTCTAGCTGCAGCGGAATCGGATCAAATATGAACACTGAAATCATAATCTCTCCATATACAGATTAATAGTGATAATTAACAAACGGGTCTATACATATATAACAAATGAAGAATTAAATAAGTTTCTTGCTTTTGACAGTTCCCCTTGGGATTTTGCTAAGAACATTCGTGTCGGCTTTCCTGTAGAGCTTCCTCATCTTCCTCATTAACCTACTCGCCACTCTATCCACGTCATCCTCGTACAATTCATACATAACCGGCAAGGTTTGCATGCTTACAAACCCTAAACGACACGACGCACGTCCATTAATTTATCCTTTGAAAGTTGATTAATAATTAAGTTTACATATTTAAAGAGCTATAATTCTTACCTATGAACAGAAGATTTACAAAGTTGAAATATGTCCCGATGATGGAAAGGATATAAAGTGAGATCGTTGTCTGAAAAAAAATGTGACCAGTTTCAAGAAAATAATAGATTTTAGAGTTGATAAATAATCAAAAACCATATATGTAATATGTTAAAATGATTAATTTAATATCTTACGAGGAAAAAGAGTGAAGGATCTCTTCCACAAGCAATGTCAAGGAGCTTTGATAGGATTTGATTAAATCTAACATGGAAGCTTCTTGCTAAATGCTTGAAAGAAGATTCGTCTAGTACCACTTCTGGTATTATTGGCCTTTCCCTGCATGTATTATGTCGATTTATAATTTCTCATGATAATTCGTATATTTATGGTCGAGTCTAGAAATCGAGACGATTAATAAGAATAAAATTACATACCAATTGAGAAAATCAGAAGCAGTAGACCAAATGAAGAAAAGGAGCATAGAGGTCATGGACGCATGACAAACTAGGGTTATGAAATTGTATTCCACTACTTCCATTAAGAACCATAGAAGACTAACTCCTGTCACCAATGTTGCAGCTATTTTCGGCTCTCTCCATAACAAGATATCTGCAACTGTAACCACAAATAAAATTTAGAACTTCGAGTAGTGTTTTCTAAATATATTGCTTTAAGAATACTCTTGTTCCTTATTTCAAATGCTTGATAACTGACTCTGACTATACATAATCCCTTTTATAATATATAGTTTTTTTTGTGGCTTTCAAAAATATAACCAAATTTATATAATATAATATATTTGAGGTTAATTTCACATACATATGTGCATAAGGATTGAACCGCTCTATATAAAGTACTATTAAAAGAAGAGAAATAAATACATTTGCCTCCTCCAAATATAGAGTGAATTGATCGTTGGCGAGTGAAGAGCTTGGTTGTTTGATGGATCGTTCTTTCGTCATCGGAATCCGAAGATCCCCCAAAGAATGGCATGATTGGATCAAACTTATCAAGATGAAAATGAATGCGTAATGTGGTGATTATGTAAATTTGTAGTTATGGATTTTGTAGAAATTGAGAAATGCAGGAAATATAAGAAGAGGAGTAGAGAGAGACCAAGAGAGGTTCTAGGCTTGGGAACAAAGGTAACAAACTCATCTTCAAGAAGCAAAGAATGGGAATGGTTTTGCCTTTTTCCTTTCTCCCATTAATTTCTTCATCGCCATGTCTAAATAAAATATTCAACCCCATTATAATATATAGTTTCAACATTACATCTATTAAAAGCTAATTAACCGAATTCATTTGAAAAGAAAAAAAATCTTGAAACATTCCACTAGTAAAGTTAATGTAACATAAACATTACATTGGAGATAACTGAAGATCCCCCAAATCATCTTAGCTTCAAAGCTTATTCCAATTAGATTGTAAATGGTTCTAAAAATCCATATGACAAAATAGGATGTCATATTTCACTTTTACGACTCTGTTCGAAAAGTCGGCGATTTCTCCGATTAATCAGTTAAAAAATCGGATTCGGGGTAAAAACGTGGCGACTTTCTAAAATCCGACTAATGAGAAATATCGTTTGAAAATTTTAAAATGAGATGGGTCAAATCTTTGGTTTCCGAATTTTTTTTGGCTCAATTCCAAATTATTTCAAAAATAGGGGCCAACTAAGGAATGTAATTTTGTTTTAGCTAAACCAAGACTATAATTGATAACAATTACATGAGAAAAAATAGATTTTGGAGATTTATAAACCCAAACAGTAAATTTTTATACTAATTATAAGAGTTTTGTCCTCCAAAACTTGAAAAATGTTTAACTAATTTTGAAATATATAATTTTCATATTTATGTTTTATCTTTTATATAAAAATGTTTTAATAAATTAAAAAATGTAATAAAAATTCCTACCCGATTAGTCTCCGTTTTATTTCCGATTTTTGAAAAATCGAAAATTTTGAAGCCACCGCCCGACTAACGCCTAACGACTTTTTGAACATACCACACACCAAAAATAAAGATATAACATTTCACATTTGAAAGACATAAAGAGTGTTGACAGAATTAAGACATTAGAAAAGACTAAAGAGTACCAAAAACACTTGCTAAATTTGATTTTGTTGAGCAAAGGAAATTATTTTTTGATAATTAAATAATAGAAATACAAGTGAGATCTTTATATGACGAGCGAGACTGTTAAATCGTAAAAGCAAAATCAAATGTTTTCGATCGTATCGTCAATTTCTCCACTCGTCAATTTCCAAAACTCGCCGAAATCGCCGATTCATGTTGTATCGGCGGCGTCTGGATTCAAAACACTGACGGAGAATTTGACGGTGAGGGTCCAGAGAGCAGATAACCGCGAACTTAACGTGCCTCTGCTCTCCCCATTCACTATCGCCTCGTCACGGCTCGATTCAGTCGGTAATGTCGCGATTCGAATTGAGCTTAGCGGCGGATCTGTCGGCTGGGGAGAGGCTCCGATTTTGCCGTCGGTGACGGCGGAAAACCAGCAAACGGCAATGGTAAAAGCGCGGGAAGCTTGCGAGTTTCTGAGGGAGTTACCGGAAATGAAACTCGGTGATTTTCTTCAGGAGATCGGCGAATTTCTCCCCGGCCATCAATTTGCCTCTGTAAGTCTGCCATTTCTACCTTCTATGGCTTCTTGTTGATAATATTATCTCTTTTCTTATCTAGAACTTGCTTTTCTCATAGAGAAATCTGCGATCTTGGCTTACTAAAAACTTGATTTTGTAGCTTGAGTTGAGATTCCATTCTGGGAAATGTCCAATTTTGGATTGGCTGTGATTGTCACTAGAATTAGTTAGTGTATCTCTATGTTTGAGATTGTAGCATTTAATCCTTCTTCTCTATGTTCTTTGTAAATCTCGTTGGGAAAGAAATCTAGAAATCTTCTGTTTATCTCTTAATAAAGAAAATTATAAAAAAATGTGTTTTTTTTTTCGATGGATGAAGGTAAGAGCGGGGATGGAGATGGCGATGATCGATGCAGCAGCTAAGAGCGTAGGGATGCCATTGTGGAAACTATTTGGTGGCGCTTCAAATACAATCACCACTGACATTACAGTTGGGTTCTTACCTTAGCTCTTCCGGGTACAATTCCGCAAAGTTTCCAGCAGTTTGGAATTACTACGACTGTTTGTTAGATTATATGTGTTCAAATGTGAATTACTAGTGTTTGATGATGGAACTTTGAATTGTTTGTATGTAAAATGGCGTGAAAACACCTGAAAACTAATATCAAAAAATTATTCAAGCATGACGGTTTTGTGTGGTTTAAAAGATGTTTGTGATGTGGTGTATGTTCAGATTCCGATAGTTTCTCCAGCAGAAGCTTCGAGCTTGGCGTTAAAGTACAGGGAAGAAGGGTTTGAAACCTTGAAGCTCAAGGTGGGGAAGAACCTTAAGGCCGACATACAAGTTCTCCAGGCTATACGTGAAGTCCACCCTACTTGTTCCTTCATTTTGGATGCGAATGAGGGTTATCAAACAGAGGAAGCTGTTCAAGTTCTCCAAAAACTTCATGGTAAATCAGATATTTGAATCATTTGATCAGTCTTGAACTCGAGAGGTTTTAAAAACCTAAAGTGTGTTGTGATTTGCTTTTGGTCCAGAAATGAAGGTGACACCGATTCTCTTTGAACAACCCGTCCACAGAAACAACTGGGAAGGTCTCAGTCACGTGACTCGAATTGCAAAGGACAGATTCGGAGTCTCTGTTGCAGCAGACGAGAGTTGTAGAGACCTGACTGATCTCAAGAGAATCATAAAAGGTGATATCGTTGATGTTGTGAACATCAAACTCGCCAAGACAGGTATCCTCGAGGCTCTTGAGGTGATTGAATTGGCTAGATCATCTGGAATTGAGCTTATGATAGGAGGAATGGTTGAGACTAGGCTAGCAATGGGGTTCTCTGGTCACCTTGCTGCTGGTTTTGGATGTTTCAGGTACTTAATATGTAAAACTTCACATCTCTTTGCTGATTTGACCATTATAAGTTTTTAACATGTTAAGACGTGATATTTACAGATTCATCGATTTGGATACTCCACTTCTTCTGGCTGGTGATCCCGTTCAAGGTGGCTACAAAGGTAATGAATACTCTCTTTTTTTCTCTGGGGAACCTTATAGTATTTTCTTATTTACAAAATTTGCACTTAAGTTTACTTTTTTTCACTCGAAAGCAAAAATAGTGTATTTCATTTATTTAAAAAAAAATATTTTCCTGCCTGCCGGATTCGAACCAGCGACCTAAGGATTCTCTGTCAGGAAACCTATTACAGTCCTCCGCTCTACCAACTGAGCTAAGGCAGGTTTTGAAATTTACCGTCCGTAAAATTATTAAGTAGCTTTATAAAACCTATTTGGAACTATATTTATGTATGATTGTAAGTTGAGATTATATTTCGTCTTGTGAAACACCAACCATGAGTTGAGATTTTCAAAGTCTAATGCTGGTGGTGGTTTTGTTGGCAGCGTCCGGTGCTGTCTATGAGTATACAGATGAAGGTGGTCACGGAGGATATCTTCAGTGGAATTGACTTACTTTGTGAGTTTCATTCAGTCTGCTTAGGTCCTTTTTATTAGTAGTTCATAGTAAGCCAATGTCAAGTTTGATGTTGGTTTGGGGTTTGAACTGGCATTAGACACTTTGTCATGAATTTCCAGTTTGTGTTTAGATGAGGTAATCTAATCTACAAGCTTTGTACATTTTGCTCTAAGGAGTACCAAATAAATGTAGAAGATTCCATCACAGGGATTTTTTTTTTTCTTTTTTTGGTAAAATAATAATAATTGATTCTTCTTTCGATCTCTCTTGTTCATTAGTTTCGTTTTGATGACAAATTTACTCACCTGATAAATCAGCAGTGGGCAATGTTATGAAATGAACCCTGACTTTGAAATTTCTTCATATTGAAGACTTTGTTTTGGTCAACAGATCATTACAGTCTCTCTTACGTCAATGATTTTTGTCGGAGAAAAAAAGTAGATTGCAACTGGAAATGAAAGAGAGATAGTTCAATAGAGAAAATGTCAAAATGAATTTGCTTAAATCATGTGAATGAAAAGAGTGTAAATTACTAAAATGTTAGGTGTGGCGGTGAGTGTACTGACTGGTGAGGCGTGAAAAATCCCAATAGATGTATATATTCTGGTAACGGTCCAATCTGTATTTGCCTAACTTATACCTACTACACACGTTGCTTATAGGAAACTGGGAATCAGCAGATTTGAAGTTCGAACAACCGGAGTGAGTTTAAGTGGGTGAGCCATGGTTAGGTTCATTCCTCCGATAGCCTCATCCATATTGACCTCCCTTCCTTTGATTCCCCAGTCAAAGCCCTGCACCATCGTTCCAACTGCAGTTTCAACAAAGATGGAAGCTAGATTTGCTCCAGGACAGCCTCTCCTTCCACTTCCAAAAGGAATATACTTGAGTGATTGCTCTCTACTCTCCTCTGCTTGCTCCGATCTTGAAGAAGCTAGAAACCTCTCCGGCTTAAACTCATCAGGGTCTTCCCAGTAATCAGGATCTCTCATCACAGCATAAGCATTGATAACAAGTGTTGTCTTCTCCTGTACGCAGAGCCCTTCGATCTCACATCTTTCTTGAAACGTCCTTACCGAGAGAGGCGATGGCGGGTGCAATCGCAGCCCTTCCTTAACCACAGCTTTCAAGTAAGGAAGGTTCGGTAGATCGGTTTCTTGCACCAACCTTGTTTCCCCAACTACCGAATCGATTTCTTCTCTCAGTCTCACAAGAGCCTTAGGGTTCTTAACGATCTCTGCCATTGTCCACTGTATTGCTTGCGCTGAGGTTTCAGTGCCTGCAAGGAACAGCTCCTGAAGTTTACACAAAACCTCTCTTAGTTAGTCATTTGCAATTCTTATCCACGCCTAAGGAGAACAACATTTTACCACAAAAAGCGACTTGATATGACTCCTAGTGATCCTCTTTGTCTCTCGACAAGCTTTCATAGATACACGCATGATCTCCGTGCCATGGTGCTCGTCAGGATTCTCTTCGTGTTCCTGAAGAATCCTATCCAGCAGCTCGTCGAATCTGTGAGAAGCACTCATTGTATTCTTCCTGAACAGAGAAACCCCAAGCTTCTTTGCCAGAACAAACTTCTTCGTCAAGGAAACAAACTCCGCCACCAACCCCCTGACTCTCTCCGTCTCACCATTCTCCTCTGGAAAGCTCTTCCCCATGATCATCCTGTAAATGCTGCTGTGACTGAGCTTCATCGCTTCCTCAAAGATCTCAACGCTCTCGTTTTTCACCGCCTTATTCACCAGGTCTGTGTAAAACCGCTCTAGCTCGTCTGCGCGAACACCTCGTGACCTTTCGAGTGCCTGCGTTCCGAGCATGTTCGTGACGATGAGTCTCTTCGTGAATTTCCAGTGATCTCCATAAGGAGCGTTGATGAAGCTGGAAGATCCAAAGATAAGGCATTCCTCGATCGGAGGGAGGCCACGAGACGAGACGATCCTGTCGTGCGTCCGGTGGATCTCATAGACCGCTGAGGCTGAGGAGGCGACGAGTAACGGGAAGTTAAAGATGCGGAGATGAAGAAGAGGTCCGTACTTGGAGGAAAGTCTGTGTAAAGACTTGTGGATTAGAACAGAGAGGAGAAGGTGAAGATGGCCGATTATGGGCAGAGACCAAGGGCTCGGAGGCAGATCACAGCCAACCTTTGGTTTCCTGAGGAAGAGAGAGTAACAAAAGAGTGAGAAGAAGCAGAGGAGGATGAAGAAGAAGAAGCAGTTTTGAAAGTCAACGTTCATCATTGCTGCTACCATTGTGAAAAAAAAGCAGATGAAAGAGAGACCTTTTTATATATCAGAGATTCCATGATTCAATAATACAGCATAACGACACTCATGTGAAATGATTTAGTAAAGCGTGTTCATGCCCCAAGCACAAGGTTACAAGTGAGAACTGAGATACTATAATCAATATGTATTTACTTTTGTCAGAATCTTTTACTATAGATAATCGCAAGTGGAATATCTTACACGCTAACGCAAAAGTATTAAAAAGAGAAGAAAAAACAATCGTGGTCTATATCAATATATTGATGTAAATTTCGTAGTCTCTGACATAAGCAACACTTGGCTAGCAAGACGAGGGACTGATTCTGTTGGCACTTGAACCAAGAATCTGAAACTGAAACTGAACTCACCTGAAAAAAGGAGTAATATGGCATGTGAAAATCATCATCTGGCATCAAAACAGTGATGTTGGGAAACAAAATGAAGATAGCAAGGAGAAAACATTATTGGCTCAAGCAAGTTTGACATGTAAACACAAGCATGCCCCAACTACTAACAGAAGAGAAGACAATAGTGAGCCTGCAAGTTCAGTTACATGTTGCTGCGATCACTAATTAATAAATTTGAAGATTCGAAAATTTCGTAAGGACAATTAGAGAAACAAGATCAGAGTACACTAGTTATTTAGTTAAGGTGAAGAGAGAGAGACTAGTTTAAAAACAGCCACATATAACAACTAGGAACAAGTAACATATCGTTAACAATTCAGAAACAGTCATCGCAAATCTATTAAAAAGACGAACTTTATTCTTCATGTAGAGCTTTGATCAGATCGTCGAGGCTGCGCTGGAACAAGCTGTCAATGAGAGAAATTGAAGAAAATGAAAACGGATCAGGACACTGCTAGACAAGACGTGATCGAAATAGTCTTGGAGAGCGAAATCGATGATCGGATTCGAGGGTTTTTCATGACTGATGATCGCAATTTTCACAATCATTCCTGAGAGTTGGACGGAAAAGGGAAAACAGAGGAGGACGAAGGAGAAATATTATCTGGGCTTCTGGGAATAGTAGCCGTTTTGTTTCGTGGGAAATAAGTGGGCCTGAAGAATAATAACAAGCATAATTAATGATATCATTTGGTGCCTATTAAATCATACATTAATCTACAGCGTAAAAGCAAAATCAAATGTTTTCGATCGCATCGTCAATTTCCCCACTCATCAATTGCCAAAACTCGCCGAAATCGCTGACACCCGTTGTGTCGGCGGCGTCTGGATTCAAAACCCTGACGGAGAATTTGACGGTTAGAGTCCAGAGAGCAGAGAACCGCGAACTGAACGTGCCTCTGCTCTCCCCCTTCACTATCGCCTCGTCACGCCTTGATTCAGTCCGTAATGTCGCGATTCGAATTGAGCTTAGCGGCGGATCTGTCGGCTGGGGAGAAACTCCGATTTTGCCGTCGGTAACGGCGGAAAACCAGCAAACGGCAATGGTAAAAGCGCGGGAAGCTTGTGAGTTTCTGAGGGAGTTACCGGAAATGAAACTCGGTGATGTCCTTCAGGAGATCGGCGAATTTCTCCCTGGCCATCGATTTGCCTCTGTAAGTCTGACATTTCTACCTTCTATGGTTTCTCGTTGATAATAGTTTCTCCGTCCTTAGCTAGAATTTGCTTTTCTCATAGAAATCTGCGATCTTGATTTTAGCTTGAATTGATGTTCCATTCTGGAAAAATGTTCAGTTTTTCATTGGCTGTGATTGTCTATAGAGTTAGTTAGTGTCTCTGTTTGAGATTGTAGCAAAATGTTCTTTGTAAATCTCTTTGGGAAAGAAATCTTGTTTTTTCAATAAAGTAAGTAAATAAATGTGTTTTTTCAATGGATGAAGGTAAGAGCGGGGATGGAGATGGCGATGGTCGATGCAGCAGCTAGAGCGTAGGAATGCCATTGTGGAAACTATTTGGTGGCGCTTCAAATACAATCACCACCGACATTACAGTTCGGTTCTTACCCTAGCTCTTCCGGGTTCAATTCCGCAAAGTTTCCAGTAATTTGGAATTACTATGACTGTTTTGTTAGATTATATGTGTTCAAATGTGAATTACTAGTGTTTGATGATGGAACTTTGAATTGTTTGTATGTATAATGGCGTGAAAACACTTGAAAGCTAATATAAAAAAAATTATTCAAGCATGACGGTTTTGTGTGGTTTAAAAGATGTTTGTGATGTGGTGTATGTTCAGAGAAGAAGGGTTTGAAACTTTGAAGCTCAAGGTAGGGAAGAACCTTAAGGCCGACATAGAAGTTCTCCAGGCTATACGTGAAGTCCACCCTACTTGTTCCTTCGTTTTGGATGCAAATGAGGGTTACCAAACAGAGGAAGCTGTTCAAGTTCTCCAAAAACTTCATGGTAAATCAGATACTTAAATCATTTGATCAGTCTTGAACGCGAGAGGTTTTTAAAAACCTGAAGTGCGTTGTAATTTGCTTTTGCGCTAGAAATGAAGGTTACACCAATTCTCTTTGAACAACTGGGAAGGTCTCAGTCACGTGACTCGAATTGCAAAGGACAGATTCGGAGTCTCTGTTGCAGCAGACGAGAGTTGTAGGGACTTGAGTGATCTCAAGAGAATCATAAACGGTGATATCGTTGATGTTGTGAACATCAAACTCGCCAAGACCGGTATCCTCGAGGCCCTAGAGGTGATTGAATTGGCTAGATCATTTGGAATTGAGCTTATGATAGGAGGAATGGTGGAGACTAGGCTAGCAATGGGCTTCTCTGGTCACCTTGCTGCTGGTCTCGGGTGTTTCAGGTACTTAATGTGTAAAACTTCACATTGCTTTGCTGATTTGACCATTATAACAAGTTTCTAACAAGTTAAGACGTGATATATACATGTTCATTGATTTGGATACTCCACTTCTTCTGGCTAGTGATCCCGTTCAAGGTGGCTACAAAGGTAATATACACTCTCTGTTTTCTCTGGGGACCTTATAGTATTTTCTTATTTACAAAATTTGCACTTAAGTTTACTTTATTTCTATTGACCCATTATCACTCGAAAGCAAAAATAGTGTGCATCATTTATTTAAAAAAAAAAATTTCCTGCCTGCCGGATTCGAACCAGCGACCTAAGGATTTTCTGTCAGGAAATCTATTACAGTCCTCCGCTCTACCAACTGAGCTAAGGCAGGATTTGAAATTTACCGTCCGTAAAATTATTAAGTAGCTTTATAAAACCTAGTTGGAACTATATTTATGTATGTATGATTGTTTAAGGAAAAGTAATTAAGTAGATCTAATTAATTCATCTTGTGGAACACCTGGTTAGTTGAGATTCAAAGTCTAATGCTGGTGGTGGTTTTGTTGGCAGCGTCCGGTGCTGTCTATGAGTATACAGATGAAGGTGGTCACGGCCGATATCTTCAGTGGAATTGACTTGCTTTGTGAGTTTCATTCAGTCTGCTTAGGTCCTTTTTCTTCGAAGTTCATATAGTATAAGCCAATGTCAAGTTTGATGTTGGTTTGGGGTTGTAGTGGCATTAGACACTTTGTCATGAATTTTCAGTTTGTGTTTAGATGAGTGAATCTAATCTACAAGCTTTGTAACTTTTGGTCTAAGGAGTACCAAATAAATGTAGAAGGTTCCATCAGATTGATCCGATTGATTTGTGTTTCCAACACACACGCACTCACACTCACAACAGGTGTAGGTGTTGTCAAGTTCACAGTGTGAATAGCCTATAGATCATAATAATAAGTGATTCTTGTTTCGTCATTAGTTTCGTTTTGATGACAAATTTACTCAGCTGAAAAATCAGCAGTGGGCAATGTTATGAAATGACCCTGACTTAGAAAATTCTTCATATTGATGAATGTTACCTTTAGGTTCAGAGTTTATTTTTCTTGCCAACCATTTGAAGAGTTTCTTGAAGACTTTGTTTTGGTCAACAGATCATTGCAGTCTCTCTTACGTCAGTAGCTATTGTCGGGGGAAAAAGTAGATTGCAATTGGAAATGAAAGAGATATAGTTCAATAGAGAAAATGTCGAAATGAATTTCCTTGTCTTGTGAAGGAAAAGAGTGTAAATTGGTACGTGTGGTGGTGACTGCACTGGCTGGTGAGGCGTGAAAATCTCAATAGATGTATATATTCTGGTAATGGTCCGATCTGTATTTGCCTAACTTCTAATTATTATAACTAAAATGTCAATAACAACAGTTCAATCGACCAATACATGCCAAACAACCACTGTATGTTTTTCTTACCTTTGGTATGGAACATTCATTCGACAAGTTAAACGATTAACAATCACTGTATTTTTTGGATCTTCTAAATGTCATCAGCAGAATATTATTATCAACGGCACCTTATACTTTGCTTACATGTAAATTACATGATATATAAAATTACAAAGCAATTGATACCACCGAGCAATAATAACAACGCAATTTGTGACACTACTCACTAGGCGTGATAATCTTAAAAGTTAATATCACGATCGATGCTTTGGACCCACTACTCTTTTGATACTACTATTTTTTAGCCATTGTTTCCTCTGTTATAAATTATACACTTTCGTTTATATAAGTAAAATGAATTCCATCTCCATTTTCTAGTTTTTGACTTAAAAAAATGCTAAGGATAAAAAATAGTGTCACACCTCAAAATTAGAAGACACATGTCTGTATGAGGTACAACACCAACAACCAATGTATGACTTATCTTGTGACTGAACTATACACCAAACATTCCAATTTCTCCTTTCCCTTATAGTGTTTCCACGAATGATTTTGGATTTTGATATATGATCAACTCTCTCTATTTAAGTGTTTATTACTTTTTTGAGGGTATATACTAAGTTTGATTTTCCTTGTGAATTTTAAATACAGCATAAGTTAGTCACAAGATAAAAAAAACTAAGAAAAAAATAAGCAAAAACTAAGAAAAAAATAAGCAAAATATGTATATAAGTACAAATAAGCAAACAATTAGTTTCAATTGAAAAAAAAAATTATCTTTTACTATTAAAACCTGCTAAACAATATTGACTTTGAATATTTTATTAACGATTTTATGAAAGCAAATAAGGAAATTATGTTTTAAAAATGTGACAATCATATTTTTTATTATAGGTTTTTTTATTTTCTTATGAAAGCCCGTTCGCAGGGCTATCTGTGTGGAGGTGAAAATCCATTCACTCATGAACATGGACTCAAATGGTTACTTGATGATATAGCCGTGACAATAAAACCTCAGTACACAATTTTGAGAAGACATAGCTTGTATTTCTCGCTTCTATCCTACTATCAGTACAAAAAAAAAGTTTTACATCGGTTATACTTATATATTTACATTAGTTATAAGTTATAACTGATGTAAAAGAATTTTACATCAATTTTAAAAGTGATTTTAAAAATGGTGAGATGTAAATTTTTTACATCGGTTTAAAGAATAAGCAATGCTTATATATATTATTTGTAAAAAACTAATATCAAATTTTCAATCAATTAGTTTAACTGATGATAATATTTGTTAAAAATATTCTAAATGATGTCAAATACTTTTATCACTTTAAATAATTAAAGTGTTTGAAGAAGACTCTCCAATAAAAAAACAATAAGTTAAATAAAAACTAAGAAATAAATAAGCAAAAACTAAGAAATAAATAAGCAAAAAAATTAATAAGTACAAATAAGCAAACAATTAGTTTCAATTGGAAAAAAAAATTATTTTTACAATTAAAACCTGCTAAACAATATTGATTTTGAATATTTTATTAACGATTTTATGAAAACAAATAAGAAAATTACGTTTTAAAAAGTTTAACAAATTTTTCATTATCTTATATATAATTAGGGAGTTGCTCTCTTCATATATAGTGTCCACATCAGCACAAAAACAATAAATTATTTTACAATATTTATTAAATATTTGTCTTTTGATATTTCTTTACATATATTCCTATTTTAAAAATAAACAAAACTAAGAAAAGTACACAAATACATTTATTAATTAACATAAAGTATGCGATAACTTGGTGTTAAAATTTAAAGAAAAATTTATAATATAAAATGGAGATGAAATAAAGAAATATGCAACATAAAATAGTAGGAAAATTAAAATTAAGTATGTGATAACTTGGTGTTAAAATTTAAAGAAACATTTTTCATATAAAATGGAAATGAAATAAAGAAATATGCAACATAAAATAGTATTTTTCCTATTTAAAAAGTTTATTATGTGTTTACAAGTTCAAAAATGTTGAATATAAATTTTTGATTAATATAGTAGAAAGCTCATGAAAAAAATTAGAGTTAGAATTTTTTATAGATTTCTCCTATTTTTAAAATGTTAGAATGTGTTTAAAAATTAAAAAATAATATATAATTTAGTTCATATCGGTATGAAGTTAATGAGAAATTATATTTAGAGTTCTTTTTAAAAACCCAAATAAAACATGAAAATTTTAAGGATTGTGACATGTTTGTTTCAAAAATACAATCTATATTTACAAAACTAACATTATAGAAATAATCAATAGGTCATTATGCTCAAATGCTACCACAACAAAATATATATGTAAACAGTAATACATCAAATGCAAATGTATTCTACGAAAAGCTCGAGATGAAGTGTAGAGTTAACATCTTAATAAAATAAAACAAAACAAATTGATCATATGCTTAGAGTTAACTCAAAATATAATCAAAATATGGAGATTAACAAAAAACTATTATTATTCAAATATACAAAGATAAATAAAACCATACAAAAGATCGGTTTTTGCATTAGATTTCTTCACTGTCGTCATATGTATATGCGATTCTACACCATGTTTACAAATTCTAAAGTTGAGTTGAATGCATGTTTAAATTCTAATGAACGTGAACAAACATAATATTTAAAGCGTACTAAGTTTTAGAAATACAAAGCTGTAGATTTTAAAATCTTAATAAAATAAAAAAATAAACATTTTAATAAAAAAAATTGAGCATATTTTTAGAGTGAGTGGTTAGGTTAACTAAAAACATGTAATTTAGCACAAAACTATCATAATTCAAATCAACAAATATAACAACGAAACAGAGAAAATGCTGCAGACAACCCCGCGCTTGCTTCAATCCCTAGTATTGATAACGAGAGATCCGATTGTTTATTTGCGTTTGTAGCTTATGTTCATCATAAGGAAGCGCAAAAACCACATGTAATCGCATAAAAGTCATGTGAGCTAAAGTCTTTTGTTATATTTTATGGTGACTTGGGCATTAGATTGGACATGCTTTTGCTATTTATTCATTGATACAATAATTTTCCATCTGATGTTCTCTTGATCGCTTAGCTATTCATCTTCTAGTTGTGTAGTTGTGTAGCTGTGTAGACCTTATGAATGGTTTTGAATTTCAATCGACAACATCTAGTTACCAATGCAACAACTAAGCTTTCCATTAAAATGCTGCACTAAGGAGAATAGGATATGTTCATTAATTTACTACAATTGTGCCAAAAGGAAAAGAAACTGCAAAAGACGAATGTTCAATGAGTGATTGTGGCAATGATTATTCACACGTATCTCGAAACGCACGCTTCATCTCAAAATCATCATTTTGTATATATATACAAATATAAACTGATTATTTTGTTGTTAACATATTGAAATGAAATACATTAACAAATGCATTTCTCCATCATAGTATATGATTATCACAGTGTGTGTGAAAGACTAAAAGTAATAGAAGTAATAATGACGTTAAAGAAGACGGCAACAAATATTGGGACGACACAAGTACCATCACCGAAAGTCCTCTTCGCCTCTTTTGCCTCCAAGTTTCCACACTTGGACCCCACTTTTGATTTTTCTTTCCACATGATAAGTTACGATGCTTATGGCTCGAGATTAAATCTGATTTCCTTGCAGGATGTCTCCTGGTGGCCATTGGTCAGTCCTTCTGTTACGACATGACAATTTCCACTCTCTCTCTCTTTTTCTTTAGCTGAGTGTTTTTTGTTTATGGCTCATGTGCGGTGCGATACTGGTACTTTGTAACTCCCAAACTTTGTTTTCTCATTTTTTATAAAATCAATCAGCGTGACTTATGTGATCTATAATATTTAACCACTGATAAATCATTAGTTTTAACTACTTTTTTTTTAAGTTTACGATTCATGGTTTTAAATGTTTCAGAAAGAATAATCTCCCAGCTAAGCCATTGTACATTGACTTAAGACAGAAACATAGGAGTATAAGATATAACCATACTTCTTGTCCTCTATATATTCCACAATAAAACATACAACCAAACTTGTACTCTATTTTACGCTTAAAGACTTTAGAACACATATTAAGAATTCTATGGTGGAAAAGACTCCGTCGACTCTTCAAAATCTGATTCATTGACTCAGATCGAAAAACCATTCAATAAGTCTTCTTAACCTGTTTTCTACGTTCAGTAGTAACGAATAAATCAACACTAGACCTTTTTCTCAAGATCTTTGCGAGAGAAAAATGGGAGTTCTCACTTCTTTGTTAATCCAAATATTAGCTCAATATTTACGATTTACAAACCGCATTATTGATTCTGGGTGAAATGATAACAAAATATTTACTTCTTTAGATGACAGTCTCATATAAGTTTGCATCGATCATTTACTGAAAAAAAAAATAACAATACATAGCATTACCTCAACGGAATAATGCTAAGTTTTTTATTAACCACTTCACTATAGAAACTAGTACTATTAGTTTTTAAATGCTGTAATTTCCCAATGCTAAACTAAAATGAAAAGAGGCCGCACTTAAAAGCAAGTGCACTGATAGATTATTAATATTCTGAAAAATATTTCAATATGTACAAATACTAATAAAGTATAACAAAATAAGAAGAAGCTTTTCATTTTCCAACTCTATAAATAGGAAGAGATACACATATCAAAAACCACAAACACCAACACACTTCTATAAACTCTCAAAGAAACAAACACAAACGAAAAAAGAAGGCCAAGAAAAATGGTGATGACCAAGGCCACATGGGTTCCCGTTCTTGCCCTCGCGGCGGTTCTCCTGGTGATCCTAACCCCAGCAGCTGAAGCGGTGACGTGCTCGCCAATGCAGCTAAGCCCATGTGCAGCGGCGATAACGTCGTCTTCTCCACCATCGGCGCTGTGCTGCGCGAAGCTGAAGGAGCAGAAGCCATGCCTATGTGGGTACATGAGAAACCCTAGCCTCCGTCGCTTCGTCAGCTCTTCCAACGCTCGTAAAGTCTCTAACCGCTGCAAGCTTCCCATCCCAAAGTGTTGAAAACAAAACAAAGGGTTTGCTATTTATGATCATCCTATATATGTTTGAATCCTACTTTTGGCGTGTGTTTAAGGATATTAATTATGATCATTAAGGAGTAGTCAAGTACGTGGTACTCTTGAGAATAACAATTTGTGATGATCTATGCTTGTATGCATCTTATTTCTTTTCTGCTGTCTTATATTCTGGTTTGTATGATCAATGTTGTTGATGTAGAGGTGTTAAAGTATATTTTTGAAATGATAATATAAGAAATTTATATTTTATAAACACACAAAAGAAACAATTATGGACACATGAACGTCACTGTACAAGAACACACCATCTTCTTTGGTCAGACACGCAAACTTTAAGTGCTTCAACTAATTAGTATTCACAAGAGTAAATCTGGGATTTCGACTGGTTTCGTTGCGCCTTCTTCTTCATCTCTTCGTCGTCGTGATCTATGCTTACTACTTCTCTCCCCATTATGTTTCTTTTTCTTCTCTCTTCTCGAGCTTTGTTCTATGATAATCCCTGAATCAAGATAATTCTTGTGGTTGTCTATTTCTCTCTCCTTCTCCTTCCCTTTCCCCATAAGAGCGGTTTGGATCGCACGTGACAAAGGCTCATCGTTACTATTAGCGTCTGGCTTCGTCTTTGGTTCGTCTAGTTTCACCACTACAGGTCTTGGCTTTGATTGGTTCATCTTTTTCTTGGGTTTAAACGAGTCCACAAATATCTCATTCGCTGGTGGATATTCATGCGGTGTGTTGCCATTGCTATCGTTGCGGTCGTCGCTCTTCTGAGAGGATAGATAGTAGAGGCCATGTCGTTTTCTGTGTTCCGCGAGTAAAGATGTAGATTCAACCGGAGGTGATGAAGAAGATGAGGCTTCTTGTTGATCTCTGATTCTGAGTCTAGCAACAGAGAAGCTGATTTTGTCTGATGATGAGACAGAAGTTGAATTTGAGTCGACAACTGGTTCGAGAGCTTCTCTGCAAATCTCTTGCAGATCTTCAAGATTCTCTTTCAGCTCTAACCCCTCTGGTAGAGGAACTTTTTCCTGTGCAGTTGAAGAAACAAGGCCAAGCTCTTCTGAGAAAGCATCTTCCATGAACGCTATGGCTCTCGAAGCTTCTGTTTCACTGTCTCGAGAGGTTACTTTCTCATCTATTTCATTCTTTATCATACCAATGAATCCTAGAACGTTCTTAGCTCTCTCCTGCACTTCCACGTCAATTGTTCCAGATAACGAGCACAATCCCAACTCCATCATATTAACCAGACTCGAGATAGATTTGTATGTGAAACCATTCACCAAGGGCGATGAAGCAGGCTCTTGAGCTGAGAAGTATGCTCTGAGGCTGAAGACAAGAACTTTGAAAACGGAATGTATGTAGATTGCTCTAACGGAAGGCGGTAAGAGACAAGTGCGTGGCTGTAGAAGCGCCTCTGCAATCTCACAAGGGGTCTTAGAGAAGTCCACATATTCTCCTGAAGCCCAAGCAGCTGCAGACAATACCGGGTGCAAAAACTGATTGTCAAGCAATGCAGGATCAATAAGCAGCGCTCGAGAAACACGAACTAGCTCCAGTCTAGCATCTTTGACTCTCATGCCAATATCAATCAACTGATGCTCAATCTCTTGCCCTCTTTGACAATGAGGGACTCTAGCCATTTCACCGAGAAGAGACAAGTACCAATCGAAGTCAAGTACAATCTCATATGAGTTCCTGGAGCATGCTAGTAAAATGGATCTAATGATCTCGTTACAGAACAAAGGGTCAGACTTTAGTGCATAGTTCATAAGAATCCGAGAGATCTCATAAACGTTATCTTCATTCACCATTGCCATTAAAAGATGCAAAGCCTTCAGTTTTACATTCGGATCCTCATCGCTCATAGCCTTGACGACAGCTTCTTTGTTCTCCAAAACTGCCCACAAATGCTTTGGAGCAACAATCGACAACGCATGAAGTCCAAGATACCTGAGATTCGGATCATCTTCCACAAGAAACTCACGAATTTTCCCAACCGCGAGCTTCAAAGCTGTTTCCTGATCGCTCAAGCTACTAAAAACAGTTCTAATACACTCGAAAACCAAAGACTTTCCCACATTTCTCCTCATATGTTCACAGATAGGATCAGCCACCTTCTTAGCCAACCTAGGCTCAATCGAAACCAACTTAGCAAACATTTTAAGAACCTTTATCAGAACCCAATTGTTCCTCGAATCTACAAGAATCTTGTAAAACTCAGGAGCTAAAGGAAGATAAGATTCTGGATCTTTCGTGGTGAGTTCGCAGAACACTCCAACTACAGCTGACAAAATCTGCGGATCAGAGCTCTCAAGATTCTCAACAAGGCGCTTGATACATACTTTCACAGCCTCAGGATACTTATCGAATACCTTCAAAGCCACACCGATTGCTTTTTTCCTAACGAAAGCTTTGCTACTACCCAAGAGCGTGAAAACCTCGGTGGTTAAATCCCTAGCTAGATCATCGTTTCCGATCCTAGACAAACATTCCAGAGCGAGACTCACTTCGTATTCGTTGGAGCTGCTCAGATCCTTTCGGAGCTGGTTCGTGATCAGAAGCAGAACCGGCGTCTGATCGTTGAACGACTGAGCAACGGCGTGGTAACCGATCCTCTTGTGCGAGAATCGAGATGAAGACACGACCTCGACGGCGTGGAAAGCTGCCCAGGTCATATCGACGCCGTGGAGTGCGGCGAGGTAGGACAGTTTCTGGAGGGCGACGGATTTGGTGGAGGGGTCCGTCATTTTAATTTCGCGTCGGATTTCTTCTAGGGATTTGGAAATGAAAGGAGAGTCTCCGAGTAGCTGGAGACGTAGAACTTTGATCAGATCGTCGAGGCTGCGCTGGAATAAGCTGTCCATGAGAGAATTTGAAGACGCCATTGAAGAAAATGAGAACGGAATTAGGATACTGTTAGAGTTGTAGTTCTGATCGGAATCTGAAACGAGGCATGATCGAAATAGTCTTGCAGAGCGAAATCAGAGATCGGATTCGAGGGTTTTTCATGACTGATGATCGCAATTTTCACAGTCCTGAATCCTGAGAGTCTTTAAGTCTTAACGGAACAGAGTTACAGAGGAGGAAGGAGAAATATGTTTCTGGGCTTTTGGGAATAACGGCCTTGTTTTAATATAAAAGAATTGGGCTTAACGGAAAATAAGTCCAATAAATGGAGTTCGATTATATCTCCAATGATATTCTCTAATTTGGATTAAATATTTTCGACCAAAAACTTTTGTCAATATAAATGATTCCACTATGTCTATAAATATTTTACACCTTTCTCTGTTAGATGAAATTTAACAGTTCAATATATGCTTACATTTCATGCTAAAGATTATCTATTTATCTATGTCCTTTCTTCACAGTCGTATCTTCTTATGAAAATCATTTTTTTTTTTTGACAGAAGGGTAGAAATCTTTACATACAAATTAGTCTTACAGAGTCTAAAACATCTAAATTATTTTTTAACTTAAGGACTTGAAGCAATAACACATCAAACATTTAGGAGACACGAGTCTGACTATATCCTTCAATATGCATTTTATAATTTTATACCTTTGACATTTGGCAGTAAACTTAAACATGATCAGCTTTGTTTTCTATATTGTTTTAGTTCGCAAATGAAAGTTTTTTTTTTTTTTTTTGTTAAAGGGCTTTCTTAGTTTAAAGTTTAAAACATATTTTAGTTCGACCTAACTATCACACCTTTAAAAAGAATATCATGCTGGCTCTACATATCCAAATCCTCCGAATATTTCCTCTCATCTTTCTCCCAACCTCCGAATATCTCCTAACTACCGCCCTTTCTAATTTTAACCAATTTTTTCACATATGATATGATACTGTATATTTAATCTTTTAACGTAGACCCAAACCACGTCCTTTTTCTCGTAAAATGTCTTTTAATGAATGTTAGTACTTAGTAGTATAAATAAAGTTTAACTAAAACAAGAAAAAGCAATAACAATTATCATGAATTCACGTAGATGAGAATTGATGGAGGCTGTCGCTTTCATGGACCTGTTATGGATTTGTCGTTTTCACAAGGCTAATAATAATAATAGAGTTGAAGTTGAAGTGCGGTGTGAAAAGATTTTTTCAATATTTTGTCCAAGTAAGAGAACAGATTGTTTACGTATCTAATACTGTAAACGTACGGTAATACTAAATAAACAGTTGACATAATTAGTATAATCATATAGAGAGCCAGAATAGTAATAACTAATAAGCATGTAGATTCCAATTTCAGAATACGGCATGGGACGTTTCCGACTGTAGTTTAGGTCCAAGTAGTTTTGTACAATTGTCCAAATACATTGAAACATATGGACTCTGCAATTCTATTCAACGTTATGTGTTTCTTTATATATACAAGAAGCAGAAATTGGTTCATCGAAACTAGACATGGACGTTGGTAGTCTTCTCGAATTAGTAAGATGGTCAACTTTGAACATTTGTTAACTCTTTAATTAATAATATTAACGAATAAATTATTTCTTAACTGATTGATTACATAAAAATATATAAAATTGTAGTATTGCGTATACATCGCATCGCCGTCATATGTGTTATGTGTATGTTATGCAGCCAACTTTACCACATGTTTTTTAACTTAAGATAATTCATTGTAGTTGTAAACTTTCGATTTAACTATTCTGAACTCTTGTAGCAACGAAAGGTTGGCAAACTTTTATATTGATGGAAAGTTTTAAGAAAAAAAAAGCTTTTATATTGATGGTAGACAATTATAAATGATGTACGATGCAGTGATTTTTATTTTATTTTTATGCGGTTTGTGCGTTACTGGCAGTCTGGTAATGCGTGATGCATTGATCTCCACATTAGGTGAAATGTCTTGTCTTTGTTAGTGCAATCTGAGTAGTGAAATGTGAAAATATTTTATGTTTGAGAGGAATTTTGTGAGTGTGTTGATGGTAACTTGGTAAGCAAAATTTATCAAAAAAAAGTAACTTGGTAAGCAAAAGAAAACAAAGAGATATTTCAGCGGACCCGACTTTGTATTTATCTGTCTGGGAACGATAATAGTGTTGGGTCGGGAGTGATTTTAAAGATATACTTACCAATCAAAATTTAACCAAAAATAAAATATACATACCGATCCAATCAATATATATTACGTGTAATATTATAAATCACGTCATAAAATATTTTCTCAGGACTTTCTTTGAAAACACGATATATATAACATTGAAAATATAATTTCTCTTTTATATTTTAAAAAGTATCTTAATGAGCTCTTTTCGCAACCAAAAAATATGTTATAATTATTCCATATCTTATTTCATGATCTACTCTTATCAGTTTGATATTCAAGCTAAATTCCATCTATGTATCACTTCTCGTCTATCTCCGCCAAAAATGATTAGCAAATCGTTAAAATTATGTGTTTCACCAAACATCTTTCTCCACCGTCGAAGCTAAGGAGAAATGGTCGTTTCACTACGCTTCTTCGTTGAGAAAACTGAATCCAGTTAAGACTCCTGAGAGTCGTCGAGGATTGGAATGGAACCTGGATTATAGGGGTCATTCATTATATTTTTACCATTTTTGCTAATGACTTTTTTGATATTTTAGTTACATTTTATACTTTTATAATATCTATGGGGTGTCATATGACACTCTTATCATTGTTAGTACCTTCGCCACTACAAGATATAAGGGAAAATGAAGAAGAATCTCAAGGGGCTTTGCTTCTACAGTCATAACAAAGTGAGGATGCTAGTGTTTTATAAGAGGACAAGAAAAATATACATATGGCTATATTTTAGGTGATGAATGATTTCTTTGTGGCGACCATTATGAGTGTATATTGAAAATTATGAGTGATCGTTCACATTGAGTTGAGCTAGGTTTTGGGTGAAAAAATCTAAACAAGAGAAATTTTAAGAAATACACCTCTTGATATAAATATCACGTTTTGGTATTTGTTCCATGCTTTTTACATTTGTTCCAAGTTATTAACAGAGAAATTTGTGAATATCTTTCCTTTCGAATATCTTTTTCTAAGGTTTTAATGTTAGGATTTCAAATATTTTCTTAATGATATGGATTGTGAATAGTCGATTTTGTTATGAAACCTTATATGATATTTCACAATCATATACGTATACTCTTATTTATAGGGTATACCTCTTAATCAGTTATTATATGTTTAAGAAAGAAAAAAAAAAAAACAAAGAGCTTTCATAAATGTGTCGAAGTGTACCAAGATCTATGATTTTTACACGTACTTGCTTGATATTATCACAACTTTCGTGATATATATTGTAAACTAGTCTCGTACTCCTTTTTTGTTTAATTGAAAATGTAGAGATTATTAATGTATAATAAAATATAAATGTTGATAAACGATAGGTCGATAGGTATGAGGTTGCATTTCAAAGGAAAAAGACGTAAACAGTGGGAATTATCCTTTGATGAAAAAAAGAAAAATGAAAAAAAGTAAGAAAAAGGATTATGAAAAGAGAATGATCCGTCATGGAACATAAAAGCCAACCCATTGCATTGTACACTTGCACGATACTTATAATTCCACATAATTCGGAAGAAACAACTAAATTTTATTAAAATAATCTATAAAACTAAATATCTATATATATGTAGTTCGTATATATTCGTTCTAATAATTTAGTTCTATGATCATAATTATGGGTTGTAGCTTGGTGGATGCATATGTGATGCCTTACATAATGTAACAGAAGAGGGGAAAATAAAAAACCCTACGACCTATCTGTGATTAGCACAAATCAGACTATTAACTATTTAGATATAAGATATTAAAACACATACGTTATTAATTATTTTTAGTGGGTAAAGGTTGCCGTACAAAATTACGTGGAGTTAATGTTGAAATGCTTACATACTTTGAGTCTTTGACTAGTCTCGTTTTTTTTTTTCTTATAGTCAAGACCCAGGAAAGGGATTTGTTAATTTGTTCTACGTATAAACTATAAAATAATCAGGTTGTTGTGTAATCGGGGAAAAGAATAATGAATACAGTACTTATTGAAATTGGTCCCCTAATAAATGGTATTTTTTTTCTTATCTGGCTGAAGAACAAAAAAAAGAAAGGAATGTGTTGTGAAGAAGAGAGCGCGAGTGGAACTTGTTTCGACCCAATTGTCGCCACACTTCCCACACGTCCTCCTTGTGTCTTTAGATGCTACATCACAAATCACATCTAACAAAATTATGAACGAACTTATACAAATTATTCACATTTGAGCGTCTTGATATACAAGTTTAATATTGGTAAATAAATTTGATATATTTAACTGTTTGCATAAAAGAATCGTTCATAATAGTGAAAATTATTTATTTTGTACAAATAACTAGAGACCACATGTAACAGTATTACCACAATTGTAAAATATGTATGATAGTCTTTATATACTGAATTATTTCTTAAGCCTGGATAATAGTTGTCTTATTATCTCTACATATGACTTATGAACATGATTTTTCTTTCCTTGATACAATTTGCATTTTTATGAGTGTCCTAGTTATGGCACAGAATTAATTCACTCAATCTAGTAAACCTTCGAGCACATGCAACGCAATTAAAATAAAGTTCAAACCTTTGTAACTACATTTATTAATTAATGCAAAACCTCAAAGCAATAATTTAATGAAAGCTATCTGGCTCCTTTAGATTACGAATGGGTGCTGTATTTCATCTCTGTCATTCTTGAATATTTAAAACAACTTTCGAACAAAATACGAATCTGTCTTAGTTATATTTTATCTAAACATCAAAGCCAAATTCATCTTTTCTTTTGAAGTGCTCGTTCAAAAGCTAAACCTCAAACATTATCAATTTATTTGATTGATTATTAATGAAAAGAGGTGGACATTATC